CCCTTACGAAGGCTCTGCCGTCTATGAAGGCCAAGCACTTTGCTTCCGCCCTCGGCCTTGCAAAGGCTTGAGGGGGAGTGTTGGATTTTGGGCTCGTGCGCTCGCACGCACATGTCTCGGGATGACTCAGATTCCTATTGGACAGTATTTTATTAGATAGCGCGTTCGTTATTTCGTTCCTGACTCACCAGTTGCTAAGGCACCTGCCGCTTTCCTTATTTACTTGCTTTTCCCTGTCGTGCACGCTCAGAGACTTCCCTTCTTCTGAGCGTGCGTATATCCTCTCATTATGGACACTGTAGGGTACTGACTGTATTGCAGTACGGACTGAGCGTCCGTTCTGCTAGGTAAATACATCTCAGAGACTTCCCTTCTTCTGAGCTACGGACTGAGCGTCCGTTCTGCTAGCCTCAAGCGCGCCCGACAGTCGAAGCCGGGCCCTGCGTGTGAGAAACTCACTGCGAAGAGTTTCTAGATGGTGGACCGAAGAACTGGTCAGCGAGATGGATAGCGCGTTCGTGATGCTCGAGCAGGAGCAATGGTCTGCTGTCTGCCTTCCGGGCGATGATCTCTCCGCACAGCAGCTCGAGGATGCGGAAAATTTCCAGGATATCCCTGTAACTTCACCAAAGGAATCCACGACGTACCCTGGTTATGTAAGTCGCGACTACCGATTACCCAACTCGGCCTAGGCGGTTACTCAACTGTGTAAATGTTGTCATAGTGCTCCACGTTTAACAAAGTAAATCAAATCGCCGGTGGCAAATATTGCACCTACGCCACTGGGTTGCATCCCGAGCTGAAGGATGTGGAGACCGGGATGAAAACTGACCTGTGCACGTACGAAGTGGGAGGTCCAGGCAAGCAGGCGTTTGAGCTCGGTGCTTCGACCCTCAAGAAGAGTACCGCGAATAAGGATCTGCACCAGAGTCTCGCACGCACAGCTTGGGCATATATCGTCACGCCGTTCGAGATCAAGACGTCCTTGGAATCCGCACCATTCCGTCTCGACGTACATCATCTCGAACCCTCACAAACGCAGGAAGGGCGGAAGGCACGGGCCCAGATGACTAAGTACGCTGCTAAAATACAGCTGCGTCAGCACCGCCGATTCGTCTTCACGGTCTTCATTTGCGAGCGCATCGCCTGGCTGTTCCGCTGGGACCGCACCGGAGCAATTGTTTCTCGACCGTTCGACATCTTCGAGAAACCTGAGCTCCTTCTCAACTTCGTCTATCGCATCGCGAGAGCTTCTCCCACGGCATTGGGATACGACACTTCGGTCGAGATCATGAGGCCCGACGACCCACAGCTCGATGCGTTTAATGCCTACCGCGAGCGCCAAGCGAGCGACTCTTGGCACCGCACTTTTGCGGACGACCTCTGGGTTAATAAGACGTTCTATCCTCTCTGCAAAGTGCGGTTTCATCTCTCGTAATTTGTGTGTACTCTGAGTTTCTAACACTCTAATCAGGTGACTTGCGATGACGTGGATGGCTTGGACGAAGGGAAGAAAGCGCAAGCTTCCCCTCGCACATACACATACATCATCGGTCGGCACCGTTCGGGCTCACGGTCTCCGACTGGTCGCGGTGGCAAGGGCTTCATAGCTTACGACGTGGACCGCGCCCGGCTGGTCTTCATCAAGGACTATTGGTGCGCCGATCACCCCGAGGTTCACCCTGAACTTGAGGTGTACAGAAAGCTCAACGCTGCCCGACTTGCTGACGGCTCACCGATCTCACACATTGCAGCTGCGATCGCAGGAGGAGATGTCGATGGACCGAAGGGCCAAGTCACGTTGACACAGGAGTACCTTGCTGAACGAACGAAGGGAAAACCTGCAAGTCGCTTCCACCACCGCTTTGTTGTCTGGCAGGTTGGACGCCCATTGGAGACTTACAAGCACGGCTTAGAGCTTGTGGGTTATATGTATCAGGCATTGCTAGGTTCGCGATCAGTGCAACTCTTCGTCCAGTATGCTCACATCGCGTACAGCCCACCGTGATGCGTATGAAGTAGCAGGCATATTGCACAGAGACGTCAGCATAGGAAACATCCTCATCGATATCGAAGCGTCTTGCGCCATTCTCAACGACTGGGACCTCTGCAAGTACCGAAACGAAATGAACCGAGCGGCGACTCAACATGCCCGTTCTGTAAGTACACTTTATCCGTTCTTGATACGTCCCTGACCTACCACTCTTCAGGGAACATGGGCATTCATGTCAGGTCCACTTCTAGAGTATCCCCTCAAGCCGAACGAACTCCCGGACGACCTAGAGTCCTTCATCTATGTCTTAGAGCTCAGCGTCTTGCGGTTTCACGACCACTGCTTCACAACGAGCCCGTTTCCCCCCGGCACACCACAAGATATCTCTGGCGCACAGATCCAGACTTCGGCACTGGCCAGGTTTGTAGGCGTGAAATTCGATGCCGCGGACGATACATCCGAAGGCCATGTCGTCGGCGGACGCCAGAAGATCCGAGATATGCGGAGCGGTGACCCGGGCTTCACCATGACGAAGCAGTCTTCGCCACTATGGAAGCTGCTACAAGGCTTGTACGCGCTCGGTCGTGAACACTACTCCACTATCGATTTGGACGAGCTGCAAAGAAAATGGGGAGCCACTTGGCGGCGGCAAATCGCAGATAAGAAGAAGTATAGGCCCGAAGTGGACGATGATGTTTGTTTAGTGCAAGACATGGACAGCTTTGTCAGCGGCCGTCCACCTGTGCCTGTATCGTTCCCTAGTGAGTTGAACATTTTGCCCGGCTTTGGAGATGATGCGCTGATGGCGTGGGCAGTCAACGCGTCCAGTCAAGCTAGAGCTGACATCAGCAATTCTGCTGAAAACGACAGCGAAGATGTGGCGTCCGGCGAGAGCGAATCCGAACCCGAGAACGGCCCTGAACATGAGTATGAGGGTAGCGAGAACGCCGACCGCACGGTCCATGCGCCCCTTTTCACCACCACCGAGCCTTCCGATCGTGCCGGTCATACCCGCGATCTCTGCACACACGCGGATATGATTGAAGCCTTCAGGACATTTGGTAAGGGAACGTGGTCGCGCCAGGACAAGATTGGGGACCAGTTTTCGGACCTGCCCATATTTGGGCTGATCAAATCCTATGGCCAGGTGACGGCTGGCAAGCGTCGTTCGGCGAAGGGCTCAGGGAAGCCGGCGAAGCGGCCGAAACACAATCCGGAGAGCAGCAGTCATTCGACTAGTGTTGCGTAGTTTTTACACCTCTCGACTCTGTGTGTTACATTAAATTAATGAACATGAAGCAATTACGAGCCAATCTGCTGCGTGGTACGTCCGTATGTGATGCCAGTATATGGCCTATAAAACTTGTGGAAGCTGTCTATTTCGCCAAGCAATCTCGCACGAATACGCCGTCAATATTCCGCTCAAGCTTTCGAAAAGCATCCAGGTTGCTTTCGGGGCTGTAGGCACGGGATTCGAGACCAATCAACAGACCTTCCCGCATTGGTCAGACCGTACGGGTAGATGGAGAAGCGCTGTTCAGCAAAGGGCTTGAACAGGAATTGAAGCCAGCACGGAGAAAAGGATCTATGGTTAGCATGGATCGATGTCAGACAGGTTGTTGTCGACAGCACAGATAATTCGAAACCCTACAGATAACCCCAGTTCAGCCTGTGTGGCGCACCTAGCTGCTATGTTTCTGGCAATTTCACATTGACAACAGCAGATCCGAATCCTTACTTACATCACAACTAGAACGAGTAAACTTGATATATTGGAACGTCCGCAGCCAACTATCGTCTTTCACTCGACCCGAAGAATGCCACGTTTCCGCAACTCCGGCAAATTTCTCCACAGCATCGCGGCTCCCTCGCACCTTACGTAGCCTCCTACGGGCTCTGTCGAACGCGGATTGCCAATGGGAGGATTGGAACCTGCTAGCGTCTGCCTGATCGTGACACGACGTAATCGGCTAAAACTGCAGAGGAGCGTGTCTAAGGCACGTAAAGCAGCAGCCGGTCCACGAGTGCCATAGTTGCTTGAGGCGAACAGTGACATACCCTGCGAATGTAGTGCGATTCCGACTTCGGCAATGGGAAGAGGTTTGAGCAGGTTTGCGAGGTATTCGATGACAGTCTTCGCAGCCGTCAAATGTTCCATGTCATGTAGGAATAAGTCCAAAGAGCGCATATTATAGCAGCAAGAAAGCTCTGCAAGGAACGCTGGAAATCCTGGAGGAGAGTCAGCTAGTGTTCCACCACCTCGAAGAAGCGCTATGGCAAACCTGTGGAGGACGATATGCTCTTCCCTGTTTCCCCAGTTCCAAAAAGGCTTCGAACAGGGCTGAACTGAAGGCCGAGATGGTGGAGATTGGGCCCCAAGCACGACAGAAGCGTGGTATACCGGGTGACATCGGTGTCGAAGGAAGAGACAATAGGGATGTCAAGATAGCGAAGAGGAGTAGAGGCACTACGTGGATTTTTCGTTCTTCGTAAGAGAGAATCCAGCCACGGAAGCGTGAACCTATCCATGACGGTCTCTCTGATACTGAGTTTCTCTAGGGACGAAGCGATTGCAGCGCCAGAGGATACACGAGGTATACTGGAGCCGTCCACTAATATCGCTCCAACCAAAGTGACTTCGCGCAAGCGCGGTAGCTGCAAGGCCGCTTGGAGAAAATATGGGATGCTCCCGCCCTCGAAAGAATGCCCTGAATACCGCAATCGCAGACCGATTAACGATAGGCTAACAAGGTTCGGCAGAGCTGACACGGCAAAAGACAAGCTATCGTGAATGCGTACGTCGTATCGTGAAGAACTTTGTGAAATATATCGCTCGCGGGGGGCCCATTTGATCGTAAGTGAGCGGATCCGATATGGTTGGGAGATTCGTGCAAGTATGTCCGTATCGTCCTGTTCCTCGGTAGATAAGCTCTCTGCCGCAGGTGGGAGGAATGGAACTCGAAAGCGAAGGTGATCCTCGAGGTGGAGTCTACTCGAGGGAAGCCAAGACTTGCGTACGCGGCAGCACACGAGTAGCGTGGTGTGATCGTCGTGTAAATAGTCGATGATTGTGTCCCAAAGTTCCTGGGGTACTTCAGCGGCTGTGCAGGGTGTGGGCGTTGATGAAGCAAGTGCACCGATATCGCGATGTAAACTTTGCTCTACTGCAGTAGCGACGTTGCCAGCAGCTCCAGTGGTGCCGATAGGAGGAGAGGAAGGGTCCGGCGGCTCCGCAGGCCGCATAAGCTCTTGTCCCTTGCTCATGGCAGCAAGGAAGATGATCGCCTGTCTGAATTCAATAATATTTAGGGTTGACTCTATGATGAATCTTGCTGTGTGACAAGGTCTTACCTGTTAGCGTACTTCGCTTTAACACTGGACAAGTAGCAGCCTGGGCCGGGAAAGAGCAGTGGCTAACGATTACCGTCCCGCTATGCACAGCAATGTCAGTACTGTGCAACTGACTCACTATGTGCTCACTCACTGTAGTATTCTTGACCTTGAGACGATGATCGCGGTGGGAATGGGCGTGGGCAAAGCGCAGCGAGATCTCCCCGTTCAAGATAGGTTCAAGCCGCGTAAGGACCGGAGTTCAATGTTATCCTCGGACCGGCGGATCAGGCAATTATTGATCGTTGTTCGTGACCATTCCGTTTCCGAACCGCAGACATCACAACTCTCTGCTCTACTTCACCTAACTCTCAGGTCGTTCGGAGGACTTGCGTCCGCAGGAGAACCTCAGATGAGAAGCAGATCTTACCGGAAAAGCCGATCCCGTAATGCTCAGCACTGTCAACACCATCCAGGTGTAGTCTACCAATGTCAGCAGAAGATAGTTCATCTAGGCACAAGCGAGACGACGAGATGCTCATGGCTATGCGACTACCGTTCTCTCCTGTAGGCTTGACCTGGTGTTAGCTCTCATAAATCGTACGAGCCTCAGCGCGGCACGCGCGCATCGATATTGTTGCGACAGGGCCCCGCAAACGCACCTCGACTCCATAGCCCCTTTTAAGGAAGCTCTCAGGGCTGACAGACTGCTCGTATAGCTAGCAGTATATAACAGGGCTTCTTGAACATACATAGCTAAGTGGAAAACGCATAACGAGATCCACGCGCCTTTTCCATGTCTGGAAATGGGCGGGACACCGGCGCCCCGCCTCGCGCCAAGAGTTGTATTCCATTTCCCACCTCTCGTATCTTTCTGCCTGCGCGTGCCTGCCCCGCCCTGTCGCTCCTTCATTTGTTCTACCACATCCCCGCTGGTACTGGGTTTCTCTTGGACTTCTCCTCCTCAGACTCGTCGCCCTTCCGCCAGCGTTGGAGGGGACAGAGTCTGACGGTCGCAAACCCCGTAGCACGGCGGAAAGTGGCCCATTCCCAAGGATACCATAAACTATACCCTCAGCTTTCTGCTCGACAAAGTCTCTCAGGGTCAGCAAATGTATTCCTCGTCTTCTGGTCCACGCTCGAAGTCTGCCACACACGGTGCAGGGACGAGCCCCGCCATACGCGATGCCGCCACCAACGGCAACGCTAGGGCAGCATACCCTGGTACATACTCAAATTTGAACGCATACACCGCACCAACTGTCGTCGCATCGACCGCCAGCTCTCGCTCGACGACACAGTCTGCGAGACTACGCCCAACTCCACGGCCCCCGCTCGAGCAGCGCGATAGCATTCTGCGCGCCTCGATCCTGGATACCGCGTTGGAACTTGGAGTGGGCACCAGCAGTGCAGTTGATAAATGGATGTTCGGGCCTATTGGCGAAGCGGACGAGGAAACGGACGAGGTGCGCTAGTATTCGAGTCAGAATTTTGTGGATGCTTACTCTTCTCACCTATTTGACCTCGCGAACGTAGATCAACCTCTCTCCGGGTTTAACATATGCATCTACCGCAACGTCGGACGAGTCTTGGCTGCACTCATCCACGTCCTCGTCATCGCAGCGGAGCACCGGTCTGCGACCGGGCATTGCAGCTGACCCTGGTCAGCGTGTTGTGCAGTTTGCCCCACAGCAATCTTTGCCCGCCCACGATCGCGACACTAGTCTCGACTCGTATGATATTCCGACTCGTGCCGACCTCCAAACTGAGAAGAGGCAAGGCAAGAAGCTTCGCAAAGCGCGTCCTCAGGACGGGTACGTGAGTGATGGCGGAGACGGCTACACGAGTGAAGGTGGCGATTCGAAACCCAAGGCGAAGAAGAACAAGAAGGAGAAGAAGGAGAAAGGCGAGGATAGCGATGGCGGTTATCTTTCGGACATCCTAGGGCGACGAAGACGAAACAAGGACAAGGACAAGGACAAGACCAAGAAGACAAAGTCCGATGCGTTGAACTTAGGCACGGATGCCGAGGGAGACGCAGAAGAAACAGATGGAGGGCATATGTCTGGCGCGTCATCCTTCGCACGCTCGAAACAAACCTCGGCGTCGAAGGTCAAATCGAAGACTAAGTCGAAGCTCAATCCAGGCGATTCTAACTCGTTCCCCTCTCCTCAAAGCGGAGCAGAAGACTCTGACGGCGGCTACCTTTCGTCGTCCTCCGTATCCAAAAAACGCAGATTTTTCCGTCTGAAGCGAAGTGACACGGACGATACTTCGCGATCGTCGAAGGAGAGTATTCCTCCGGTTCCTGCTCTTCCAAAGTTGGCGCTGTCGTCCCCTAGCGGAGAGCCAATACAGCCCCGCTCATTCACTCCCCTCCCTATCGCGGATCGGTTTGCCTCAAGGAGTAATACTCCTCTTCCACGTAGCGAAACCCCGAGTTCTAGTCTCAGCTGGGATATTTCTGGGAGCTATGCTGGAAGTTCGCGTGCGACTACACCCATCTCGCCTGCCACACGCGCTTCCGAGTTCTCAGAAAACGACAGGCTACAGGACCGCGATAGGCTTGCACTACCGCTGCCGTCGCCGAACCCGTCCATGACTTCGCTCGAGTCCCTGCGCCTGACGCATGCGTTTAAGGATGCAGAAAGCGTCCGCACACCAAGCATTGACGTCTTACGTGCCTTCGGCAGGCAAGCCGGCTTGAACATGCGGGACGAGGATGTCAAGACGTATCTCGCTAGCAGAGGCGTGGACAGGATGAAGGACGAGAACAGTTCGCTGGCGAGCACAAGCTACGGTTCCTTACGCGACGCAGCACAGGCTGGCGCTCTCAGGAACGGTGTTGGCGGCACGTACACGGCCCGTGAGAGGTCTGATTCCGGCGCAACAGAGCATGAAGCCACCAGACCAGATACTTCGACTCTGGATCTTCCAAGTCCTGGGCTCAAGATCAAGAGGACGCTGTCCAAAAAGCGGACACCTACGCCATTGATAAGTGTTGGGTCAGCTGCGACGTCAAGCAAGCGAATGGATGTTCGTTCTTATGAGGCACTGAAGGGCCACGCCGGCAATGAGCAACGAGCATTCAACATCGGCGGTGACGATGCTTCCATCGCGAGCACTGTTCGGCACGATGAAGACGGCTACGAAGCGGACTTGACTGTCGATGTTACACCTGCCACTCCGAGCTCGGGACGGTCGAGGTTGACTGAGTCGTCAGGTGTGTAATGTCGTCCTAACCACGAAAGGGTCGTCTGACACCAGTGATTGATCATAGTCGAACCTCCACCGAGGTCACGTTCGCCATCGCCGTCTCTGAGCCAGGCCTCAGGCGTCGCCCGGCCAGCCGCCCTGGGTAAATACGACATTCCTCCCCCGAGCCCACCTCCGTTGGGTCCTCTTCCTCAAGTGCCTCCGTCACCTTCGTCTACGCCGTCTTCTATCCCTTCCTCTGCATCTTCTCCTACCTCATCTCCGCGCCAAAAATCTCTGGCGCCCGCCCCGCTAACCCTCGACTTGCCGCAGGGTAAGCGCTTGCGCCCGGCACCGCCGTCGCCTCTGTCCAAAAGTAGCTTCACCCAAGACGATGTTCAAGTTCCTAAGCTGGGACCTTCTCCGAGCCCGAATAAACTGCACTTCCTCTCCAGGAAGCTAAGCAAGCGACCTGGAACGGCGCCTGCTTCGCCCGGTCCCGGCACTGGATCATTCGATTCGCCCACGAAACTGGACTCTGCAGAGCCTGAGACCTCACCCTCAGCATCTCCGTCATCAAACTCCTCAAGGTTCTTCGGCTTTGGTCGCAATAGGGCGCCGTCACGGCCTGGTACCGCACCCAGCGGATCGAGTCCGACCACGCCACCGACATCGTTTAATGCCAGCGCTGCCGCTGCTAGTGGTGGAGCTTCTCCGCTGGCTCTCAAGCGAGTCACTTCGAACTCCAGCGTCGCGTCGATGGCAAGTACCATCCAGAGAGGTCGCGAATCGCCCTTCCCTGCTAGGCCCGTTCTTGTCACCACGCCCCTAATGAACCGTTCACCAAGCCGGTCGGTGTCGCCGATCCAGCCCATCATGGACAGACAGCCTATGTCAGCGGGTCTTCAGAGGACTATTAGCAGGACGGACGCGGAGCAAAGCCCCGGCTCTGCTCAGACTCTTGACGTCAAGTGGCAGCCTCGAGCGACCTCCCCTCTTGCCGGAGCGCGCACCAACGGTACACAATCGCCGTATCTTCAAGCAAGAGCGAAGGACGACGATCTTTTCGATGATTCCTCGTCATGGGTCGACTTTGATGACTCTCCTCCTCCTTCGGAGGCTGGCCGCGACAGCGTATACTCTCGCAATTTGAAGCGTATCTCTACAGCCGCGGACAAGCGGCAGTCGGTCGCGTCGTACGAGAGCCAGCCTGACATCGACTCGGTGCTCGAGACGCTGAACGGACCAAGCAATGATCGCTCAGCGTACGAGAGAGAGTCGAAGTATAGTTACCGCGACGACGAGAGATCGATGTACCCTGATGAGGATGACGAAGATATGCGCGACCGCGAGACGGCATACTACACGTCGGTGTCGGCTTTTGCAAGCGACGCAGAGGAAATCCCCACCAAGAACCACCCATTGCCTCGGCGATCGAGCGCACTGCTCAGCAAGCAGCCCGTATCACGGTACAGCACGTCGCCGTCGCCATGCCCTTCGGAGTTCGACGACGACACAGACGACGTCGACGATCGCAAGAGCCGGACAAGTATCCTTGACCAGAAGCGCAGCGGAAACGTGAGGGAGAAACTCGTGAAGCGAGTGGAGCGCATGAGGAACGAGAGCGAGAGCCGTGCACGCATATGATTTTTCAAGTCTCCCTTTCTGTCTATAATCTTCTTGATCTCTAGGTCTCGAGACGGGCTGGACCCTCGTTTGTTTGGTGTGAATCCTTCCGCCTGTCCTTTCGTTATTCCCTTCTATGTTTCGGTCCGCTTTGAGTCTCATGCTGTGTCGCAGTTATTTGGAACTCTAGATCGCTCCCTTCGCGCATATAATCCGTAGTCAAGCACAATACCAACGACTCGTCTCTCCCTATGTAGTGTATTTTGAAGGTAGCGAAATGGAGATATGTCGCAATCGGTCTTTCCATGTCGACGCCACGTATCAAGTCTCACCTCTTCCAGGAGTAAGTTACAGGCCCAAGTTAGCCGAAACGATCTGGGAGGTCACACAAATAGCAAGAGCTTCGGAAAGGCGGCCAATTGGCCAATAATGCATATCAAAGACAACGTCGTGTGAAAACAACCCTTACAGAAGAGAAGATTATGTAACCTGCGAGAGCGAGCAAAGGCAGAGCCAAGGGGTCACAAAGACTGATCCAAGGCTCCAGCCGTTTAGTTTACGTGTAAAAAAAAATTGGCCAACACACAGTAAACGTTTAAAAACGTTTAAAAACAATTTAAAAACAGTTTAAAAACAGTAAACAAACATTTAATACAGGTATTTGCTTCATTGTGCCGGAATGACTTCTGATAAATCTATGCAAGCCTGCTACTTGGCACAAATACCTTCTATGCTGGTTTGAGCTCGAAAAGGAAGGCACAAAAGCTGACGCTAGAGTGGCGTGGCCGCGAACATTTACACGAAGTTTACGAGACTTTTGTTACACACACGAAAGCAGTGAACGGTAATAAACGTTTATACACAGTAAACAAAACAAAAAGGTTGGAGCTTTAGACTGGTCAAATGGACTTGAAAAATTGAAACATTTAACAAAAAGAAGCTCCAGTTTTACCCGTTCATACACCGAACGGGAATCGAACCCGTGCCGCTTGCTTGGAAGGCAAGCATGATAACCACTTCACCATCGGTGTGCTGTTACAAAGGATAATAGTTAGACTATATTTATCATTGAGCGGCACAAAGTGGTTGTGGCGTTTCGAGGCAGCTGACCCGAGCAGCCCAAAAGTTACAGTAGCCATTGCAGCTGCTAACAAAATATTAGACTGCCTGTGCAAAGGTTCGCCTCACAGCTTTATTCACTTTTGGAGCGGAACAAACAAAAGATCGAGATACCGTGAGCACTTGCCTGATTCAAGATTGAGCACACTAGTGGTGAGCAACAAAATATTCATTGCAGCAGAGACAGCAGCAAGAATAAACAATAATAATTATCTTGTTATAATAAAGGGATCTGTGGGTGTAAAGCGAGCTTGCTGAGGCGAGGAAGGACTGTATGGCAGAGAGGTGGTCGGACAGTGGTCAAACGGACTGATGACACCAGGGTCAATGGCGTGAGAGCTCCTTCGAGTTTCTGCCCTTCTCTCTGAAAATTTCAGGCACTATAAAAGAGTCGAAGGTCGGGAGTCAGACCGCACAAATGCGCACATGCGATTTGGGATGAGAGAACACACTCGCTGCCGTTTTCCGGAGTCCGAGATCATGCTCGCACGAAGATCCCGGGACCTCGATCCTTTGTTTGTTCTGCACCAAAAGTAAACAAAGCAGCGATGCGAACATTTGCACAGACGGTCTAATGTTTTGTTAGTAGCTGTAACTAGTATCAAGTCGAAGATCCATGGTCAATCAAGGCTCCAAGTACAGTAACATCCGGCCCTACTCGAAGAGAAAATTTAACGAATGACTAGGTCATATTATAAGCACTCATTTGGCTGCGCGTTACTGCGTAATCGGGCACATCATCACAGCCTGCTGTACACTATGTACCTTTGCTTGCACGCATAGAAAGTATAGTCGCTGGCGCACATGTCTTGCCTACTGTACACCCTAACAGATTTTACAAACGACAACCTGCTGTATATGCGGTCCTAAATGTCGATATGATAACTCAACCATCTCCAATGGGTGACAAAATCAGTATTGTTGTAGGCAGGGGAACTATGCCGCATGTGACCTTACCATGTTATAATAGTTATAACAAGGACGGTGAGTGCAAGGCTCAGAGACCTTCCACTCCCTGAATGAGGTCGTTGAGCTCCGCTTGGGACTTGCGGTACTTTTCTAGCACGTCTTCGTACTTCGTCTCCCACTGGTCGCGCTCCTGCTCAAGTCTCTGCACGCGCCGCTCGGACGACTCTGCCGTAACCTCCACCTGCCTCAACTTCTCGGTGACCTCCTTAGAGCGCTCCTCTGCTGCGTCGAGCTGCGATTCCGCGATCGTGAGCTTGTGCTGGAGCGATTTAATCTCCTGCTCGCGAGCGAGAAGCTGCTGGTCAAGCTGCTTGGCTTTGGCTTCCGCCTCCTCTGCACGCTCCTTAGCAACGTCAGCCTCCTGGCGGAGGGACGCAAGACGCTCCTTGATTTTCTCCATGGCGCTGGTGAGTGAGAGCTGGTTAGTAGCGTGTTTCGGCTTCCTCGAGTGGCTGATATGATAGACGCCCAATAACAAATGCTGTTGTCTATTTACTTACTGCGGTAAGTAACAGGGCTGAGACCTTATTACCCAATCGTCATCGCGCGTTCCCATCCCATCCGCTACCACCTTGTCCACGCTCACCTCCTTTCTCCCCTACACTTTGCCCGGACCCACGCCTTGCTCTGTACCTGCCCTCTTAGTCGCACGTCCGCACAAAGCATCCCAACCACGTCTGCATCAGGCGATCCAGTAAATCTTCGATGTCAACTTTGCAGCATTTCGGCAAAGGCGTGGTCCGCGTAGCCAAAAACTACACAAAAGGCTATTCAGACGTGCAAGCCAAAGTTCGCGATGCAACCTCCAACGATCCATGGGGACCCAGCGGCACGCAAATGAACGAGCTGGCGCAGCTAACCTACAATCAGTGCGTTGTCTGCGGGCACTATGCGCCATCCGGAGCATCCGTTGATACGCGTCCCCAGGAACGACTTTGTTGAGATTATGGAAATGCTAGACAAGCGGCTGAACGACAAGGGCAAGAATTGGCGACACGTCTTCAAGGTAAATACGTCCGACGTCCTGCGCAATGCCTTTTAACGTCGTTGCTTGACAGTCGCTAACCGTCCTGGACTATCTGCTGCACGCCGGCTCCGAGAACGTTGTTATCTACTTCCGCGACAACCTCTACCTCATCAAGACTCTCAAAGAGTTCCAGTTTATCGACGAAATTGGCAAGGATCAGGGCGCGAACGTCCGCCAGAAGGCAAAAGACATCACCAATCTCCTCATGGACGAGGCAAGGCTGCGGCAGGAGCGCCGCAGTCGGGCAAACATGCGCGATCGTATGACTAGTGGGTCTCGGCGGAGCACGGACTTTGAGGAAGGGGATAATGAGAACGACAGGCGGAGGAGTCAGAGTGCGCCCCCACGGAAAGGCAATCCCAGAGAGGATGACGATCTGCGAAAGGCGATCGAGGAGAGCAAGCGTAGTCTCGTAGAGGAGCAAGCACGTAAGGGTACACTGACAGCGGAAGAGCGGGACCTTCTCCATGCTATCAAGTTGAGTGAGGAGGAGGAGCGCAAGCGGAATGAGGCGGTCGATAAGGCTAATGAGCGCGCACTGTTTGACGAGAATAACCAGCTGTACGTCGATGTTTCCCGACATTGGGCGAACCTAGCTAACCGTTCGCTGCTCATTTAAGGATTAACATGACACCGACGTCGATAAATCCTTTCCCCCTGGTTGACACTGGCCTGCAAGCGCAAAATACCTCCGCATTCATGCAACCACAGTTCACTGCGGTGCCTACGCAGTACACGTCATTCAACCCGTACCAACAACAGGCTCAACAAGAAGCACTGCAGGTACGTTTGCGTACTCGTGTGTGTCGTTTCTTCACCAACACTTTGGCAGGCGGAATATCAGCGTCAGCAACAGGAATGGATGCTCCAGCAACAGCAGCAACAGCAGCAACAACACCTCTTGGCTCAGCAACAGCAGCAGCAGCAGCATCAGCAACAGGAGGAGTGGTACCGCCAGCAGCAGCTTCTCCAGTTCCAGCAACAGCAGCAACAGCAGCAACCATTGGTGCCCGGTATCACAGGCTTCGGGACCAACAACCCCTTCGCTCCCGCAACCTCGCCACCACCCATGTCTTCAGCCTCGCCACCTTTGTCTGCTCCCCAGCCCTCAGTGCAATTCAACCTGGGCGGAACCTATTCGAATGGCACCCCGCCTTCATTCTCATCGTCGGTCTCACCACAGCCACCGCAGCCGCAGCAAAGCTTGTCTGCCCCTCCGTCCGCTGCACCCGGCTCGCGCGGACCGAGCAGAACGGATCAAGAGCATTCGCAGCTTGCGAATCTGTTTGCGCAGCGAACGGACGACGGCGTGGACTCGTTCGGAAACGTCGGCCCACTGCGTTTCGGTGGGCAGGCAGGCCAGGTTACCGGCCAGCCAACGGGTGCGAACCACAACCCATTCTATCAACAGCAGCAGCAGCAACAGCAGCAACAGTACGGGGCGCAGAACAGCGACCAGCCGTTCTTCTCTGTTTGAGTGTGTCGTGCTTTCTGCTCTCGGTCCTGCATCTGCTTTCTTTGCCTCGGACCTAATTTTCCTCTTGTTTACGTCACTTGTTCCCTTACCCCTGCCCCAACTACCTACGTTTTATTCCGAGACGACAAGCCACTCACGCTCGTTCAATTTTCACGACTATTACATCACCCGCCTATCTTTCGCCATCCAGTAATGGAAACCGTCGTTCCGTGTATACTAGTCCCCTAAGTTACGCAGCCTCTTTGACTCACGCTTTGGCCTTACCTGAACTTTATACTTTACTTCTGCAACGCATGCCGCGAGATTATCGGGCTGCGCCTTTTCCAGTCGGATAGGTACTTATACTTACAGTGTTACAAGCCAGAAAGATTATATACCCCGCTTTCAACCCTGTGGTTACCGTATTTCAGAAGCTCAACATTGCATACTAATGAGCCGGCTCTGAGGTGCGTTGTGCGCGGTAAGCCCGAGATGGCTGCATGCCATAGGGCTGAAACTTAAACGACGACCTGGTGTACTGACGCGCTAGTCGGGCGGGGGTTTATGGCCTTGACTGAGCCCTTTTTCTCGAGCGGTGATATAAAGTGGATCCGGGCAGCCGATAGCATTAGGGAGACGATGGGAACAATTTATCTGCCCTTTTTGTAGTATTAATGTACAACGGGAGGGTCTTTTTACCCCGCCACTTACTCATTGGTGGCCCGTGCGCACCATGCAGTACTACTACCCGTCCTACGCATCATCACAAATTTCATAGAATTTAACCAAAATTAAATTATTGATACAGTGTGTAAATTCCATTGTTTTCGCAGTTCTCATGTGCGTGAAAAACCTTTGAAAGGTGGAAGGGCCTGGGAGTTAGCTGCTGCCTGCGGGTAAGTCCGCGCCACAACGTCGTCGGAGTTTTAAATGCCCTTAAGTGAGGCGAACGCGCTTGCGAGCCATCACTCCATCTTCTCATTCCCACTGCATTACGTTTTCATTTCAGCACTCGGATGTTTGACTCGCAACGGAGCCTCGCTCATACGCACAAGCGTCGCAAGATTGATGCATCGGCAATCACGAAAGCGATCTTGCAAGATCATGTTCTCGACATCGCCTACGAGCCACTACGCGTATCGACCTCAGGATGGGGATGCACAGACCTAACAGCAGTTGTTCCATCTACAGATACCTCAGAAACATCAAACATTTATCACAAGACTACTACATCCTCTCAATCACGTACGGCATGTAACTCTTGCGGCCGCCGAGCCACATCGCTCTTAACGCGCGGTGCTACACCGATGCTCGTTTGCCCAAGGTGCGTGCGACACCACAAGAGCATTCTTGTAGTCGCGAGCTGAGACTTGCTCCAGATGCAAGTCGACTACGTGTACTATATGCTCCCGCACATGTCAAGGCGGAACATTGACATCGTCAAATATACGCCCCTCCACCTCGTCACCCAGTAGGCCGCCTTTGAACATCTACAATCTGGATAAGAAGACAGAACATTTATCAACACATGATCTTGCTCACTCATCTCGTCCGACCAAGCGGAGACTGTCAACGACATCCGCAGAAGTGCCACCGAATAAAGCTTCCAACGGCGATCCTTTTCGTAATGAAGACCCGGACGACCTTGTGAATTCTCGCCCAAAATTGTCATATGTTATAGGATGTGAGGAGGTGTTTTGCCAGTCTTGTGTCGCCGAGGATTTCTCCAGGTATGTTTGCGCAATGCCTAGTCCGCGATACCCGTAGGCTCATTCAGATTGCAGCCACTTGATCGCCTGCTTAGACTGCATCGATAGTAGCAAGGCGCAGTGAACGATGTCGTTATTCCGTGAGCTGCTTAGGATCTCATCGTATGACGTCTCACGATTCTATGTGACTGCTCTCTGGATCTGCTCTTACTCCCTGGTTCCCGGTGTATTGACACTGCATGCGCTACATGGCCTTTGTCTCTCACTCTGCATCTTTCAAATATGGCACGCAAGGATACTACGTGCCCGCCACGATAATCAACCTCATTTTATCGTTACTATTGTCTCAAGTCCGTGATATCTCAACCCAAGTTTTTACTCCCTACGAAGTGTAATACACGTCTTACATGATGAGCATCAGTCGCTGCTCGGAGCGTTGATAACTCTTTCTGCACTCCGCTCCGCCTCTTTCCTTTCCATAACTTCGATGATCCACCCAAGGGCGGAATGTAGCCACGGGTGTCCGACAAGATCCATCCCGCTCCAGCGCTCCTGGGGGTCGAGGCAAATCATCTGGCAAATAAAATGGATGAAGCTTGCCAGTTCGTGGTCATCGAAGTCGTCGGGGAGCGGCGGTTCGTAATCAGTTGTTTCTAGAAGATTGAAGACGGTCATGGCCTCCAAGGAGAGGCCAATGTCCTTCGGCGATGATTTGAGAGCACCTGGTTCGAGAAACAAGTTAGCCGCCATTTAAAAGCCAATAAGAGTAAGTTACACAGACCGTCGGTACTGAACCATGATTTAGCGAGGCGGCCCTTTGCCACCAGGTCCGGGGGAAGGTCTCCGAGGATTCGAACCATTTGGCCGAGAATCTCTTGTGGATCGCCCTTTGCGGCATCGTATTTAAAGAGCAGCCCACCGGTCGCCCACTCGTAAATCTGGTCGATACTGGAGCATAAGCATCGACCATCGTCTGTCATAACTGGAAGAGCTAAACACGGACGAGGCAGCCCAAGCTCCAAATGTCGGCTGCAGGGCCCCATTGTGCGCCCAGGATTACCTCTAGGGCACGCAGGTGATGAGGCTGAATCATGAAGTGATGTTTGTCGCTGTTGGTGATGAGATGTGCTGCCCAAAATATCAGCTTGATCATACTGCAAGATATCTAAGCACTCACCGCTCTCCAGATCCGTTAACGCGACGAACAGCCTTTCCTTAGTCTCGACCTTGGGAAAAGGCACGGGACCGACGTTGTCGGCTGCGGGATCCAGGCCTTTCAAAAAAGCCTCCACGATAGCTGTTTCGGCACTCTCCTTAGGCTGGATCAATATATTGTGCGGGTGCACATCTACAACGGGAAGAGCGATTAACGGCAGAGCGCCTCAACTCCCGGCGCCGGCGTAGTACTAACGGACCTGTATGCACCGCACCCTTCATGCTCAGACTGTTGGACGTCCTCACTAGATGCCACAAACCGTGAGAATCTCACCAACATGATCCGATGATGCCCAGGCGGTGGTGAGAGTCCACCATCCCGGGACTTGGTATAAGGTGAGGCCCTATCTCGCTCGCAGAGTCATAGTCCTCTGTCGAGCAGTTGGCCTTTATAATCAAGGAAAAAAACACGGGGCGTCTTGCGCCGCGGTATTCCCTGGTTACTGTCGTTCCTGAAAAAGAATGGGAAACGCGCCCAAGCTCCGCGCGCGATGTGTAACGACATGAGATATGAGCATTTCTTCCGTTTACTTGCAACATAATTCTTTACAAGAACTGCAGATAGTATCATAGAGTTAAGACATTTAATCTCATTCCAGTCTCGGCCTGCCAGTTGAGGCTGAGTGGGAGCCGTGGACACACTTGCAAAGCATGCCTCGACAAAGGACAGTAGTAACGGGGAGAAAATATTAATGTACTGGAGACTGGGGTAGTAGGTGAAATGCACGAAAACGATGCCCATCCCGTATCTCATGCCACTGCAATCTGGAGAAAGCGATTCATCTCGCACCGAATGAAGTCAGCGAACAGCATATATCAGCGTGTCACGTCCAGGTCAAATCTACCGCTCGATGCCATGATCAACGGGTATGCCCAGCCCTTCCAATGCCTGCCTGCCCCGCCCAACCCAGTACCGCAAAGTCGCGGGTTCCTCGAACCACATCAGCTGTTTCTCCCCACCACCCACATGCACTTCTTTCCCCTTCGATCCACCAGCGCTGCCCCCGTCTCCTGCCACGGCTTCGCCCGCTGACTCTTCCGCACCGCGTCCAACGGTAGAGACCGAGTCGTTGCCTGCCGGGGCAGCAGACGTGCTGCGATGTCGTGCGCGCTTCCGACTGAGACCGTCTTTGCCTCCGTCGTCCTCTGCAACCTGCCCACCGTCTCCTACGACGTCCTCCGCAACGTCCCCTGCGTCCTCTGTAACACCCGTTTGGACTCCCTCAGCGCCCGCCTTTCCCTCTGCAGCAGCAGCATCCACGGCACCTCCTGCGGGCTCCCAGAGCCCGCCCGCGCGCACCCATGCCGCGACGTTCCGCTGTTCCTTGACTTCGTCAAGGACGCCGACGACAGCGAGCAGCGTCGGGTCGTACGCCTCTTCTTCGCGCGCGCCCTCCGTCCCGCCCTCTGCCGTCGCTGCTGCCGCCGCCGCCGCCGCCGCCTTGGCGAGGCGCTCCTGCCGCTTCCTGACCTTCTTCTCCTGGCGCTTGCGCTTGCGGCTCGCGTCCTTGTCCTCCTCCTCCGGTGCTTCGTCGACAGCCGGCGCGTCCTGAGGCTCGGCGGCACCGGCGCCGGGGGGCTGCCCGCCTTCTTCTTCTTCTTCTTCTTCTTCTTCTTCTTCCTCCTCCTCCTCCTCCTCCCCCTCTTCCTGCTGTTGCCACTGCTCCTGCTCTCGGCGCGTCTTTTCGCGCGTGAGCACGCCGAGGTCGCTCGCGCGCCTCTTGGCGTCGTACTCCGGGATGCAGACGTGGTTGTGCGGCTGCCGCACGGCCTTGAGCGGCGAGTCGTCGAGGAGCAGCGTCGAGAGCGCGGAGTGCGCGTACCCGCTTGTTGCGGCCGGCGACGAGGGGGGGCGGGAGAGCGCGAGGAGCGGTGAGGTCTTCGTGGCGTTCGGTGATGAGGGTGAACGTGGCGGCGATGAGCTTGGCGGCGGCGGCGGCGGCGGCGCAGGTGGGAAGTTGTCCGGCACCAGCAGTTTGGGCAGTTTGGACCACGGGATGTTCAGGTCCTTCACAGTCTGGACTTTCTGGCCTGAGGCGTCGTAAGGCATTGGTGGACGCAAACGGGCGTGAAAAGAGGATGGCATTTTTGGGGTGTAAATATACGGTACATGACGAGATAAGTCAAGGTGGGACGTACGGTAATGTGACTCGCTGAGACCGAGCGTATCCCGAGCCCATATCGCCAGCAACCGCGGTTTCACGGCAGTCTTCCCGTCTCCGACACTCTTCGCGTCCGCCACCACGGCAACCTCCGCCTCCAAACCGTCCGCAGCAGCAACAGCTTCGCCAAGCCGCGCATGTCCTCCGGCATCACCTCCTTCGTCGTAAACCTCCTGCCCAAACACACGCTCGACCATGCCTCTGACGCTGTGCGGCTGGGCAGAGCTCCAGACCATCACGTCGAGCCAGGCCTGCGTCTCGGGCGCGAAGAGGTAGCTCCGGAAGGACGGCAGGTACGGCCGTGGGTGTGCCGTCCGCAGCCGCGGCTCTGCGGGGCCAGGCGCGGCGCCCTCGTCGTGCTGGGCGTGCTTGTTCCGCGCGCGGTACGCAGAGCGGAACACCAACGTGCCGTTCAGGTCCAGGATGAGCAGCTTGCGCGCGTCGTCGGGGGAGGAAAGGTGTGCGGGCTGTGCGCTGGAGAGCTCGAGGTATGCGGGCGAGGGCGCACGAACAGGCGGCGGCGGCGGCGGCGGCGGCGGCGATCTGGCCCGCTCTCGTGAGCGATCTCGAGCATCTTGTCGCGAATCACCATGGTGGGAGGAGTGGTGCATGTCCCGTGTCTGCTGTCCGTGCCGCGACATCGACATCGACGGTTCCCGCGGAGGAAGATGTGACGCATAGACTCCCTGTTCCTCATACTCCCCACGCCCACCACGTGAATCTTGGCCGTGCGCAATCCAGTCAGGTGGCCCGTCATAGTCTTCGCGGTGGCCTCTTGAAGAAGATGGGCCTTCGTGGTGGTACTCACCAAAGCCCTGCGAGCTCCAATCTGACGCATCCTGTGCGCCATAACGTCCGGGATATGGAGCATAAGAAGAGGCCTGGGGATAGGCACCGTAGTCGTAGCTTTCGATGTGTTCGTAAGAGCGGTACGAGTCGGCGTGGCCGGTCCATCGGTAGTCGGTGTAACCGCTATATGCGCGGTCGTAGTCGTTGTGGTGCCGATGCTCATCTCGCCAAGGTCCTGGCGGCCTCGAGTAGCTCGGATACGGGTTGTGCCTGCCCGATCGCTGGTGGCCATGCCGGTTTCTGAGCGCCATGGCGAAACGACCAAACAGTGTGGACCTCAGCTTGTCGCTGTTCGTGCGTGCGGTAGCCTTCACTCGGCGGAAGAGAGTCAGGGCAAAGTGAGCGTTGAGAAAAACCAGAGACGGATCCTGCGAGACTGATGCGCGCCAAGAGGCGCATCAATCGGCGCGTAGCCGGCGCTCCGTATGCAGCACACAACGTTGAGAGTGAAATATCCTTGCTAGCTGCTATCAACAACCTGGCTCAAAATCGTTCTTGACATGATTTGGAACGAGACACTGCGCGCTACGCTACTAACACAGCCATAAATTGCCACAGTATTCCTAGTCCTCTAGTACTTGGCTGGCGGTTCGCGCTGAACTTGAACGCTGCTGCCTGTCTCCAACGGTCGCCCGCCACATCCTATTATCATATTTGTCGGTGGTCCCGTCCCGATCTGGACGTTTGTTTTTCTCATAAAAGATCCACACTGTCTGCATTTTTGCGCGGTATCTCCGAGAGGCCGTGCGCAGGCGACCACTGTTCGACGTGCCACAGCCTGACGAAGCCGCACACTTGCCCAAGACCATACTAGCCACTCTTGCCGACGACTTCATACTACCTCTCCTATTTACGAGTGACCATGCTTCTCGTCCGGAGCCTCGTTGTTTCCCTTTACAAGGAGGCTTTGGCTTTGCGGTCGCCTGCTCGTCCTCAACGACGACAGGTCCCGCGCCACAAAACACTCCGTGCTCTATCAGATGGTCTTGCTTCCATCGATCAGGAGTTTCTCAACACACTGTAGGACACCAAACCGCAATGGTACCGAGTCCAGCGGGACTGTTGGCCGAAGGCGTCCGACGGCACATGAAGAGCCAAGATTGGTCTGCTTGGCTTCTCGACACCTCGCGGGACGTTGTTACAGACGACTGGAGTGGCGACCTCTCTCAATATCCGTTGCACGACCTCCGACGTTTCCTCCCTTCCTCCTGTGAAGCGAGACGTCACTCGTCATGTCCCTGGTGGCTACAGTTCAAGAGTCAATCAGCCCGTAGGATCTGCTTATGAAATCTCCGGCTGCGAACAGAGCCTGGCGGCGACGCACAGACTCAACCTTCTTCCCTAGTAACTTTGCTCTTTCGTCGAGCGTTTTTCGCTCACACTCCCGGCGGGACCAGACGTCGCACGCTTCGTGCGAGACGCAGGAGGCCCCGTCGGGCTTTTCCGGGTCCGCTGGTGAGCCTCGTGGCGTCGGGGTCCATTTGATGGAAGCTACGGTGTACAGAAGTGTTTACAGCCGAGACGTGTCTACAAGTTCGAACGTGTCCTGCTCTCTATAGAATACGTATAAATAGGGTATCCTCCGGTGCCGCAGGGGGGAGGGGGGGGGTCGTTGGAAGTCGTCGTGAGCGCCGTGGGCGTCCGCGCGGGAGGAGCACTATCCAAGCTCTGGGCGGAAAGTGCCGCAGGACGCAACCACAGCACTGGCGTCATCTCGTACGTAGTGGGTGTGCGCAAAACAAAAACAAAAAACAAGGTGGAATGGCGCCACCGGCATCAGACACCGCGCCGGCGGGGATTTAGCAGCGAGGCACGGGGGGCTCGCACCACTGCCAGAGCGTGGGGAGAGCGGGGAACGGCCCGACTTACTCCGCATCGTCCGCGTGTTGTCCGAACCGGACCCAGAGGCCGCCCTGGAGAAGGTTGACAGATGCGTCAGGACGCCGCACACGCATGCGTGACCCAGGGGCGAACGCACCTTGACGTAGAGCGTCATCGCGTACGCCGGGCGCACGCGCTCTCCGCACGCGCGGCCGGGGTCGTGCCGCCACTCGGGCGGCGGGTGCGACCCCGCGGGCTGGGCCTCGGGCGCGAGCGCGACGCTGTCGAACTGCTGGAGGAGCCGGACGAGGAAGTACGTCGCCTCGTTGCGCGCGTAGTTCTGGCCGATGCACTGCGCGCACAGGTGAGCATCTCTAGCCGGACGCAGCAGGGAAGGGAAGGGGAGAGGTAGAGGAGAGGTAGAGGAGAGGTAGAGGAGAGGAGAAGGGGGAAAAAAAGTGTGTGCTTACGATGCGCGGGCCGCCGCTGAAGGGCGTGTACATCATCGGGTTCTCCGTGAACCGCTGCAGGCGGGCGTCGAGCCAGCGATCGGGGTCGAAGACGTCGGCGTCGTCGCCCCAGAGCGCCTTGTTGCGCTGCGTCAGGATCGGGAGGTACATGACCACCGTGCTGCCGGGCACGTATATCGGCGCACCGGACGCGGCGTGCGTCGGGTCGGACGGCGGCAGGACGACGCCGGGCTCACGCGTCTCGCGGACGTTGATGGGCACGGGCGGGAAGACGCGCAGCGTCTCGTTGATCACGGCGTGCACTGCGGGTAAGGAAGGAGATCAGGACAAACGTGGGGCGGGCGTGTGCGCGTAGTGACAGACCATAACGTAATGACTTTATCTTGTCAAACGTCGGCGCATCGTGTTGTCCACAGACCTGCAGCACCTCCTGCCGCATTCTCCGAGCAACATCGGGGTACATAGCCATCGCGTAAGTGATGAAGGTGAGCAGGCACGCCGTGGTGTCTCTCCCAGCAAGCAGGATGTTGAGGAGCTGGTCTCTGATCACTTTCGTATCTGAGAAACATGACCGCTGTCAGCAGTTAGTCCCCCCGGGGGGGGGAAGCGTCGTGCGTACCTTCAGTGTGCTCCGCCAGGTAGTCCAGGAACGTATCGTGCTCCGTCGTCGGCGAGACGCCAGCCTCGCGCATCTTCCTCTTCCTGTCCAACGCCCTCTGGACGATCGGCTCGAGGAACGCGCCGATGACCGCGGCGTGCGGCTCGGCCTCGTCCTGGACGAGCTCCCGGACGGGCCAGAAGTAGCCGCGGACCTGGCGGGTGGTGATGATGTTCTGGACGGCCTCGAACGCGCCGACGAACGCGCCGAACGCGTCCTCCGTCGCCGAGCCCTTCCTGCCCAGCCGCGCCCGCCCCGCGACGGGCAGCGCGCCGTGCAGCGTGTCGAGGCGCTCGCCGAACAGGAACTCGGCCGCGGCGTCGAGCGAGAAGCGCGCGTAGAGGTCCTGCGCGTCGACCGCCGCCCCGCGCCCCGCGAGGCCCCGCAGCACCGCGAGCGTCGTGCCGGCGTGTTTCTCGAAGAGCTCAAAGTCGGAGACGCGGTCCTTGGCGAAGAACGGGCGGGCGAGCGCGCGGTGCTGCAAGAGGGGGAGAGGGGGGGGCACGATGCGCGCGGCGTGAGCATTGATCCGCAGAGCAAGGACCAGCCGTGCATGCGTACCTTCTTCCATTCCTGTTGTGGCAGCCGTCTGTCAGCGTGTGTGTTGGACGTGAGCGCCCGCACGGACGCACCTCGTCATCGCGGTTGAATATCCCGTCTCCGAGGAAGGTTTCCCTGGGCGAGGCGAGGGAGTCAGCCCCCGCTCCGCTCGAGACAGCAGGCGGCGAACTCACATGCGCTCCTTCTGCCGCCGGCCCCGCCAGAAGTGGTTGAAGCCCGTGGCGAGGACGTGCTTGATGTGTTGCTCGTCCATCGTTATGATCTGTGATAAGAGAGGTGAGCTGGAGTTTTCCAAGGACAGAGAGCGGAGCACGGCGTACCATGTCTGACCAGAGCAGTCTGAGGTTCAGCGTCGTGCACTGGTACTCCTCGAACAGGCCGAGGTAGAAGCCACCCGGGTACATCGTGAGGGCTGCCTGCCCGATCTTTATGAGAATGTCGATGTTCCCGGGCCATCGTCCAACGACCTGCACTGGCAGTTGACAACCTCGACGACGAGCTTCCGCACGTTGCCGATATCCGTAGTATTGGACTCTTGCGTAATTTGCGGCAAAGAGGAACGCGATCCACGCTATCGGTGTCGGCAGGCCTAGCCGAGTGTTCGTGACCGCACGGGCCGTCCAGAAAATTAGCGACGGCGTGAGTGCGATGCGCACAAAGTCCCCGAAGAGCCTGAGGCGGTAGCGACTGAACGGGTGGGGCATCTGAGGACAGAGGTGAGCAGCCGGAGGAATAATGAGCACGAGCCGAGGACGGTCCTTTTTAAAAGGACACTTGCGATTGCGGACGAGTTTGTGCCGGCTCGGGCTGGGAGGAGAATGCCGGCCGTCGGGCACACGCGACGGGCAGGGCAACGCGACGAGGAGACCACGGTGCGAAAGCGCCAGGCGTGAGTGCAGAGAGACCTGGCGTCGTATTTCCATCAGGCATCATCGGACGCAGACAAGGGCCGTGTCTTCGAGGCGCTCGCGATGTTCCATAGACGTGAGGCTGATCAACACCCGGCCCAGGACGCTCCTGCGCACCACACGCTCGAGGCCTCCTCGCCCTCTCTTGCGCGGTCACCTGCCCCGGCCGACCAGGTCCTCAACTCAACGGTCGCTGCACGCCTCCTTTCGCACACCGACCGTCCGACGAGATACCTCAGCGTCTGCCCAGCCCGCAGTTCGCGGCCCTTGCGCGACGACGTCACATGTCTGCACTCTCTAAAAAAAACACCAGTGCACCATATGAGCAATGTTCGCTTGTCAAAGAAACAGGTAAATTCTGAGGAACACGGAGCACGGGGACATCGACCGTATGTTGTGGCGGCGGGTTCCTGAGTTTAGAGCGGAGCCTCCCGGATCAGCCCGTGCCCCGAGCGCCAGGCGTCCGCACAGCCCGGTGCAGACCCCGAGAACCACGAGCCGTCCAGACACGGGACTCTCGCCGGCTCTGAGCGTGCACAAAACGCAGACGTTGGCGTGTCGAACCAAAGGAGACGACGAGTGTTTCGCTGCGACATGGATCGTTGTCAGGCAGGACGGCGCGGTTGCGGTCGCGCACTCCACCGTGCTGTGACCGGCCTGCGCAGCCGAGGCACTGCGTGTCGGAGGACATTTCGCCAGGCCGAGGCATCTCGCTCGAGGAAGGATGCCTCTGGAGCAAAAGGACATTTGGTCGGTGCATGGTTGGTAGCGCGTCGAGGCCCTGCCAAGTTCTACATTCTCTACTTCGGCGTATGCTTTGCACGACGTCTCGGAAGCGGTTAGTGGGTGCGAAGGCCCAACGGAGAACGGCAACTATCTCAGCCCGCGCGAAAGAAAAAAAAAAAAGGGCAGCATGTCTGCATTCTCAAAATCGGCGACATTGCCGGGGAGGAGTGTGTGTCAGCGTGGTGCAGCAGCTGCCGCAGTGTCGTTTCTGGCTGTAGTTGGAGGCGTACCGGCGCGGTGCGACTCTGCGCACACACTCGTCTCGGACACCAAGCTCGGTGCTCGCAGCTGTTGTTTCAATTCTTCCTCCTTTTCACGTCTCCGCGCCGCGTTTGGGCTCTGGATTCTCGAAATCCAGCGTGTGGAGCGTCTCGTCAAGGAGGAACAGGTAAGCTCGCTGACACCTTGCAGCTTGAGGTTCATCGAGAAAGGGTCTGTATTGACGACAAATGAGACGATTTCGGGCTCAGGCCTAGCGGAAACTCCGCGAGCCAGCTGGCTAGTGGTGGTAGGAGGAATAAAAATAAAGTTATGGTGACCTTCCGCTTTTGGCTTCCTCGCTTAGTAAGCATTTGTTGGGCCTCCCTAGTAGTAGCTGCACAGGCATCAACGCCGTGCAAGGGCCTTGCTCAAAGTACCTCTAACAGATACTCATCATCATGACTGGTAAAAATCTTTTCCTTCGTGAGCGTCTTGCTCGCAGAAATCAGAAGACGGCAGCACTTGGTAACCTGCCCGGCCCCCGACTCGGAGTGGCGGTTTCCTTGATGTGTTCAGCCCTAGGCATCTCACCCGACTCTCCTTGCAAAGCACTGTGTGTCATGCTGTGTAACGTCAAAAGTGTGTGCTGTGCCCTTGTTTCATCAACGGTTGCTCGGTTGCTGATGATCAAGTGTTTCGTGGACACCGGCAGATCGGGACAGTTTTCTGCATCTGTTTGTGCGGCAGTGCGTCTCCCCTTTAAGAAATTTGTAAACAAACCATGGGAAGTACTCCACCGCTCCGGCCCCCACTTTCAGACGACAATGAAGAGGAGGAATGTACTGGAGGAGGGTCCACAAACTTGCCACGGGCCAAGGACAATACACTGCAACATTTACAGACAAAAAATTTGGAGTTCAAGTTGAGAGACATGTGGTGAACTGTGTACGCCACATTCAAAGCGAGTTGAGTGGCGAGTTGCAGCAGCTCGGCGGGCCCGTTGCTTACGTGAGTCGCGTTGGTGGTCACAAGAGTTGACGCAACATGAGCGGCGAGACCCCGAATACCGGCTCATCTTACCGGCGTCCCCGCCAGATTCTCGCCGGACCCTTTCTCTGAGGGAAAATGACACGCGCTCGGATACCAGGAACAAAAGCAGTGCCCACAACAAGACGGTCAATCCGTTCCCAACTTCCAGCTGGTCGAGCACCAGGGCCGAGCTCCGCACCGACGGAACGTTCAGCCAGAGTCCACCCCTCGCGTTCACAGGCGACGGGCGCGAGTAGGCTGCGGCCGGAGGAAGAGAGAGAGAGAGAGAGAGAAAAAAATACGATGACATATGTCGTGAAATTGCTCTCTTCTCTCCGCCGCTTCAATGATGCCCGTCGCGAGGGCGCCGCGGGGCGCAAGGCTCGTCAACAGGCCCCAGCGACGGCGGGCAACGGGTGGCGCGCGCGCGACAGACTGGTAGGCAGGCTTGTCGGCGACCGTTGACACAATCCACAGGATGCCCGACGGGTGCACTGCCCCGCCCCAGCAGATTGGCCCGAGTCCGTCCGAGCTAGGCGCGGCGGCCCGCGGCGCGCGCGCGCTGGCATCGCGAGCAGAGTTGGGTGGGTGGGTGGTTCGGTCGTGCCAGCCGGGGAGAAACGCTCGTTTCCGAACAGATGGCGAGGATCGATATCGCCACAGGCCATTCTCGCGGAAATGTGGGGGTGGTTGGGCGCCATGTCGGGCCTTGCGTGTGTCCGACGTGCTCCTCATCATATTAGGGACCACGCCCTCTGGCTCCGCGTCGAATATTCTGCTCGGAAACGTCATTGAGCAAAGCCTGAGGGAACAGCTAGAACCTTTGGGCCTCGTCCAGAAGAGGCGTCGCTTGCCCCTTCCAACAGATCGCAGCCTCCGTCATGTCGCTTTGCGCATCGGGACGGGGCAGCAGCTCCCACACTCGCCGCACGACCGCAACGGTCCGCACACGCAGCGAGGGGGGTCCTTAGGCCTTATCAGCCATCTGCCCAATCTGAGCGCGACGTTCGATCTCCTCGCCCTTTGCGGCTTGCATCGGTCGCAAGCTAACACCGACCTGCGCGAACCCAAAGCGGACATTTGCAGACGCTGCCGCACCAGATCTGTGTCACTACGGAAAGTGGCGCTTGATGCGACGTCTCCAGAGTGCCCGGCTCCCGCGCGCGTCGTTACTGCCAGAGGCTGGACAGCCCAGGTAAGCAGGCTGCTCGCTGTCTCGTACAAACTTTTTCGTCGAGCTGGCTTTTTCCCCTTCCTGAGGAACCCTTCGTGCCCTTTTCCAAATATCCGGATGATGCACCAGGTGTTCTCGTGATTCTGAAGCTCATCTCGACCCGCAGAACCCCGTCCAGAGCTCACACACACACACACGCTTACGTCGCGCTGTCGGCCTTTGATCTCTGCCGACAATGTCGCAGACGCTGACCGTCTAGGTTTCTTCGACGAGGACACGGATCGGTTCGCGCGCCTGCGTCAACTAGGTCTGCGGCCCTGTGCGTGACGTTCTTTAGTCGGTGTATAAGCTTCCCCCCCAGGCGGCTCGGTCATCATGCCCTGGCACGCGATATATTGCCCTAGGTCACAGGATACGCCAATGACATTGACGACATCCTGCGTGGAGACCGAAGCCGCGTTTCGTTCGGTGTGCCCTAGCGCTAGAGCTCCTGGCGGGAGCTCCGTCTGGGGCGGGCAAGGCCTGATCGTACACTCGTGTTCTGGCCTCACACACTAACGATTACGTCTCCATGTCGGTCGCAGATCTCTGCCGACGAGAAGCAAGATGACGGAACCTGAGATCTGTCTCAGGAGAAGACGGTATCACGTTCACGTCATTTATTTCAGGCCCGTGGTCCTAGATGGAGAAGTACACTGCGCGGATAGCATTGGCTATCATCTGTCTCCACTTGCACATCTTAGCGGCGCACGCCTAGTCGGAATGTGTCAGATAGCTGCCACGCCATATCCGCAGCTGTTGTACGCTGCGTATTAGCAAGCCAGAACCGTGTCCATCGGATACGCATTGGGAATATGCGGCCTGTTCGCTTTCCATGAACTCTGGACATCCCACAGCAGACTATTTGCTTCGCGGCGGCCCATCGATCGGCTTCGGCTATCCCTGAGTACTAGCTCATTTGGTAACCTCCCGAGCTTCGTCGTCCTGCAATATCATCTCGTAGGGTCGTATTCCATCGACTTTGTGTTTAGGCCGCAGTAGCAGGTCCACCGCACCGCGGCCTATCAAAACAGCTCCGCCATCCCTAAACGCCAGCTCGTTTTTGTTCCTTCCCGAAGATCCCCCTCAACAGTATCAATTTCCTCAGCGACCCGTACACGTCTTCCACACACACCTGATCTCTCCTCGTCGGCACCACTTACCCACCGACAGCGGCGTGCTGCTTCTAGCAACATAAACAATGTACTGTTGTGTGCCTCTCCACACCGCCAAGCCCTGCTGTCCGTGCACACAATGCGCCGCGGCAAAGCGCTCGTCCTGCTGCTCCTGCTCCTCGTCCTGGGGCGCACAGGTGCGTGTCTCCGTGTCCCACGACTTTTCGCCTGCCCGTCGAGCCCCCCGCTCACCTCCGCTGTCCGCCCAGTCGTCCAGCTCCAAGCACGCACCGGCGGCGCCGGGTGCCGCCACTGCTTCAAGTTCGCGCACACCAGACACCACACGTCGTCCCGCCCAGCGGTTCTCTTGCAGGCCTTTGGCAAGTAGCGAGGGCCCGGCGCAAGGTAAGCACTCGACTCGGACGTCGGCAAGGTGGTGGTCTCATGGGGGAGCCCAGCTGTACCCGATGCTTCCTGAACATCTGCCGCCCAGCGGTCGACGGAGATGCGGACGCCGGGGCTCGCCCTTGCCCCGCTGGATGCTGCCACGCTGCCGCCTGTAGAACGAGGGCCGTCCTGTTAGACTACCCTCTAGGGTTTCGGTAGCTCGCAGGGTTCCCTGCATGAGAGGAGGCTGAGGGAGCGATGCTCTCGATCCGTCCGGCGCTTCAACCACAAGTAGAGACCTCTGTCTGTTCTCTTGCACTTTTTTTTGTCAAGTGTCCGCCTATACCACAGCCTGAACTATCCACTCTGTCATCTATTTGCCACTTTAATTTTTTCTTTTTCCCTTCTTGAGGCGTCGTCTCCCTGCCTGGCACCGTGCACAAGCGCCTGCTGTCCACCGCGCCCAGGATTCCCGAGCATGCCCGCCGCGACGAGGGAGCACGCCGCCTGGCCGAGAGACCTGACCGTTCCTCAACCACGTCGGTTTCCGACTGTGGACGGCTGTGGGGCCATATGCGATTCCATGCGATTACGTAAGATTGGCAGGTGGCTTCTTTCGCTGCCGCCGGCTTCTTGTTGCACAGCGCGTCAGAGAGCACCGCATGCGGTCCGGAGCGTCCTCCCCACCACCACCGTCGACGCTCGCACAAAAACGCCATGATATACTGAGGCGGAAACGGGACAACATTCAGCAAGGAAATCGTGGTGCCGGGACGCGAACAAATATACGTGGTCGGGGTATCTCAATCCGTGCTCGGCGGGGCATGATACCCGGGGCCAGCACACGCCGCTGACGGCGGCCGAGTATGCAGGAAGTAACGTTGAAAAAAAAATGAGCAGCACCGCGCGGAGTCGTAGTTGGCAGGGTATGGAGGCGGGGATCTGCGGGCCAAGCTCCGGAGACGCATGTCAAGTCGCCTCAAACCACCCCGCCTGTGCCATCTCCTCGCCCAAACCTTCCCAGCCCTTCCTCCGGGCCTTCCTCCCCGCGAGCTCCGTCGCGAACCTGTTCCCGCCCGTCAGCAAAACATTGCTCCGACGTCCGCACACACGGAGCGGAAAGAAAAACAAAAAGACCAAAAAAAAAAAAAACGCAAGGCACGCACCTCAGGCACTCCTCGAGGCGCCACTGGCCGCGGTCGCGGTCCCTGTCTGGCTCCGCGCCGCGCACGCTCGTCACCCCGCCCGCGTCCCGCGACACCGCCGACGGCGTGTACGGCTCGCCCGGCAGCAGCCGCCGGCTGAGCGCGTACATCATCCCCGCGACGAACGCGTCTTGCGCGCCGACCTCGTCGACGACAGCCTTCGCCACGGCGGCCGACGCGCCGCCCGTGCTGCTGCCCGCCCCGGCGTTCGCGGCGGGGCGACCGACCTCCGTGCCACCCGAGTCCGTCGAGTCGTCGTCCGAGTCCGAGTCCGCCCGAGGCCGGCGACGCCGCGCAGGCAGGCCCGCGCCGCGCGTCGGGAGGAAAGGCGACGCCGCGTCCGAAGACGACGAGCGCAGGTTCGCGGTGAACTCGCTCGAGGACTCGGTGTGGTGTCCCCGCGCCCAGAAGTCGCTGCCGCTCCGGACGCTCTGCACCTCGCCGACCTGCCGTGCCGGCGTTTGGACAGGGTTCGCTGTGGCCGAGGGCGTGGGCCCTGGCGCCGTCGCGAGTACCGAAGGGTCGACCCAGCCGGAACTCTGGAAGTATTCCTTGGTGGGCACTGACAGCACGGCGGCGCCTTCGGAACCCCAGTGTGCGACTAGGAGCGCGTGCGGCGGAGCTATGGTCGTAAGTGACAGAAGGAACGCACGAGGCGAAGACGCGTAATGCGGCGAGTGGGCGCGTGCATAGTGTTTGTTGAGGAAGACGACGTCGGCATGCGGAATTAGCTGGTAGTAGCATGAATCAGCGCAAAGTCCGGCCTCGAAGCAGAGGAATGGATTCACACCGCCTCGATTCCCTGTCGAGCGCGCCTGCTGACATCGACACTGAGTACGCAGTGGCTTCTCCACTTGCGCTCCCGCGCCAAGCCGTCCACGCCGACTATATTGCTCAGCGTCGTCTTGACAGAGCGGCCTTCGAAATGAATCCAGTCAAGTGGCGCAGGACTGTTGAGCGGCATGCGAGCCGCTGATGCTGATGCACCTGATAGCGAAGGTCGCGGCACACTCGGACCACCGATCGTGCCAGGTACAGAAGGGTTTCCCGCTGGAGGCGAGTGCGGGGCTGAGGCATGATAGGTATAGTTCTCGGGAACAAGGAGGGGTCCTAGGAGCGAGATGAATTCTTCGTGCGTGATGTCGGGCAGAGGGTTGTTATTGATAACAGTCCTGCTATCAGTATCATCTGGGAGTAGGCGCGTCAACTATTCACTGCAAGTCATAGCCGTTAGAATTAGGCAATCCAAGCATGTCGGAGAAGATCAAAAGAAACCGCTGGTACATGGGTCCGGAAAGCGGTCAATCTGCACTAGAAAGTCTCCGCGCCACCAAGACAGTCGGGTTTGGAGAATAACCGTCGACAGCTATAGTAGATGACCAGATGGGGACAGTTCATAACTCGGTCTCAGTTGATGTATGGTCAAGCAGCCAAGAATCATGGTACTTCATGTGCTGAAGACAAAAGATGAACCACACATCCTTCCTGCGCGTCATAAACCACGCGCTGAGCAGCGTTACACAATTGTCCATGGCGCATTACCAGAGAAAACGAGAGAGTGATACCCGGACATTGCAAAGGCCGATGCAGGCAACATACACGACCCAAAAACGGCGACTCACCGGCATGCAGGACCCACGCGCTGGGCACGCCGCTCTGTTCCCAGACCTTGCAGAACTTGGTGCTCACGCCCTCGCGTTCAAGGTCCGCGACGATCATCCTGCCCTCCTCGTTTCCGCCGAGCGGCGCGACGAGCATCGCGTCGACGCCCGGGAACTGCGCGAGGACGGACAGACACGTGTTGGCGGAGCCGCCGCGCGCGTGCTCCACCGAGTGCGCGCGGACGACGGCCGACGGCTCGGGGTGGCTGGCGAGCGAGAGCGTGTGCGTCAGGAACAGGGTGCCGCACGCTACGACGCGCAGGGGATGCTGTCCGGCCTGGGTCGAGAAGGGGTCCGGGGCGTCGCGGCGCAGTTTGCCCATCGCCGGCGCCATCGTGCTCGAGTAGAGAAAGCAGACGCGAGGACAGTGCCTCAGACCGGTCGTGGGAGCAGGCTCGAAGCAGGCGTAATTAGCGAGAGCAGCAAGCGACAGAAGACAAACATAACAACAAGTATTGATTGTGGGAATATACTGCATTTGACTTTTACTTACCTCAATCAGTCTCGGGTAATATCCAGACTACCGTGACTTTCTAATGAGTTTCTATTGGCGCGTTGAAGCCGGTAACAGGCTTGCTCACCTTCCGCGACCATGGCGTCGGTATTCTCATCTTTTCGCTACGGGTACCGCTACATGGTATGTAGCGATATTGATAGGCAAGTCAAGGTATCGTCTGACTGCTCGGTTTCGTTTCCAGCAAAGGCAGGCCCATGAACAGCCCGTCATCTTCTACTCCTGCGTGCTCGGACTCATCGGACCTATCATGGTCATAACAATCCCACCGATCCGTAGAAAGTATGGCTATGTGCAGCCAGAGAGACCCCCAACTACCTACCCTCGTGCGTCATATCTCGCGTTCTGCTGTGACACGGGACACTGAGGTTGCCTTCCTAATAGTCCCGAATCGACCAAGAGTGCCAGTAACTGGCTATGACGATGAGTAGAAGTTGGAAGCTTGATTTTGTGGGCTGTACTAGACATAATGCTCGGAAGAAAGTCGATGTGCCCCAATGGTCAGTGTTTACATGTCTTCTGCAGTAAACACCTCGGAAACACAGATCATACTTGGAAGATGACACTGCAGACAACAACAGCCGGTCTTAGCGTTACATTCTTTCGCAGTGCGTATGGCATATTGATACATCCATAGTTCTTTTCCGTCCACTCGAACTGTCGACTACCCTACTCCACAGTGATGTACAAGTGTTTGCTGGTCAAGGTCGCCTTCGCGCCAGGTATCAGCACAATCGTCTGTGTGTCGTCAATGATCATCGCCGGGCCTTCGAGGGTGTCACCGGTGTGTAGAGACGAGAACAGGAAGACCGGAGTGTCCTCTACGCGTCCGACGCCGTCGAAGTACGTGCTGTGCGTCGTGTCCGCCTTCGCGCGGTCGACGGGGCGCGTCTCGAGCTTCTCGAGCTCGGCATACACAGACTCGCCAAGCTTGTCGAACGTCTTGCCGATGCCGCGCACCTTGACGTCGTCGACGGTGACCGTCTTCGTCTCGAGCAGGAACCCGAACTCGGCCTTGTACACCCGCCGGAACGCGGCCTCGAAGTCCTCCTGCCCATCGCCGTCCTCGTCCGCGGGCAGCACCATCAGCGCCGTGTCCGTGCCCTCGAACCGCATGTTCAGCATCCGCTCCGTGTGCACGTGCTCGCCTTCGAAGCCCTGCCGCTTGAGCTCCGCGCGCACGTCCGCATCCAGTTTGTCGAGCCGTGCCTTGAGCGTCGGACGGTTCTGGGCCGTGTAGAACGTTGAAGATGGTTCCTGCAGTTCGAAGGCACTGAGAGACGTGAGCACCGGCAGCCGGGCAAGGCAGAAAAAGGAACTCACCGGTCGGCTAGAGCGAGGCCGTAGGCGGACAGAATGGAACTGTATCGGTGGATAAGGATTGTCTTAATGCCGAGTAGCTTGGCAATCTCGCAGGCGTGCTGGCCCCCGGCTCCACCAAAACTCGCAAGGCTGAAATGACCCTCACTGAGACAGGCGGCAAAATGCAACTTGAGTAACAAGACTCACACGTGCTTGTGCAGAGCATATCCTCGTGCCTCAGTAAGGGCTCGGATTGGACGGCACATTGTCTCATTCGCGACTTTGATGAAGCTGCAGTAGGATCTTAATGCTCTGTAGCTGACTCTACTGCAAGAGTGCGCGTACCCATACACAACCTCGTCGAGGTCAAGCCCCTTGTCGTATGTCGCGTTGATTTCCTTCGCAAGTTCCTCGAACTTCGTCAACGATGCTTGCGCGTCAAGAGGTTCGTCCGCGTTTTTGCCAAAGATCTTCGGGAAATACCGGGGGACGAGCCGTCCGAGGATGAGATTGGCGTCGGTCACAGCGAGTGGCCCGCCTTTCCTGCAAATCCGTAGGATGGTATGAGTAGCGCACAGTCGAAGGTAGAGCGCACACACACCGGTAGCAGGCGGGGCCGGGATCGGCACCTGCACTGTGTGGCCCCGCACGGAAGAGACCGCTCTGGAACGTCAGACAAGACCCGCCCCCGGCGGCGACGGTGTTGATATCCAGCTGTGGAGACTGGATCGTCACGCCCGCTGTTGTGGTTTCGTACACGACCTCGTATCGCCCGTCGAAGCGCGAGACGTCGGTCGAAGTGCCGCCGACATCCAACCTGGCGATGATGAGCCGGGCACGTGTCGAGAGGGAAAATAACATACCCAATGACAGGGTGCTTGCGGTCCGGGTCCCAGCTTGTCAGTGCGTGTCCGACAACACCACCCGCCGGCCCACTCAGGATGCTCTTAAGCCCTGAGAAGTTGTTGAGGTCCACGAGACCGCCGTCACTGCCCATGAATTCGACACGCGGGCTACGCAGGCGGCCGTCCTTGAGCTTCTCGTCGAAACCGCTGAAGAAACCATCCAGGTAGATTTTCAGGATTGGGGTCAAGTACGCGTCCGCCGTCGACGACACGCCACGCGGGACCATCTTGATCATGGGAAGTAGCTGTGAAGAGAGAGAAATCTGCTTGAAGCCGATTGATTTCGCCACTTCGCCCACTGCGAGTTCGTGCTCCGGGTATGTGTAGGAGTGGCAGAGTACGGCTGCGAGCGACCGGTAGCCTTCGTCATAGAGTTTCTGCAGGTCTTTTCTTATTGCGTCGAGGTCTGCGTGGAGAGTGGATTAACAATCAGATGAACCAGCGTAGGCACAACACGCACCAGGCTTCTTCATGATCCTGACCGCTTCGCCGCTCAACCCTTGAACAACCTCTCCGGGGCCATCTGCCAAGCCTTCGCCGTCCCATCCCTTGCCTCTGTACCCGCGCGTGACCTTTCCGTCTTTGTCGAACTGCACGGCATGCTCCTCGGCCTTCGGATCGCTCGTGTATCCTACCAGCGTCACGCGCTCGTCGACCTCGATCACGGTAGAGTAGAGTGGTGGTGGTCGCCGGATGTTGAGGTCGAAGATTTTGGGACGAGACTGGTTCCCGATCAGCAGCAGATCGCGGAAGCCCTTGGTGATGAGTAACGCATGCTTCTCCCCTTTACGCTCGAGCAATGCATTTGTTGCAACCGTAGTCGACAGCCGGATGTAATCTGTGTCCAAATTGAGTCACATAACCGCGCCAGTTGCCCGGCATGCACACCAATCTTGTCAGTCTTCAGAACAGAGCCTTTGGGGTACCCTTCCCCAGTCGCAGTCTCAAGCACTCGCCTGATACCTTCGGTTGGGGCATCCTTGTAATTCCCAGCATCTTGCGATACTAAAGGGACGTGATAAGGGTAAGAAAGATCGCCATTTACGAGCGAGACTGCTGACGTAGTTTTACGACGATCTCCTTGATCTGCCCGGGGTTCTCTGGGTCTGGATATGACGCATAAACATCGCAGAAGGTGCCACCTCTGTCCGCGCAGATGCGAATAGATCTATCTGGTGGTACCGCCGGCATAATCGTCGCCTAATGGCCAAGGTTGCGACCGAATGAGCATGAGGGCCGCATTCAGGTCGTTCACGAGATCTAGACTTGCCTGTACTCAAGAGCTGGTTGCGCGTTGTAAGGCAAGTTACTCCAAATCAAAGCTGTTCCTCACTTGAGCTCCTCCTGATGCAGGTCCTCAACGACTTGTGAGCTGGGCAGAGTCAAGATTGAGATAAGCGGCGTCCGGGGCGCGGAAACGGGACAATTGCCTGATCCGCTCGTCCGACAACATTGTCTGTATACGGCAGTATGTTTGATCGGAGAAACCTCGGTGCCATTGACCATCTCACGGAGCTGCGCGAACTCTTACCAACCCTTTCCCGATCTTGTACCACAGCAAGTATCCACACGATATAACCGCACAAGGCTGACCTTGCTATGTGCGATAAGTTGGCAACCGTTGTCTATCAGTGACTACGGCCTCCTTGTCTACTCCTCAAGCTCAAGTCAAGTCCGCTCGGTACGGCCTAGTTGCGCGGAGACGCTCCATTCTTGAACTGATCTCAAGCTTTTCCAGGCTCAAGATGCCTTCTGTTCCTGTTGCAACCATGGGCAGGAAGCTGACGATCGTAAGCCGTGGGCGCATGCAGCTGGCGAGGTTTCTGGGCCCTTCCTCTCCTACCGGCACTGCAGCTGCTAGCAATGTCGTCTCCCTCGTAGCTTGCAGCGTCCATCTCGAACAAGTCGTCACACCTGTGTGTTCGTCTTGCACGACCCCCACATTGCCCCAGGAGCTTTGGGACATGGTCATCGACTATCTGCATGACGATCGCATCACGCTACTCACATGTTCCATTGTGTGCAGATCGTGGCTTCCCTCCAGTCTGCTCCATCTAGACGGCCACATTCGTGTACAAATTCCGTTTATGGAGCCCGTCACAGACGGCCCGTACAACCTGAAGCAGTGCGACACAGACATCCTTGCCCGAGTCTCTCGTCCGCAACACGTCAGCTCACTAACAATCAAATGGAACACCTCGAAGCGAGATCCTCCTCGTCCGCGTCTGCATCCGCATTATTCCATCATCCTACACAACAACCTATCTCTGGCCATACAAGCCATGCCGAATCTTGTCAGCCTAACGATGATCGGTCTACGAATACGGTATCCCAGGCATCCCCCTGAGTCCAAGGACGTCGTTCACTTCTTCCAAGCGGCCTTACAGCTCCCACGCTTACGCGAAATCACTATGGTCGGAGCAACCCTGGCAGAATACCCTGATGTGCCTCATTTGTCTCCAGACGTCGAAGTCGCCCCTTCGCTGGAGAAAGTGAGCATCAGAGAGAGCGCTATGAATGGAATCACCCTCGCGTGGCTATATTCACTCTTACTGCAAACAAAGGATCCTCGCCGTTCCTCTACCTCTCTTCGTCATCTTGATATCCCCTCCTCTTTCCTTAGCTTTTCTATGCAGGGTCACTTTTCTTGGTACACCTCGCTTCTTTTGTCCCTGGGACACGGACTGCATCATCTCGGCCTTCAATTTGGTCCTGTTCATGGAGCCAACGGTCAGACAGAGAGCATATTGACTCACCCAGGTGTGTTACGGTACTTGTTCCGACACGGAAGGCTAGCTAAAGCTTGTCCAGATTATTCTGCATTCCTCGGGGCGCTCTCTCGTTGCGTCAACGTGCGCTTTTTGGACCTGTTCCTGCACGGTCCAGACCAAGCTGCCGTCGCAAAGGCCGTATTCGAATACCTGACCACGCTGCCTAACACCCCGCCAATCACTGAAGTCGGCATCGCGCTGAGAATGCCCTGCGTGGACACAAAAGATCGCCGCAGAGCCCTCAGCAGAGCCACTGCTGCCTTGCGTGCCCTGGACTCACTGCTCTGTGGCTTGGGCCAAGTACGTTGTGTCACAATTAGGCCGACGCTGACAGGCGGTGGTATGTATACTACCGGCGAGTCGAATTCGTCGGAAGCACGTAGAGCATGCGAAGGGGCTGGGTTATTGTGGAAGCATCTGCCGAAGTTGCGGAAGCGTGGGATCCTTCGAATGGAGTGATGGAATCTTGGACGTCAGAGACTTCCTACGTGGGGACAGGCCGTATAAAATTGCATTGTACTCTAGTCGACTGCTGGATTGTATCAGATTCTTCACGAATTGCACATGTTTCCCGCTAGGCATTGAATGTTACGACACTGAGGCCTGAGGGGTGCATTAGACTGCGTGCCATTCACCAAGACAGCCTATCTCACAGAGCGGTTGCGTCGACTTTCTATGCACGATCCTGGCTAAGATCAACCGTGACAGGACGGGTTTCTGCAACAGGGATGTCAAGTGCTACTGGGAAGATGTGGTGTGAGCCGTGTTGAATCCAATGTCCACAACATAATTTGGCTTGTGACAGGCATAGTTTTCTTGATGTTTAACACCTTTTTATCGAAGAACGACATGTCGGTCCTACTTCAGCCTGAACTCGTCGAATTCAAGCTGTGATGCGCCTGACGCGCCATCATGTTTGCGCGTTACGCCAAACGCCACAAAGCTCGAACGAATGGCGCGGCGTACTCGCACCCGCTCCGATATTTGTCTTTTCGTCCATCCTCAGCTTATTCTAGCTGCTGTCTGTTCTTTCAACCTGGTCCGTGCATGAGCATAATAGTACCACGACTGTCGAGCATGGGAAGATATCGCCTTGAAGCCCGTCTTCTGAGGTTCGCTCGGCATCGGTTCGGCACGTAGCACTGCCCAGGATGGCAATGAACATGCGCACAGATGTTTACCTACCGAGGTTTTCTCACACACATGTTCCGTCGTCCGTCCCTGACGTCGCGGTGTCCGCCGCGGTACAGCCTCGACTGCCCAGCCTCGGCCGCCAGGCGCTTGATTATGTAAGACATCGGCTCTTGGCGGGCGCGCGCAGCGGCGCAGTCCTCTCGCACATCTTGCTTTCATACCACGACGATACCTACAAGAGCGAGCCTCACGATAACAACGGTACACTGCTTGCTGCCACTTGAATTTTGGACGATCAGTTCTGCGATGCGTACGTTGTACTTGCTTGTACCAGCGTTCGTCACTCAGTGTTCTATGCAGTTACGACCAGACCGTCGCGGGTACCGCCGACGCTAGTACTAGCGCTCTCGTTACTTCCTACTGCTCGAGCGAACTGCGTGATAGATGAGTATGCCTCAGCCATCTGATAGACCTTCACATGATGGATTTAATGAAACTTCTGTAGCGATGGTTTTGAGCATTGTACGCTGAGCACGGGGGCGCGTATCGGTATAGCTGTTGCTCTCAGTAAGTTTATCGTTCTATACATATATGCGCCCTGCATAGCAAGCTGATCTGTACCACAGTCATTGTGGCACTTCTGGCTGCTTCTTGCGCCATCCAACATCGTCGGCGCCGCATGCAGACTCATATCATCAGCACAAACAGTTATGCCAATGCACAGAACGTGAATTACCCACCAAACGGCTACCCCTCACCTTATAGCGCACCCCAACAGCCGTATGCACCGCAATATCCCCCTCAGGCTCTTCATGATGGCTACAACCCGCAGGCAGGGTTCGCTCCGGTACGTCATGCCACACTGCAGCGTCTTCCGAGACACGCCTGACAACCCGTTTCACAGCCGCAGGGTCCTCCGCCTGGTTACTACCCTCCGCCGCCGGGGCCTCCGCCAATGAATGGCAAGGAGGACAGTGTCTGATTTTCTATTCGCTTCAGGATGTGTATCTTCACTGCTGCATGTATCTATACCCGTGTATCCGTGTGCGAATTCTGTAATACATGTACAATTCATGCGAGAGCGTTGGGTTCGGTTGTAGTCGCCAGAAATTCAGTGCCTGGCATGACAGCGTCTGCGGCTAGTTCTCACGTGGTCATCTTACCTCTTCACTCTGTCGTCGTGCAGACCGTCCGCCGCTCTCTACTGTTCATTTCTTCATGCCTAGCCTTTTCTCTCGTTCTCGTACCAATTCGACGCCAAAGAAACCGTCTCCAGAGGTGGCCTTCGATGAATTCGGCCGCATAACGAGTAGGGGCTCTAGCAGGTCGCTCACCCCCGCAACTACGAAGAAGGAAAGAAAGTCCAAGGACAAAAGTCGCTCAAAACAGTTACCAACCGAGCCCGAGTCGCCAGAGTTCTCCATTCCAGACGGCTACCTGCCCTTGAACCTCAATCCGCAGCGTTACGAGCCCGGCGAGGAACCGGCGCAGGAGCGCAGACAACTTCTCGACTACGGCTACTTGTGCTACCAGCGACATGTCGTACTGGGCCTGGAAGAGGTCGCGAAGCTCGTAGATGTTGTGGGGCACGAGCTTGGCACCCGCGGTCTGACTACGCCGTTCATCTTCTCATCACTCGCACTGGATGTGTCCTCCGCCGCTGTCAAGCGGCTCATCGACGCTTTCTTGAAGACATGCGACGGACGCTACTCGGCGGAGGCGGAGAGACAGTGGCGAGAGGAGGCAAGGCTGACGGGGCCCCACGAGCTTGGTATGTGCCTCCGTTGGGGTCTCGCACGGATCGTGAGGATCGTCGGCAGCCAAGAAGTGCGCGGCTTGTTGTCGTACGCCAGCTACATCGACTGGAGTCAGGCAGAAGCAGGTGCATCCTTATTCCCGTCCTTCTCTGCAACACTTCTGACTCTCTCAAAGCGTTTAAATACCCGCCCACGTACTTTGAGACCTTCGTCGCCTCTCTGGAACCTATCCTGCAGTCACTGCTCGTCAGCCTGCTCGGATTGCTCACTCGATTCATCGCCCATTCTTCTTCTTCGGGACACACGCCACCGACGCTTTCACCCCTTTTCGGACCTCTTTTCTTCGGCCTGGGGCCCTCGAGTCTTGCTTTTCATCATGTATACGTTCACTATCTCCGTGCGGTCGCTGCGACCGAACACCTTCTATTTGCCTTCATCCGCTGGCAAGACGCACCAAGTGCCGAGGGCTCGAGTTCCACCACACTCGGTGTGCCGGCACGGCTCAAGGCGTGGATAAAGGGATACCCTGCGATGCTCCCTACAATTAACCCCATGGAGCGACCACAGCCCCGGCGGGGCGCGCGTACGACTCGTGTCGTCAGCGTGCGCCGCAACGTGCGCATGTACAGCGCCGACCTCGTCAAGACCGCGGCCGGCTGGGGCCAGCGGCTGCGCGGTGCACCGACCTCGTCGGACCGCTCCTTCGCGCTGTCCAAGGAGTGGGACCGCATATGCCCACCGACGCTGAAGCTCGCGCCGCGCTACTCGGACTCGTTCAGGAAGCGGATGGACCTTGCCACGAACTTTCACCCCGACGTGGGTGCCGGCTCGTCGTCGTCGACCCTCAGCACCGCACCGTCCTTGTCGTCTTCCACCTCGACCTCGTCCACTGCCTCCTCGCTGCTCGAAGACAAGGAGCTCGGTCTCCTGTTGGGAGGCAGGACACCGGAGGACAGATTCCGCAGCTTGACCGATTGGAAGTGGGGAGAGTTCGAGGCGATGGGGTTTGGGGACGTGTCCGACAAGCAGAAGCTGCAGTTCGACTTGACCGAGAGTGCGAGAGCTGTGTGTCCGCCATTCTTTTCATCGTCCACCCTTTTGTACTGATCGCGGCTGTGATACGCTCCATTTACACGCATTGTACAGGCCCGCTCAGCGAAACGTGCGACGCTCACCTGGCAAGACTTCTCCTCCACAGGTTTCTCCCGGAACGACGCACCTCTCAGTACTACTCTGCAATTTAGCACGCCAGTAACGAAGACGATCGACGCTTGGCCTCAGCAATCCCAAGAAATACACCGAAAATTGAAGAAAACGCAGAAGGCGCTGCCCTCGTTTGGCTGGGACACGGAGCCGGTCGTGGGCGCCGAAGAAGTCATCGAAGAAGCTTTCATCGATGTATTCTGCGATTTGATATACGGTGGCGGCTGGCTGGATGTCGAGCGTGGAGAAGAAGCGGACCGGGAGTGCAACTGGGCTCTGGTTGGCCGCTCTCTCTTATGAAACTATATCATTCGTGTTGACTTTGCTTTAGGTTGAGTTCAAGTCGCTTCCGGTCACGCGGGCCAACATGACCTCTGGCACATCTGATCCCCGAACGTCGATGACACTGATTCTGTTCGAAGAGTTCGTTCCTCTGGAATACAGGCAGCAGCTCTACACCAGCGGATCGACTCGACGGCGGCTTCCCTCGTTGTTCGGCACACCATCCCGCAAGCAGTGGAAGCCTGCCGCGACTCTCAATGGCAGACCGTATGTCGTAGGCCATGTACCGCACAGCCCATCCTACCGTGAGGTAGAATTCGAGGGTCTCATACGCTCCAACGAGAGTGCGACGAAGGTTATGACGCTCAGGCCTCCAGCGAGGGCCGAGTCAACGAAGACAGTGACACCGCCGCAGAGTATCGGTATGCCTCCGGTGCAAGCGAAGCCCAACCTGTTCTTGACACCTGTGGCCGCCACGGATACGAGCATGAAGAGGATTTCCAGCCGGACCAGCGACAGCGGATCGACGAACAGTCGTTCAGGTACACCGGTGCAGAACGGAAACCGCAAGTCTGTTTTTCGGCTACCCATGAGCCCGACGACGAATCGTACAGCGGGACTCCCCCCTGCTGAACACGACCCTGTAGATTTTGAGGCGAAGACGATCTACGGGGACGAGCCCATGGGACATAGCCGGGGAAGGCCGAGTGAAGACGCATGGGTGGACATCCTTGTGGCGAGCAGCTCCCGCCGTCTTGACGCACAGGCCGCTGAACTCCAACCTGGCAGCGGCCTTCGTGGCGACCGCTCCGATCCTGATCTCGCCAGCCAGGAAGTTTCGGAGGTGCTCGCGGCCGTGCGCAACGGCAGAGTCTTTTCCGACGATGAAGACAGCATCATGGAGCCCGTGACTGTCGAGTCGGAGAACGAGAATGGTCATCATCAAGACAATCTCACTGTTGGTTCTACATCTGAATTGGATCACTCCATCGCACCCGGGAGTTCGATACTGGACGGGTCATCGGTGGGCGATCTGGAGCGGGAAGAGGAAGAAGAAGGGCAGGACTCAGTACCCTTCAGGCCGAAACGGCTGGGCTACTTCGACTTGCACCCTGACCGCCGACCTGTATTTAACGAGGACTCCACAGAAGTGTCGCAAGCTTCCTCAAGTACATCGGTCCCTGAGCTCCGCATCGAACCTTCAGCAGACGAACCGCGCCCGTCATACGAGAGCGAAGCATCCGAGTATACCGAGTCACAATCCCATGACGACGCGCCTGCCCCGCCGCCAAGGGCACACAGCCCCAAGCCACGGAGCGTCTCCCTCGCGAACGGGTCTCCCGCTCCGTCTCTCCCAAAGAGCCCGGCTGCACCTGTCCCGCCCGCGCCGCAGGCGAGCAAGACGGCGTCGCTCATCGAGATGTACCGCGCGCGCGAGCAGGCGAGCACCGCCAGCCCGCCATCCAAGCTCCCCGTACGCGCCGGCGCTTCGCCCCAGCCCGGCGCCAGCCTCGGGCTTTCCTTGGCCGACCGCAGCCGCCAGCTGAACGTCCCTGCGCCCCGCTCGAGGTCGCCTTCGCCCTCGGCTGTGTCCGTGGACAGCGTCGACGAGTCACTCTCGCAGCCGCTGTCGCAACCGTACCTGGGTCTGGGGCATGCCGACGCTGGTCTGATCAGCAGCGCCAGCAACCCGATACCGTACGTGCATGGCGCGCCGCTGCACAATGTCCTGGAAGAAGAAGAGGACGAAGAGGAAGAAGAGTAAGGGCGCGGGTGCTCTTGCTCACTACCTCGCATTGCGCCGAGACTGCGTCGCGTGCGTCGCCTTCAGGTTAGATCTCTTTCGGGGAATGTGGCTGTAATATTTATCATTTCTGTTAAGGACTTTCTCTCTGTGAATCTGGTAAAATGCTCTTCTCGTGCTTTCCTTGCCTACTTCATACATGCCTAGTCTGCGGCCTCTTGGACGTACATGCTCCCCTGATTTTCGCAATGTCTTCGAGAGAAGATACCTACCGTTATTTCTCGAGATACCACTGCATCCTGGCTTTTCATACCGGATCGCTTTCTCGCTCGTTCTTCCTCGCCCGTTCACGTACCCTATACAGCTCATATGTTTACTATTCTATGTTGTTTGGTATTACATATGACCTCGCGGTTGTGCTCGTTTATTTGTGGCGGCGGGCGGGCGGCGCAGATACAAGTGGGAAGAGGAAGAGCTAACCAGTACAAGCTGTCAGTGATATGGACTTCGACATGGATAGGCCTAATGCGCGCTATTCGAAGGTCCGCCGCCGTAACGCACTGAACCGACCCGGTCGAACGAGACGGCAACACTATCCGTTGTCTAGAACGTTGAAGCTACCAAACCCTAATGTTAAAGAGACACGGTACCGTAATGCTTAGCTCGATCTCCCATATCGGCAGCTTTAAGGATGCATTCTAGGGCGTGCTAGACACTGTTCTGTGCCCGAAAGGACGGAGAGGGAAGCAGAGGGAGGCTGCTTGATAGGCCGAGAACGAGAGCGGTCCAGCGGACGAACAGGATCGTCTTGACCGGGTGCAGTAGTACGGATCCTGCTGCCGTGCTCTGTGCCGCAGGTCAATCTATTATTCGTCTGATTGTGAGCCGTCTTCCTTGTCACACCTCGCCGTCTCCGTGATGAGAGCATGTTTGGGCTTCCCTGACACTTTTTTCTAACCGTGCGGCTCGCCCATAGATACCTACCGACGTTCTGGGCCCGTATTATTGGTTTGAGAGCGTACCATTTACCAGTGCGCTTGGCTAAACGTGTGAGAGATGATCCTCGGAGGCATCTCGACGCAACAGCTGGCGCGCCGGTGCGGGTATACATTCTGCAGGAAATTCAGGCCAGACGGCATCTTTAGAGTTTACACACCTTCGCGACAGCATGGAGGTAGCGTGGATGCCGTTGAGCACCGATGGCGTACGTTATTGGCCCACATCCTCGCCGCGGCCGAGACACAGGGGTTTGGCTTCTCCCGTGCAGTGGGCATAATGAGACCAGAAAACGGCGTGTTCAGTCTGTTACTTTATCTGTCTCTGCTCCAGAAATCGGCCCCCCATATACTAGTCTCGTGAACGGCCTTCTCATCGATTCGAGCTTGCAGGGGTATGTCGACACTGGCTAGGCTGATATGGACCCTGTCTAGAACGATGCGCAGAGAGCATGCGTTGCATCATACAGCGCCCTGTGATATATTCTAGCCAATGAACATCAGTTTACGCTGAAGAAGTTAAGACATGAACACTACCGGACGACGAAGCATCCCGTACCCGTCGCATCGCATCGCTTCTAGTCCTTTCACGTCTGAATGCATTCCTGATCGTTTGTCGTGTGAAGCCACCGAGACCATGCCTCGGAGAGAGTGCCGCTATGAGACAATCTTATTATTAGACAGGTTCCAGTATAAGAACATGGATGAACTGCACCGGACCAGGCCTGCGCATTCACAAGGACAGGTCATTCGCCAGACTCTGTTACATCTGTCCCAGTCGTCGCCCAGACCTGCGCGCTTCAGACATTTCTGGATAGCAGACGCGAGACGCGTAATCTAATCTTACGTCATCACGTGAGTGTTGCTGTTTCCTTGCTTTTTCTTCCATTTTTCACCTCTCGCCCTGAAACGGTCTCAAAACTCCTCACGAAATGGCCTCTTTTCTTCGTCGCTTTATGTCCACAGCCTCTTCAGGCAAAGGCTCTAGCTCCATGTGAGTGTTCGGTCCTGTTAGGGCTGTACAAGTAGCTCAACCGGAAGTACTGTGTAGGGCCAACGTCTTTGTACGTGGACGCGTTTGACAAGAACTAGACGAGAATACTTACTAACGCGCGTGCTGCTCACTAGTTCGATGTTGCTGCTGACTCAAAGCCTATGGGTCGCATTGTCTTCAAGCTGTATGACGATGTCGTCCCGAGGACCGCGAAGAACTTCCGTGAGCTCGCGACAGGCCAGCACGGATTCGGCTACGAAGGAAGTGGCTTCCATCGTATCATACCCAACGTGTGTATTCTCGTGTTTTGCAGCGTATATCACCTCTGACGTGGTCATCCTCCGATCGCAGTTCATGATCCAAGGCGGAGACTTCACCCATCACAACGGCACTGGTGGCAAGTCTATCTACGGAGAGAAATTCAAAGGTGTGCTGTATCACTATTAGATGTGGAGACATTTTACTCATTTATGCTCAGATGAGAACTTTGTTCTCCGTCATACCAAACCCGGTCTGCTTTCCATGGCAAACGCTGGACGCAATACCAACGGCTCTCAGGTACGTTGTACAGTTCTCATGATGTTACGGTAATATTGAAAATCTGATCTTGGCGCAGTTCTTTATCACTACGGTTGTCACTTCATGGCTCGACGGCAAGCACGTCGTCTTCGGTGAAGTCGTCGACGGTTTGGACATCGTCAAGGCCATCGAAGCTCAAGGCTCCGAATCCGGACGGCCAAAGCAGCGCATCGTTATCACATCTTCCGGCCTCGTCGAATAGACTGCCCACCTTTTATTCGCATTTTGTCAATTGCTTTCGTTATCGCACACACTAAACATGCGCTATATCATCTTCCGCTAGTCCCGCAATGCACCTGTGATACTCGCACGATTCTTGTCCGACTCACGGAGGTACAGCCCTCAAATCAACATGGAGCATGTTCCGATCGCGGAACAGAGAAAGAGCTTCAGACAGGAGCTGCATGTCCTCCCGTACACTTATTATGCTCCCGCGGAGGTCGTATGGACGAACCGTGACGTGCGTGAGCTGGGGGAAGCTGCACACGATGTCCTGCAAGTCTTGCAGCTTGACGCGTATGATGTGCGGATTGCCTATGGGGAAGGTGTACGTGGACGGGACACCGATGGCAAGATCGATATGCGTGAGCGGTGCACGCTCAAGTATACTGGTGAGAAGTTCTTTGAGTAGGTGGCACATTGACGAAAGGCTGCTAATGTCGCTGAATGCAAGACTGAGTGAGCGGACGCCAATGCAGCGTGAAGCGCCCTCCAGCAAGGCGGTATACTCTGAACAGCCAAGTCAGCATGGCATCGCTTGACGTGTATAGGGAGGTAGGTACCTTTTCTATTGAACAATCCCGATGTTTGGCTCGGGTTTGCGACGAATTCCAGGCCTAAGTGGTCAAGACTGTGCGCCGTAGCCTGGAGCAGCTGTATTGCAAGGCTCGCATCAGCTGTTGCTCCGTTGTAGAGTGCTACCGGGGTGTCCAAAGCGCAAAGCGGCACCGAGATTGAAGAGGCTTTCGCTTCATGGAGATTCCGAAAGGTCTCCTTGAGCGCGGGACTGGCCAGGTTGCATCTCCGGACCGTGAACCTCTCCAGAAGAGGGACGTATCGCCCGTGCCGAGCATTCGACGTGTGACACCAGAAGTTGTCGAACGCGAGAGCAACTAGGTGCAGCTCTCGGAGACACGGCAGCTCGAGGACAGCCCACGGGAAGCCGGGGTCCGTTGCCGCAGGTTCTCGCGCCAGGCGAAGCCCGCTGAGCTTTAGGATTCTGAGGTTGGGAAAGGCTGTGAGTGTTTGGCATAGATTCGCGTGGAGCATCGTATCATGTGGGCCGTCCGACCACATTGCATCAAGCGGCTCGCCACCAGTCTGCTGCACGATCAGCTCGAGCACTGCTTGAGTATCACTGACTGTGCAGTATGACAAGAGTGGCCTGGGCTTCTGGTCGTCAGGCGGAGCCACGCCCCTCTGGGGAACGCGCGATGGTAGGCGGACGTGTATTCTGCGGCGAGCGAGATGGTATTGGGCCGAGATGTTGAGGGAGCGGCAGACGCAGGCGCACGATGTCAAAGCGTCTGGGTCGTCGAAGAGATAATCGACGATCATGTCTGTGAGCTCTTGTGGGAGACGGTAAATGGTTGGCACATCGTGATGTATAGCCGGCGCGTCAGTTGTCACTGCTGATTTCGAAGAGCAGCGGCGTGGCTTGATACTGCAGTTCCGTAGCCAACACTGTAGCGTCCGTAAACCAGGAGGAGGCATGGTCTCATCACACGCAAAACTGCGAGCGTGAGGCTGAGTTGCTGTTGAGTGCTGATTAGATATCCGTACCCTCTTATCGCGGTCTGAAATAAGCAAGCTTACAAAGAGCTAGTCAGGATGTCCTCCGCAGAACGGTGCGAAAACGCAAAGTTCAGCATACGCATGCTTAATATGTGTGACAGTTTGAGTCTCACGGTGCGGAAGTGCGTGACCTAGGTATCCTGGCGACGTTCGGCCCTGACTGGCCGATGAACTTCTATATTATTATGTAGCCCTGTGTGGATTGTGCCAGCCAGAGGCCACCTGTGGAGCCTGAGAATAGAAGTTTCAGTACAGTCTACGGACTGTTGGCGACTAGAAACTCAACTTGAATACGACCGTAAGATAATTCTGTTATGATCATGCTCTAGCACATTTTGGAGATGCTACTATGTCTATGTATCTTCATGAAACAAGGATTTAACTTGAACAAAATGATTGTCCGTTACATAACGTCCTTCCATGACTGAGCAGTCCGGGAGCAGAAAGCCTATCTTAGGCAGGTGTCAAAGAGGTCGTGCGATGCCATGGTGGATGTATAAAACGGAACAAGAGACAGCTTTGCTCCGCTGCGTGATTAATGTTTTCGTTCGATTGTCTTTCGTGGCTAGTGCCCTCATGGCTGGTGTTCTCGTGGCTGATGGCTTTGTGCGTGCTTGGTATTTAAGTTGACATAAACGAAATTTGCCGCGTTCTCATGGTCAAATTTTATATAGTGCGCAAGAAAGCTGTGCGAATATACGGAAGTCTCTCCTTCACTATCGCTGTGACCGGTCGGAGCTAACCTTCTGGTAGGGGTCTCCCGGCCACCCGTGGTGGTTCGCACAGCGTCGCTGGACTGGATGATATTATATCAGTCAAACAGTCGGAAGATAGGAGAAGCCAGCGGAAGCCGCAGGAAAGTCGTGATCAAGGGCATGCGATGATAGGTACAATGATGAGATGATATTACCTGACTGAACGCTACACACCGGTCACTGCGCGAGGAGCGGGAACGGAAGAAAAGTAGTTTGCGATCACTTGCGACGATGATATCGAGCGAGGGAAAGAGCGAACTTGGAAATAGGGGGTGTGATCGGGTAAGATCCTAGCTGCTGAAGAAACCTTGAAGGATGGTGCATTGATGCACAAGCCTACGCTGAGTTGTCGAGATGCCACAGGCACATTCTGGTGAGGTCATTACATCGAATGCCCTGCGAGCTAATATTTGCTCCATAACACTGTGATAGCCCTACATTGGTCGAGTAAGTTACCGTTGCGTTAAAACCACGAAGCTTAGGTATTGAATATATGACGGGACGTTCAGCAAATAGCTTCGGTATGCGGGCCATTGAAGGAACAAATACCGTATGTTTTACCCGCTTTCCTTGTTTTTCTTGGATATTCACCGCGCTGACGACCCACTTTGAGCAAGGATGGCCTCGCTATCTGAGAGACACGACCAACAAATGATACGGGGGCGGCAAGATATGCTCCCGCAGGCGCATCAGGCGCATCAAAGAGTCTCGATCTGAGATCTCGACGGCCCACGGCGTAGAAGAACTGATGGGGCCTCGCTATTGGCGGTGTTCTCTGTTGCTTCACTTCCGTCACGGTCAGATGCTGTGAGCGGTTCCTCTTTCTCTTCTGGCACTGGTCTGCACATCCCATGTCGTTCCTTGGTCTTCGAAAAACACGCACTCCGGCAGATAATGCAGACAGCCTCCGTGTGCAAGAGCCGGGCTCGCAAACTCCGAGCATAAGGTCGACCGGCACGTTCAGAAGCCGCCTCTCGAGCCTCAGTATTTTCACGCCAAAGCGTCTGCGCTCACACGTCTCGAAGAAATTCGCAGGCGGCGGTGTGGGCTTCACTGCAGCACGCGAGCCTCATTCATACACGCCTTCGCGCTCGCCGTCGCCGGAGCCATCGCTCGAAATCAGGAGACCGAGTGGGCTCGGTCGGAGGGCAAGCATTACGGGTGACTCAGGCGAATGGTGGGCGGAGGAACCGTACCCTCGGGCACTCGGGGAACGCAAGCGGAGTATAAGCACACCAGAACTCTCCTTAATCTTCGCAGATCGTGAACCTGGACGGGGGACGGAGCACTCAGAACACGAAGGTGGAGCTACAAAGCCCCGTAAAGCGACATGCATGCTGTCACGAATACCGCTAGACCTACTCAAAACCGCTGTCTATTTCGTGCCCTTCTCTGACCTGCCAGCCGTCGCGTTGACCTGCAAAACCCTCCTCGAGGTAGCGCGTAGTCGACTTTATCGCAATGTCGACCTGCTCCGCGTCTCAGACGAGGCGTGCATCGATAGATGCTTCAGCCTTCTCGCGTCCAAACGGGAGGTAGCAGTACTCGTGGAGACGTTCGCTTGCAAGTTCGTCCCGCCATCGCATAACCTCGGGAACACTTCACCTCTTCCCGCCTTCACGTTTGCCATTGCCCTGAACAATATGCACAACCTTTCCTCTTTGGTTCTTGCTCGCTTTGATTCTGCTTTGCTATTCCATACGACCTTCCGTCTACGAAGGTTGACTTTCCTCTGCGAAACTTCCTCACAAGGCGAGCTGGAGGGCCTATTCGCGTGGTTGGCGAATCAGCCGAAGCTAACGTCCCTATCGTTTCCTCATCTCACCCTCGATAACGAGAGTGTCAAGTGGTTTGCTGCTGCTGGCAGTCAGCTCGCCAATATACCCGAAGAAGACCAAGACAGCCAATCTGACAGCCCTACCATGTTCCCCTCCACGTTTCTCCCAGCCCTCGACCACATAGCTGGTCCTGCGCCTCTTGTTAGTGCCATCGTACCCGGACGTCCGCTGACGTCGGTAGCTGTGCACATCCACATCACGATCTACGACGGGCTGCGGCCATCAGCCCTAGCTACCGAGCTCACACGAGGAAGCGTGAGCGTGACATCTTTCTCTCTCGTTACGCCGCGGCACAGTCGGGTCGATGCAAGGACCATTGAGCGTGTGCTTATGGCAGCGGGAGCCGAGCTCGGTACGACACTCAAAGTCCTGGAGATTGAAACTCCTCTGGAGGACCAGGTGAGTCAAGATGCACCAGTTATGCTCTCGCAGCTCTAACGCTATTATAGGTATTGCACAAACATGTGCACGGGATTCTACCTCGTTGCCACAGGCTACACACTCTGCGCCTCCGTCGGGACGTCAGCGGCCAGGACTCACCCACGCCATCGCTAGGAAACCTCGTTGTGTTCCCTACCGCCTCTTCGTCTTCTTCCTTCCTCAGTCGCCCCATCTCACCCAGCCCCACACCTCTGTGTATGCAAGAGCGATCACAGCTCGTCATATGGAGCAAACAGTGTCCAACGTTGTCTTCTGTAATTTTCCCCTCTGGTGGATGCTGGCGCATCTCAGAGAGCCTCGCGGGCCCCGTATACACTTCCATGGGCCGCGTCAAGACCGTCTAGTCCTCATCACCATGCTTTGATACCTCAAGTGGAGGAAAGTACCTTATATATACGTAATATTCCCTTACCGTCTGCTCCGGTTCGTTGCATCTGATCATATCGCGGAGATTCGTGGGAGAAGGAGCATTGCCTAGTAAGTGTGCTTCCTGTGATTGTGGCAACAACGCTGACTTGCTTATCATGCCACAGCCATCTATCGTGCTGTACATTCATATTGCTATTTCGTTCGCTGCACCGCCTCCAGTTTTTCAGTCGTGCAAGCTTGCTCACGATATCCGTTGTTTGATAGCATTATTGCCCTCACCTGTAATCCGTGACTATCTGATTGCTGTACACAGATTAGCGCGTCATGCGCAGTCCGTATGCTGCCAGTGTGGGAGGCGTTGCGATTTGATCTAGATGATGTCGATGCAAGGCGGTACACTGGAGCAAATTGCAGCCCCGGATGAGATGCACTGCACGACAACTGCCTTGCGGAACAAGACATCAGTTCCTGCCTTTGGGGTTCTCCATCATATGATGCGGTTACTTATAAGCCGCGTTTCCTGCTCGATTGACTTTGACATGCCTCTACGTGTCGTCCGACCCAACACCCTCGCTTTGGCTCTCCATCGACCCTAACAACGCGACCCGCAAGCCGGCTTGCGTACGCATGCTTTTCAATATCACGGCATCCCACGCCAGTCCGATGGTCACGTACGTCCCTGGGGCACTGTGGAGGGAGACTATGGACGGAAATGCTACTGGCCAGTCATCGGTGGTGAGTACCGTGTTTTGTCTTGGTACGAGCAGGGTGAATGGACGCTGAGCAGTTGCGGGAAGGAGACATACCACTCGACAAGCGCCATACAAGGGGAAGGAAGGGTTTTCTTCACCTGGTTCGGATCGGGTAAGTCGATTAATTTCCGGTGCAACCGGAATTTAACTTTATTTTGCTCAGGTTCCGTGTGGTTTGTTCCTCAAGCAGTTCTATCGAGGACACAAAGCATTGACAGCGTACCCAGGATCTTTGGCGCACGCAGGCCGTCGTTGGGGCCATATCAAGTCCTACTCGACGGCCAGAGTACGAAGTTCCCAGGCTTCCGTGACAGCGATACCGCGTCAGATGATGCTATTCTCTTCCACCTACCCTCCAGTCTTCCCCCAGCTGTTCATCGTCTCGAACTAATCAACACTGGCGGGGACGCGTTGCAGCCCATACTTGACCTGAATCGTGTCGGCATCCTCTGTTCGCTCTATATCTTCTCATGCAGCTAACCCCACCTCCAGATTGTAGTCCAAAATGAAGCACCCAACGTGACGGAGATCACGAGTAGAGACCCTAGATGCAAATGGGGCCCGACGGGCACCGGTTCCAAAGGTTGGTCAAACAATGGGACTACAAGGTGAGTTTAGCTACCAATGGCGACGTGTCGTCCGAGGTAACGACTGTCAGGCAAAAGCACAACAAACCATGCGATGGGGACCTTGATGCTCAACTTCACGGTCAGTTTCGTCCCGAGCATCCACTTGTTCCGTTAACTGACGCCATCTTTCAATCAACAGGGTAAGTTCAGCCCGAGCCTCTAAAACTCATCTGCTCAACGCGAGCCAAGGTTCGGGCATCTCAGTCTATGGAACCCTCAACCCAAACAGCTCGTCGTTTGCGGCCATCGTTGACGGCTGGGCGTCGAACACACTCTATCCAAACTCACAGCTCTGGCTTGCATCAGAAGACGAAGAGTTGCTGTACACGACCTCTGGTCTGCTGCCCGGAAACCATACGCTGGTCGTCCGGAACAGCCCGCCGTCGTGGAGTGAACAGGGCTCAAGAAATCTGAGTATAAGCAGAGTCGTGGTATTTGACGCTCAACAGTAGGCATTCCCTAGGTTGCTGCGTTTTTACCGGGGAACTGAACCAGGCATTCCAGGCCCCCGGCTGCTCCAAAACCCTCTACGTGAGTGTCTTCTGGATGCTGATCGAACAGACGCGCTCAACGGTGTTTACGTAGGCGGACCGACATCATTATTGGCACAGTTCTCGGCACCGTCCTTCTCTGCGCTCTTCTTTGCGTTATAGCCTTGATGGTTTTCAAGAGCCGCCGCAACCAGAAGATGCACCACCTCCTTCGACCTCGACCGTTCATTCTACAAAGTGAAGCGAGACATCGCGAATTTGGACATTCCCCGTCCCCGTCTTATTCCCATCGGCGTTCAGTCTCGAATAACTCCTTGAAGGATGCTTCCGCTATGGCTGTGGCAGGAGAGTCCCAGGCAACATACTATCACCAGCCAGAACATGATCCAGTAGTATATTCGCCGTCAGAAACGTTGTTCGATCGGAGGATTGCCGCGCCACTGGCGGCATTGCGAACGCCGGCTCAAGTTTGGCCAGACGGCAGAGTGTTGCCTGCCCATAGACCGTTGTGATACCACCAGCTTGGCGGGACCGGCAGAGTAATTTATCATTTGTGAGCCTCGCCATCCCGTTAATCTTGGCACTACTAAGCATGCTTTCGTAGAATTAACTACTTGGTAGACTTTCGTTTCACATTGGTACCCACGTCACTCCTTAGCAATGCACGATCTCTTAGACAGATGTCATTATCCATTCGGACTAAATTTAAGCCCGCTTCACCCATCCTTCAAGTGTGTTCTTCTGTACACTATCCTTCTTGCGCCTCTTCCTCGACTTCTCCCCGCTCTCCTCGTCCTTAGGCGCGCTCGCGACCATCACCTCCCACAAGCGCTCAAACTGCTCCGTGGTGACGATGCCGCCGCTCGCCTGCGTGTGCCCGCGCGCAAAGTCATTGCCCACCGCCTCCGCGAACCCCGGCACGCGCGCGGCGTAGTCCTTCAGGAGCGCGATGACGTCGACGGCCGCCCCGGCGGCGGCGGGTCCAGGGCCACCGCTCGCGCAGCGGGCGACGCGGCACGAGAAGTGCGTCAGGCCCGGCGCGTAGCCCGTGTTTGCGACTATGACGGCCTGCAGGCGCGCCGACCTGAGGTGCCCGGCCCAGCGCGTGGCGACGAGCTCCGGTGTGGCGTCAGCTTCCGCGGTTGAAGATGGGGAGTGGGGGAACTCACGGGGTGCACCTGCGCGGCGCTGTCGATGCGGAGCAGCGCGACCCTGCCGTCGCCCGAGAACGCGGGCGCGACGTGTGCGCAGCGCGCGACTTCGGCGGTGACCTCGAGACGGGCTTCGTGCAGGCGCTTCGAGAGCGCGAGCTGGGCCGGAGACGAGCGGCGCGGGTTCACGATGTCTGATGGGCCTGATGATGCGAGGAGGGCCTACGCGCGGATGAGGGTAAATCAGCGGGCACAGTAGCTCAGCATGCGAGAGCGCACCTTCCAGGCAGACTCGACATCGAAGGTGGCTGTACGCCTCGCTGGTCATCTCGGTCATGTCGGCTTCCTCGGGCAACATTTGATCAAGAACACCTACGGGCATTGACAAGGCTGATGGCTTCGTTGATTACCTTCTTGATGTATTTCTTGAAACAGGCCTTCATGTCTTCCTGTGGGAAGGGCGGAGGGAACTGGAACGACGTGCCCAGATCTCCCAGCGTACCCATGGCGCAAAGATAGTCGCATAACGCGACCACAGAGGGATGAAGGGGCCGGCAGAGTAGATACGCCAGCGTTGCAGATGTAACGACCGGCTCGTATTTGCACGCCGAGAGAACCTGTGTGCACGCATATCAGGAGCTAGGCACATCATGCGGCAACCTGGAGGTCGCACCAATGTGTCATCCGGAAACTCGTCGCTGAGATGATGGTCAACCAAGAGCGTCTTGGCTCCTGGCACGAGCGCAGACCCAGGGCGGCTTCCCTGGTCGACGACGATAGCGTAGTCGGCACCATGAGCTTCCAGCCTCTGCCGCTCCTGTTCCCGGTGAGGGTTCGAACCTTGGGTAACGAAGTGGACCCTGAGTGCCTCTTCAGAGTGCCCTAGAGCGACGAGCGTGCGGTATATGATGAGTCCCCCACTTAGCCCGTCTGCATCCTTGTCTGGTACTAGCAGGGTGCAGGATGATTTCGATGCACTGGCGTAGCTTGCGTTATACACCTACATGCGAAGTAAATCTAGGTCTACTCACCATTCTTTCAAGAAGTATTGTGCATCCTCTATAGCTTTCGACGAGGCTGGCCATTCCGCCGTTTGAGTTGCGAGCGGCGGCGTGCCGTTAGACTCTTGGCTGCTCGCGGAAAACCTTCTCTTGCCTGTCATGGTGTTAGGCCTCGAAATCGAGCTGGCAACGCAACGTGACAGAAATGCCTCTGAAGAGCCCGAGCGGAGAAAATTAGAGATTAGAGAAGTCAGAGCTGGGGAAGTGTGCAAGGGCGCTGGTCAGGAGCTCGAAGCAGCACGAGTATGAGACCGGCATGTGGTCGAGCCATACCTCCAGCCGCAATGCCTAAGACGGCTCTGCCGTTGTGGCGCAAGCGGCGGAAGCGTATGAAGTTGTACTCCTGAACTTGGCATGACCGCGGCAGCTCGTGGTAGAAATTGAGGGATGGACAGTATTGCTTGCATGGACGGTAGAGAATGTGGCCAAGACTGCTTAACCTTGTCGAGCAGTGATCACGTCCGTCGTTGAGCACGACGTCGGCAACAGAAAAGTTGAGTATGACGTCGAGAGACAGAGCGAGTTCGGAAGTACGGACCGAGAGCCGGCCAGACCTTTCAGACTGTTCCCTATGTCCGTTTCAACTCTTGACTTTCATCATCTCTTTGACTTTGCTTCTATTGCCAACTGAAGCCCTTTCTGCATGAAAATAAATAGGAAGCAACATTGGGCGAACTATATTTTCCGGTTCTAATCCGCATGGAGGAGGTTTCAGGAAGAGGAGCAGGCTGTAGATGCCACGACGACTGCTGGCTCAGGTAGATACAAATTACTTGCATGTGTCGTAATCTCTTTGGTATCTGTAATATGACTTTCTGTTCTCCAATGTGGATGACAAAAATGACGGAGAATCAACCACACTTGTTCAAGCCAAAGTCGACGACCCGGCGACCGCGTACTCCTTCCGCACGATCCCTTGCACGCCAAAATGCCCTCTGACGTCCTCTCCGCCGGCCGAGACCCTGTTTAGCTCTGTAATTTCACGATGCTCCGGCAATCCAATGATGTCTCACCGTACTCGTGACACGTCCCGGACGGTACTTGTGCGCCGAGTTGCAACTTCAAGTATACCTCCGCTCTCATGAGCCCGCTCTATTTGCAGTTCCTCTAAGCCTCTCGACCACCACCACCACCACCATCACCACCTTGCTGAGTGTGTTCTGACACGCTACTCGTCGTTGGCGATGAGAGGAGACGCTCTGGCGGTGAGCCGACTCCGACGCGGCGGACCCGTCCACGCGCGGCTTGCGGGGAGTGTAAGGACGTACCACGACAGGTCTTACGGATACCGCGAGCCACGTCGCTTTGCCTTGCCAGACTGTGCGTAGCTGTATTCGTCCCGGGGCGACGCACATAGTGACCTCTCACGCAGACAGCCCCGCTCAGCTCGAGAACCGGACGAAGAACGCGCCTCTGCTGCGCTATGTCGACTCGTTACGCATGCACGGCCACCGTGCAGCACACATCGACCCGCTCGACCTGCTCCAGCGCGAAGAAGTCGCCGCGCTCAACCCTGCTCGGTACGGCCTGGCAGACCCCAGTGCGAAGTACAACATCGACGGCATCGTCTGGACGCGCCCCGTCGGTGAGGCGGGCACCTCAGAGGAATGGACGCTCGCACGAATCACGGAGCACCTCCGGCGCATCTACGTTGGACGCATCGCGTACGAGTACATGCACTCGCCGTCCAAGACGGAGCGGCTCTGGTTCTCGCACCTCCTCGAGTCGCAGGTTGCGCCGGCACCGCTCTCTGCGGACGAAAAGCGCAGGATCCACAAGCTCGTCGCCGAGAGCGAGGTCTTTGACCAGTTCATGCAGGCCAAGTTCCCGAACCTGAAGCGCTACGGGCTCGAGGGCGGCGAGTCGATGCTACCTGCCATGGACGCGCTGTTCAGGTGTGCAAGCGAGGGTGCGTGGTTCGCCATATGTATGCGTATAAACTAATGTCTGCTAGCTGGCATCACGAACATCATCTTTGGCATGGCACATCGAGGACGCCTGAACCTGCTCACCGGTCTCCTTGAGCTCCCCAGCCGCAGGCTCTTCAACAAAGTCCTTGGAGGCGACGAAATCCCCAGTGCGCTCGTGGAAGACGCCAAGGCATACGGCGACATCGTCAGCCACTTGGTGTCTAACCCGACTCTGGCATATCGCGCGCACAAGCTCAAGGTCTCCATGCTCCCGAACCCGTCACACCTCGAGGCCATCAACCCTGTCGCGCTCGGCAAGACACGAGCGAAGCAGTTTGCGCTACTCAAGGAGCTTTTCGGTATTCCCGTAAGTCGAGTCTGGATATGCTACGCATATACTGACCTGAGGGTTGGCCATGCAAAAATCGCAGTCGGATACGGCACACTTGAATTCAAAGGCACGTCAGTCCGAGGCTCAGGGACAAGCGAACGCGGCATTGCAGGAACATATCGGTGAATGTTACCCCGGCGACAAGGCCCTATGTGTTCAGATGCATGGCGATGCGAGCTTCACTGGTCAAGGTGTCGTTATGGAAGGCTTGGGTTTGAGCAACCTGCCACACTATACCGTGGGCGGTTCGGTCCATATCGTCGTTAAGTGAGTCTTGGTTCCCGTGTGGCTGACTGGAAATCTAAAAAATTATCGCTGTGCTTTCCAGTAACAGGTACGAAGGAGTCTATACTGTCACACAGGCCCTGGTGTCTCTAACAAAGCGACACTATGGTACAGCATCGGATACACCACTCCAGCTTCTGGCGCTCGCTCTTCGTTGTACTGCTCTGACATCGGCAAGATGATCAACGCTCCGGTCTTGCATGTCAATGGGGACTATCCAGAGGGTACCTATCTCTTGTCTGCTAGGTCACAGTATGTGCTCACGCCGATACTCCAGATGTCACGCGCGCTATCGAGGTCGCATTTAAGTACAGGAACTTGTTCCGCAAGGATATCATCATTGACCTGATCGTATACCGCCGATGGTGAGGTATTCTTTGTCTTGTTTTTAGTGACGCATGCTGACACTTCTGGTATTCAGGGGGCACAACGAGCTCGACGAGCCAGCCTTCACTCAGCCACTCATGTACGAGAAGATCCGGTCCAGGCAGTCCGTTCCTTCGCTTTACGAGCAGCAGCTAATTGTGAGTTTATTGCTCCTCTCCTATAAATTACTCTCCTGATATCTTTTCGTCCTCTAGTCCGAAGGCGTTATCGATTCATCTACCGCCGAGTCCATCCGGTCCTTGCACAAAGACCATCTGAACTCCGAGCTCGCCGCCGCCGACACTTTCGATCCGCCACCTCTCGAGCACACCGCCCAGTGGAAGGGCATTGTGTCCCCGCTGAACGACGCGGCAGGTATCGAGCAAGAATCGCCTGTCCTTTACCACCCCGAGACCGGCATCCAGAAGGAGCTCTTGGTAGAGATCGGTAAGGCCAGCGTGGCTACGCCTGAAGGATTCGTGCGTACTATCTTCGCTGCGGAGTGTCCATTTAGAGAACTGACCTTGCTCATGGCACACAGGAGGTCCATTCGCGTCTCCAGAGGCACGTGAAGCGCAGGCTGCGGACCCTCGAAGACGGAAAGGACATAGACTGGGCAACTGCTGAGGTGCGTCTGGCCGCTTCGAAGTCGCCCTCAGAGAACTCAGGTGGTGTCTACAGGCTCTGGCGTGGGGTTCGCTCATGCTAGAGGGCTATGATATCCGCATCTCCGGCCAGGACGTTGGCAGAGGCACGTTCAGCCAGCGGTTTGTCCATCCCCTCAAGAGACACGGCATCTCCTGAACTGATGAGGCTTGTTCGCAGACATGCGATGCTCGTTGACCAGAAGACAGAAGGCGTCATCGTTCCGCTCAACGAAAATCTGAAGTCGGAGGGCAGGCTCGAGTTGGCTAACAGTGCGTTCACACTCGTCTATCGTTTTACTTGTTGAGCGCCGATTCATGCGATGTGCAGGTTCGCTTAGCGAATATGCGGTCCTTGGTGTAAGTGATGACAGCCCGCACGAGATAATCTGACTTATATCGATATTTTGGTAGTTCGAGTACGGTGTGAGCTGGGAGCGGCCAGATATCCTGCCAATCTGGGAGGCGCAGTTTGGTGACTTCTTCAATGGGGCTCAGGTACGATTTGCTTTCCATTTTGATGTGCATTGAGGTTCTCATTATCTTCAAGATTATGATCGATACCTTCATTTCTTCGGCTGAAGGTCAGTGATCTACTTCGTCGACGCTGCAGGAGGATCCTAACACCATTTCTAGCCAAGTGGCTGAAACAAAGCGGCATTGTGCTTAACCTTCCTCATGGGTGGGCGTGATGCTGACGTCGAATGTTCCCGTGCTAATATCTGTTCTATCAGCCTCGACGGTGCCGGTCCCGAACACTCATCTTGCCGCCCAGAACGGTGGCTGCAGGTAATGCCATGCCTTGTATCATCGTGTAGTCAATGTCTTAGTCAAATTGCAGATGACAAATGATGGGGTGATATATCCTGAAGATGAGAGCAAGAGCCCCAACGTCAATATGCATGTCGTGTACCCTACAACGGCAGCGCAGTACTTCCACCTACTCCGCCGACAAATGAAGCGCAATTACCGGAAACCCTTAATTGTCATCGGTCCCAAGGGCCTGCTGAGGCTTCCGGTAAGTGACAAACAGTTACTTGTTGTCCACCAAAGCTCATCAGGGTCCCGCAGGCGGCATCGTCGACTTTGTCAGATATGGACGCCGGCACGCAGTTCCAGCCCGTACTCGACGACCCATACATCCAAGACCCTTCAACAGTCCAGTTCATCTATCTCCTGAGCGGCAAACAGTTCTACGAGCTCGACAAGGCCCGTGAGCCGCTCCGGCAGCAGGGAAGCGAGACCGCGAACCACATCGCGCTCATCCGCATCGAGGAGCTCTGCCCCTTCCCGTGGGTGCGCCTCCGCGAGGTGATCGAACGCTACCCGAACGCGAAGGGAGTGGCTTGGGCACAAGAAGAGCCGTATAACGCAGGAGCGTGGCAACACGTCAATGAGCGCATTGTCAGAACGCTCGCGCGCGTTCCCGGCGGCTTGGAGCTCAGATACTTCGGCCGCGAGCCGTCGGCAATGCCTGCGCCCGGTTCCGCAGGTTTGCACCGGACTGAGCAGGAGTTCGCTTCGGAGAATCTTTATCGATACTCGGAGTGGAGCTAGGTTTTGAAACGTAATTTGCATGGACGGATACATTATAGACACGAATACTCTTTTTCCGAAATGACAACATGTCGAAGCTAATACATCTGGGGAGTTGTGCTTTATCGACGCTCGGAAGGACTATTTTATGGTACGTTGTGGGAAATACGACTCTGCAACGTGCGGCTCGCCAGCTTCCACAGTATTCTCGGTGTAAACATGTCGGTCGGAGGAGCAAGAAGCATCCGGACGTGCCACATGCACGAAGCAAGCTCACGGTCCTAAGCACATAGAATTATTATCGTAGTCTGGGAAAATAAATTCGGGACTCCCACCTTGATTGCTGCATCGATGAAAAGGTCGAGGTACCACCGGGCGAAGGAACCGCAGTCGAGCGTCTCACCTTTGACAGGCCTAGTGCTAGAGAAACCATAATCTGTACGTGTATTGAGCTTGAGGCCAGAAGCAAAGAGCGTGGCCACAAACCGAATGTCTTCGTCGACTCCCTAGGCTCATCCTCGTGAGTTTGAATATCTCAGAAACGGACAGCGGGACGCACCACAAGGCCTCGCCGTGGTTGCTCACTTCGTGGAAGTACCTGAGCCCAAAGTCGGCGGGCATGTCTTCTTTGCCGGACGAGCGCGGCACGGGGTTGCTGGATGCAAGCAAGGTGCTCAGGGTCACTGCGCCCATCATGGCCTTGCTACAGCCCTGGCTGCTGGTCGCGTCAGCGTCAAACTGGTGATGGCAGCCGACAGAACGCTGCGCACGCGTAGATAGGGTTCAGCTGGAGCATGGCATCGCCAATGGCGACGAAGTTCGAGGGAAGGCCTTCCACGTCCTGGTAGCGAATGTACGAGCATGGCCCTGTGTTCGAGATTGATACCGTCAGTGCACTGATATAGAGTGTTCGGGAGGAGTTGCTTACTGATTTTGAGTGGCTTGAACTTGGGTTCGCCCTCTTCACAAAGGATGCGGAGTATCTCAATCAACCACTCTGGCACAGGCTCGCGCCCTCTCGCAGAGCTGACGTAGCCCTCGATCTCGCCTGCAGTGAGCGGGAGCGAGACGTCGCCCCAGCCGCCGCAGCACAATTGCACTGGATTGTCCGTTCAGCACACTCACTCTATCGGCAAAGACATTGACCGACGTACTGGTGTCGTTGTCCATCTTCCCAAGCACGAAACCCTCGTTGCAGACGTTGTAATGCGGCACGAACGTGTACAGCCAACCGATGCGATCGAAGCCGTCCTGTCCGCCTTCGCGCAGGAGGCGATCGATCCGGGACTTCATACCGTCCGAAACAGCGAACGTGATCGTCACGTAGTACAACTTCTGGTCATATTCGAGCCGGACCTCGGGAGGTATGTCGTACCCTGCTTTCCTCAGCCACTTGAGTCCCGCTTGGCTGTCGCCCGAGCAATCTGTGTACTGTGTTAGCGAAGCTTCAGGCGTAATTGTCACGGAGATGTACCGGCCACCAGCGTAGGGTCGTTGATGATGATCTCGCCACCGTCGTGCTGCCTGATGATAACAGTATTAACACGAGCGCCGTTGGAGTCCCTCACTGTCTCCAGTGATCTGATTGAGCCCGTGATGGTGTGTATGTTTGAGCTCGCTTTGGACGGGCCGAGCAGAAGCTTGCGGAGGAGGTTCTCAAGAACTGGACGCCGCACAAACATCGTCTCGGGAAGCTTCTTCGCTTTACCCTCATACTCCTCATATGGCGCCGGCATGAGGGTCCCGCCGAAGAAGGGCTTGACGTCCCCAGGCGCAATGCTACAGTATAATGGGTCAGCTTGGACAACAGACAAAGTGGCGATGATACTGACAATCCTCCGGCATTGCGGAGCTCTTCGTCAAAGTTTGGCCAAAGTCCCCGCATGCCCTCAAGTACGAAGGTCAGGTAACCTGCAATTAATTGAATTAAACAGGATTAGGGTAGCAACGCGAGAGCGTACCGTGCAGTGAATCATACTGGGCGATGCGAGTACTTGGCTTCGATCTCACGACCTCATGCAGCTCGGGATCGACGATGATCACGTTGGTGAAATGGTCAGAGCAGACGCGGGCAGTGAGCAGTCCCGAGATACTAGACGGGAGGTGGGGTGAGGCCTCGGAGATGTGACGTATGGCGGCTTACCTTCCTCCACACACTACCGCAGTGCCTTGAATCTTCTTCCCTCGTTTTATACCGAGTAGTGAAAGGCCCTCGACCGTAGTATACCTCCGAAGAAAATATAATCTGAGAAGCCGGCCCACAAATCTCCAGAGTAGAAGGAAGATGAGCGGGCTGGCAAGCAACAGCGTACTTGCCGGAGCTAGATGTAACGAGAGGTTCATAACACGAATAGATACCTTAGAGCTGACCCTCTACGAATGGAGGACATATATACGCAGCGCCTCTTATGCTGCTTTCATGTGAATTCGTCGCCTTGAGGGCATCAGATGATGTTGTAATAACTCGACCTTGTCGGTCGGTGGTACGACCGAGCATAACAATGCTTCGAAGCTAAGACATAGCCACATATAGCCTATTGCAACGTAGTGCATGAGCTTACTTGAAGCGAAGCCATCGGAGGCAGGTGGAACGTTGAAGTCGACGATTTTGCGGCACCGGAGTCATGCGGATGGCTTGCCTGCGGTGAGCACATAGAAAGATCGGTGCGCAGCAACGTAACCTGACCTGAACGCAGCCAGCCAATAGTACACACAGAGCTATGAATACAAGCAATTGCATACCTGATATCACATGCTAGGGGACATGTAGTAGGATCCGGGCTGCAGAAGACTTGATTGAGCTTATTATACTGATTGCGTGCCAGAGATTCTCCATCGATATCGTCCGAGCTTCTAACGTCATCATAAAGGACAGGGGACCAGCGGCACACTGCCACTCGTGCTGCTTGACGCGGAATGTAGCTCCGTATGGCTCACAGGCTGTAAGCATGAGCACTAAAGCGGCCCGAGCACGGTCTCAAGGTATGCTTGCACGACGCCAGAGCCCGCATCTAACTCGAAGCGCCTGTAAGAAGCATAATGGTGGGCAATCCGCTGTTATAGTGTCATGGTCTGACCAACAGCATCCATTGATAAGTTAAACTCCAAAGCTTCCGATCAGGGAGCGCCGATAAAGGTTGGACAGCAAGTGGTGTTGAGCTTATACGAGGCTAGAATAAAACATACCAAGCCTTGCTTATTCCAGGTACCGGACCTCTGCATGGGACGATGTGTTGTGTAAAGCTTGATCCAAGGCTGCGAGGGAAAGCGGGGTAATATTCGCTTGACGGAGAGCGTCCAGATCGTGGGCGCTTCGAACGCCACGAAGCCGCTCGGGTTACGGTCTTGAATGGCGGGAATGTCGTTGCCTCCTTCCGTAACGCAAAATCCAAGCAAGACACGACATAACCCTGCAAATGAGTTCACTGAAGGATTGGAGGAACCGAGGGGAATGGGGAAGAAGGAGCATTATACCAGACTCAGGTATTTGGAAGTGCTTAATGCATTCTGCTTCTCTCTCACGCAGAGTTCGTAAGAGCTTATGGTACAACAAGTGCAATTGCGAACCTACATAGTATGACGATCTAGTGCACCGCGCAGTTTTACAGCTGAGCTCGTGTGCACGGAACAGATGTGAGAATGCATATGTGGAAACCTAACTTAATAGCACGACGCAAGAAGCTTAGGCCCTGCCGCGTTTCGGACGCCAGACACCCTTGGGCGCGACGGTCTGGAAGCCGTCAGTGTCCCTTTGAACCTCCTCTTTCTTCGGCGCGGGGGACTCGGGACGCGACGCAGGTGCTGATCCAACAGCCTCGACGTCTTTCTTCACGGCCTCGCGGGCGCGCCATCCTCCGCCGCCGCCGCCGCCGCCGTTGCCGCCGCCAGCGGCGAATGCGCCGGGGCGGTATTTGCCAGTAGCAGGAATTTCTGAGGGGAGCGCAGCAGGCGCGCGCGAAGGCGTCGACGGCGCGGCGCTGCCACGACGCCAAGCACCCTCGTCGGCCGCGGGCGCGGGCACGGGCGCAGCACGCGCAGGGGGAGCACGCACCCCCAAGCGTTCTCGTTCACGCTCTCGTTCGCGCTCTGCCGCACGCTGGTTCCGGCGCTGCTCGGCCTCTTCCTCGCGCTGCTGCTGCAGGCGGGCTTGCTCGAGCGCAGCCTGTCGCTCTGCCTCGCGTTCTTTCCGGAGCGAGGCGGCCTTTTCTTCCGCCTCGAGCTTCTTCGCCTCCTCTGCCTCCTTTGCGGCCTCTTCCTCGGCGCGGACGCGCTCTTCTTCGGCGAGACGAGCTGGAAGGGGCAATGTGAGTCTGATCTCGACATTTAGTCTCATGACACTCACCCTCTTCCCGCTGGCGCTCCTCTTCCTCCTGCTCGCGCCTCAGACGTTCCTCTTCTTCGTGATGGAGCCTCTCTTCCTCGCGCTCCTTGAGGATTGCCGCGCGCCGCTTGGCCTTTTCCTCTTCGATCTTCTTCTGTGCCAGCTGTTGGTGCTTGGTAAACTCCTCGCCGCGCTTGCCAGCGACGACTTCGCGGTATGCCCTCCAGTCGTCCATCACCTGTAGCAAGCGCTTCTTCGTCTCCAGATCCTTCTGGTGTGTAAGACGCGCTGTCTCTACGCGCGCCTTTTGTGCCGCCTCGTGAGCCGCCTTATCGTTCGCCTGCTGCACTTCATAGTCCATTGCCAGCAACGGTCGCTCCTCCTTGCGGTATGCGCGCTCAACGTGGTCGATCCGCTTCGAAGCGATCCGCATCTTCTCGTTCAACCCGCGCTTCTCCTTCTCGAGCTGCTCCACTTGCAGCCGCATCAAGTTGTCGGTGCTGAGGTTTTCCATTTCCTGCAAGGCGTATTACTCAGTTGCGAAAGCAAAACATCTCCGGCCGGACTTACAGTGACGTCGACCTTGAGCGTGCCCTTCTCCTTGAGACTCTGCGCTAGCTTCCGGGCCTCTTCGGTGCGGATAGCCTCAATCTCCTTGCGCGCACGCTCAACCTCCTTCTGGCGCGCTTCCGCAACACGTCTGCGCTCCTGCTCTTCCTTCTCCTTCCGGCTGAGCTCTGCTCTGCGGCTCGTCTCCTCCTTCTCCTTGCGCGCAGCAAGCTCGATCCCGAGCTCGCGCCGACGCGCGACAATCGCCCGCCGCACCTGCAACGCCTTGCGCTCCGCTTGTGCCGCAGCCATGAGCGCCGCGAACTCGGCCTGCTGCCGCTCCTCGGACAGCGGCTCGGGCGGGAACAGCGTCGCAAGCGAGTTGTGCAAGCACGTCGCCAGGCTGTTCAGCCGCGTCTTCACGACCTCGGACGTCGACGGCTGGATTGCGGCTGCGTTCGCCGTGGTGCTCGAGCTCGGGTCCTCGACGGCCGAGAATGTGGTGTCGACGAAGGTGATGCTGCCCGCCGAGTGGTCAACGCGGATGTTAAGCTCTCCGCGGCGCGCACAGCCCATCACATATGCTTCGATCTGCTCCTCGTCGAACACGCTCGAGCCTTCGGTCGAGCTCGCGCGTAGGGGTGCGATGAGCTCAAGCAGGTTGTCGACCTTGATAGACGAGTAGACCTGGGACAGCTGCAAGAGCAGACGAGACAGCAGAGCATGCTGCAGAAGAGGAAGGTACTGCGAGTAGCTAGCGTCGGATTGAAGGGATTGGAACAGTGGTGCAATGGTTGAGCACAGAGTAAGCGGGTCAAACGTGACCTCGAGGATGTTGTACAGCTGCTTGATAGGTTCAGGAGACAGCTTCAGAACGTTGCGGGACAGCTAGGCGACAAGGTCAGAATGGTCAGTTTCAAGGCATAATTATCGGGACCTACAGCATCCTTGAGTAAACCCTGACGAGTAGGAGTCTTGTTCAAGCCAAGGAGTGCAGTCAAACGTTGGTTCTTGCCCTTGCCATCCTCACTGCCATCGGCAGACTTCGATCCGACCGGAACAGCAAGAGCGCTGACAAGCACCTGGCCAGCCAAGCGACGAATCTCTTCGTCGGACTTACCGCCCATGGCGGTGACGATACCGTAGGAGCGGCCCCAGGCAGCGGCGTGATAGAGGGCATTGCCACTCATCAAGAAAATCTTGGTGAGCTTTTCGTAGTAGTTGGCCATCATTGCGGGGCGAGGTGCCTTCTTCGCCATAATGAGGAGGTTGTGGATATCCTCAACGGAACGGAACGCCTCCTGCCAGAGCTCGAGCTCAACTGAAGTGTTCAGCTGGGCGAAACGAGTGTCGAGGTGATGCTGCAGGGTCTCCGAGTCGGAAAGGTTGATGGAATGCGGCTGGTGAGCATACTTCGCGACATTCGATAGATGAAGACGCAGAGTCTCGCAGAGGCGGCGGAACTCCACTTTGCGTTGGTACTTTAAGCAGAAGCGGAATGCTTGTTGCGCAATTTGCTATAAACCCCACATTAAGACCCCTTCGTCGGAGCGTACAACGTAACACACCTGGTACACGACCTCCAGCCTTGCGTTATTTTTCAGCGTCTCGAGGGCGGTGCGGTAGCTCTCCCACAGGAACTTCAGCCAAGGGGTGACAAGGGCCCTGTCCGTCCTATCCTTGCTTTGGTCCCCGCTAACTGCACCAAGTAGGATACTTTCCGGAGTCTCACTAGCTTCTAAATCGTCGACATCCACCGCCACCACCTTATCAGCTTTCTCCTGCGCCTCCTGCACTTTCGCGTCCGCAAGCTGGATGAAGCGGTTGATGACGACCTCGATAGACTGGACGCTTGTATTTTGTGCAATGTTCTTGTATTGCATAAGACCTTCTTTCGCAGTGCGGCCCTTGCGCATGTCTACGCAAAGCTCGACGAAGCGCAGCATAATTGGTTCTAGAGATACGAGGGGGGTGGAACGGAATCGCTTCGCGGAAAACATTTCGGTCAAGGACTGCAGGGCTGCATGTGTCTGTCCGACGGAGACAAGGCCCTCAGCTTGCTTGAGGACCGTCTCGGGCTTTGAGAACGGTGCCATGATTGCTTCTGCGTAAAGGTTTGTATGCGGGCCCCCGATTCCCTGGTAGCGTCCTTAACTCACTAATTTGTTGTAAGATTCAGCACCACGCAGTGTCTGATCTGTTTCCCGATGTTCCCGCCGGTGCTGAAGACTTGCTGTATGTCGTAATCGACGACGAGCAAAGTGGATGGAAAACAGTAAGCTCTGGGAAATATTTAGACGGAGCTTGAATTATCGCCATGTGCCGTTCAAGCGCCCAAGCAACAAGCGGCTCAACAGCAAGGACGGCGTGGGGCTGGTTATACATGCCAATTAACTCGTATGTAAACACTCTAAGTACTAATGCAACGATGCAGTTCTACAGATGGTGAATAGTATGTTATCCTTGCAGAGTCCCATGGAAGCATAGAAAGAAATGAATGAACGGCGGGCTAGTGTCATGACTCCTCTTCTGCGGCTTCAAGTAGTAGCTCTACGGGAAAGGGTCAGCAAGGAATATCGAGGTCGGCGAGCGGTCCCAGCTTACCTCCCCACATAGAATTTTGCATTGATGACAAGACGTTACCAGCGTCCTCTTCGACAACACGCGACTCCCTTGAAGACGAATCGAACCTGGATACGCCAACGTCAGCTTCAGAACAGAACCAAAAGCACAGGATACGTACGAGCCACGCATGCCTGTATCGCCGATAGATAGCATGCTAATATCGCTAACGCGACGACTTCTCTGCAGTGTACTGTGCGAAGGCGTTTCGAACGAAAGCGAGAGTTCTGGCGAATGTCCTCGGTAGCTTGGTGACGGAGTCTCAGGATCCATGTAACGAGACGTGTACTGGCCAGGAGAAGTGATATCCCGTGTGATTGACGGAGGAGTGACCGGTTCACCGGCGTCGACGACGATGTTGGGTAGCCCTAGGGGGATTGCTCATAAGTACGAGTTCCAGGATACCAAAGGGACAGAGGCTCACCATGTTGGACAAGCTTTTCCATCCGCATCTGCTCCTTCAGGGCGAGGTACCGCCGGCGGTGGGATATCATGAGAAGCAGGGACTGCACACGATCAAAATCTACCAAATCTGTGACTAGCTTGTTCGTCTCATTTCGGATGACGAGGTCATGCAACCTACAGATACGGAATGAGCTTGAAAATTGCCAGAGTCTCAATCATGCACGTACACTAAGGCCTCTTGGTCGACAATGAGTTTGTGGTGGGCGAGCAATATTAGCATGTTCGTGAAGGAAATTCCTTTGCCGGGTTCGTAAGAGATGCGAGCTTCGTGGTACAGTCGGTTCCACACGTTTTTTCTCCGCTTGATCATCTGGCGGTCTATGTTGTTGATGTTGAGCTGCAGCTTGCGGATGTTTACGGGATATGTCGAGCACTCTTCTTCCGCCTTTGACCTAGCCATGATGTTCTGCAGACTCCATTCCGTCGGATATATCTTGACCTCGAATATTCCAGACAGTTTCTGCGGGTGATAATGTGAGGGCTGGGTTAGCCACGAAGTAAGGGTGAACATACCGAGAAGAAAGGCACGAATTTGTTGCGCCCCAAGTATCCAGTCTTGGGATTCGCAAATTCGGCCCACACCTTCTTGAAAGCGCGCATCTCTTCCCGAGTAATCTCTTTGGAACCGCCAGTCATTTGGAAGACGTAGTTGAAGCTCTCAACGACAACACCTGCATATCGTCAGCTCTATAGGTGCTGGAGAGAGCGGTATCGTCTTACCAGTGAACAAGTTCGCGAAGATATACTGCATGTACACCACACCATCAGTAAGGCGTGGTCAAGATAGATCCTCGCACTTACCATGCTGAGAAGATTCCAAGCGATGAATAAGGTGAAAGCCCAACCAGTACTTCCGCAATCGGAATCCCCGTTGGCAGACGACGCGTTGGTACAGTAAGGGTACACGAGAGCACTGCATCCAACGCTCAGCACAAGAATATCGCGGAACAATCTGTCAACGCTTACTAATCGTGCATGTACTGATTCCATCCTTCGCTGTATAGTCTGTCAGTTCGTCAGTCGTCCTGAGATGTGAGAATACTCACCCAGTTGTCATAAAGGCAAGCATCAACAGCGCTTTCGACATCGACGAATAGTTCTGGTTACGGGTCTCCCCCGTGCTCCATTTCGTCAAGCTGAATACCTCGACATAGAGGATAGCAAAGAATAAAAACAGAACTAGCCAGAGACTCAAAAGGCTGAGTATGACCGGTAAGCTTGCACTACAAGCAATCAGAGGAGAAATATGATTGATGTGAATAAAATACTTACACCGCGGTTTTGAACAGTTTGTTTAAACTGTTGGTCCGCTGTACGAGTTTGAGCGCGATAGAAGTAACAAACAATTTCTGCAGCTGCTGGACTGCGAAGCCACCAGCGTTGAACCGCACGATGATGATGGTGATGAGGCTGCCACCGGCAACAATGATGTCGAACAGATTCCATCCGTTTGCGCTATAGCTGCTCCAACCCAGACCGTATAACCGAACGGTGATGTCGATCAGGTAGATGATAGTTACACAAAGAAAGAAGTCGGCTGCAATAGACGAATGAGTACTGGTCGGTACCCCAGTCAAAACAACTTACTGCGTAGGTCATCGAACGCATGCTGAGAAGCAAAGGTCTGAGTCATCAACGCGATGACATGCAAAACGAATAGCGCTGTCATCATTCTGTGCCACCAACCATGCTTGTGAACAGCACGGTCGTGGCACCATGCTCGGATGGGCCAGGTAGGTCGCGTCTTGGGACGTTTCGAGGGACGTTGTCGCTTGATGAGCTTCTGGAGATCTATCCATTCTCGTTGGGGCTGCGTCAAGAACGCGCTACCTGTCCTCGATGTAAAATTGCCGATGATAATACTAGGGTGGGATATCAGTTTAGTCAACGAAGAAGAGATATGTCACCGCATACCTAACAAAGAGTGTGAGAATGACGACACCGCCCAAGAGATTGTAGATGAGGAAGAAGATCGCGTTGGCCTGAGATACGTTCTGCTGAGGTTGCTGATCAACTCCTGTGATACTGACGGCGACTGACATGACGTCAATCCATCCTTCTAAGGATACAATCTCAAAGAGAATAAGCAACGAAGCTTTGAACGAATCGAACGAAAACTTCGTCGAAGGATGAGGGTTGTCCCAAACACGAGGTACCAAGAAGTTAAACGCATTTGGGTCATTCTGGAGGACGCCATTGCTGTACTCGTTGATGCAGTTGGTTATGTTGGTCGCGTTTCCGTCGTTACATTCGTTCATGAGACCGGCAAAGATATTCGTGCCCCAGACAGCGTACGGAATCATGTAGAGGATCGCCAGTAGCGCGGCATCGAAGATACGGGTGGCTCCGAAGATGATCAAGGATTCGAATGTCGAACGCATCTTGTCGATGAGTGTGATGAGTCGTAGAGCCCGAAGGGCTTTCAGCGAACGTGTTAGCCGACTGAGGCCACCGATGAAGATGAGTCCCGTAGTGACATTGATGACCAACCCCACCATGATCAGGAAGTCCAGGATGTTCCAGATACTGCGTACGTAGGCATTTGGTGTGAAGAGAAAACCATCGGCGATGATCTTGATGAGAAACTCGACAAACAGAGAAAGACCGAAGGCAGCCTCCGCTATATCGAACCACGAGCCGCGGATGAATCCATGTTCCTGGTACCACTGCCTGCGATAAGGCGGAGTCGCGATCCACTCTATAACTATGCCAGCAACTACGGTCAGGAGGAGCACCAATTGGAATATCGGGTGCGCGATAAGAGAAGGTGGCGCCCCGAAGATTCGCTCGCCGTTGGCCGGAGAAACTAGCTTTTGGCACGCCTGTCGGAGTGGATTTTTCTGTGAGAATATCCAGAAGGTCTTGTCGTACGTGGGGTGGTCTCGAATGAAGTCGGCCTTCTGAGCTCGGCGTTCGTACAAGATATCGTTGACGTCGTCCACGGTGGCAGTCTCGTTGTTCAGCGCAGCAAGAACTTCTCTAGAAGAGCTGGTCAACTCAGGTATCACGCCGACAGGAAATATCATACAAGTGCCTCTCCGTCTCTTCATCAATTCCGTCGTGAGGAACAGCAGAGTCTCGGCGGTTGCTTCGCAGGGTAGTCAGCGGAACATCATCGGTCTTTTCGCCAGAGAACAAATTCTGGAGGATATTGAGTGATCTCTTCGATACATGCTTAGGCCCACCAGATCTGCCTGCACCGTTCTAGATAGGAATTCAGGTATACAAGGGATTAACATATGAATTGACGCCGCACCTGAACACCACTTCGACGGTCCCTGAACGGCAGGCCGTAGTCCTGTACTAAGCTCTTCTGCATAGGAAGGACCAGATTGGAAGGTAGCTGATCTACTGCAATGGCCTTTGGCTTCGCTTTGAACCATCGATACGGGTTCATTCGACGGATCCACGGAGCACGAGCCTTCTGAGGGCGTTGTGCGGCCCAGAAATGAGACGCTTGCTGGCTACGCTTCTGTTCTTCGGCGACGTCGAAGTTTTCGTTGATGACGGCAATGAACATCTGGAGGACAATATCTACACGAGAGTGTTAGCCCCGATCTAACGCCATGTACTGCGCCAAAACGCTCACAGTTCGCGAAGAAGAACCATCCGCAGATAAAGAGTACAACTACGGCTGACTCTCGTAAGGGTACTTCCGCCGTCGCGGCGTCATACAGCACGTTAGTCCAGTTCTCGGACGAGAAGATCTGGTATACACCCAAAAATGAGTTGAAGACTTCCCCCCAATCGATGAATCTGCTACCGTCCTGCTGGATGTCACCGCGGAGAAGCTGAATGCCGACGAGTGCAGTGATGTAGTTGATCATGAGCAAGAACAGAGACATATTGGCCAGACCATACATATTTCCAAAGACCGCGAGCTGCAATGCCGGTAAGTAACTGGGGGAGAACTAACGGGACGAACTTACCAAGAGAGGCTTCATGCGCGGAATTTCCAAGATGACGCGATAGAACCTCGCCAATTGGAATATGGTCAGCCAGGGATAGACCGATGAGTTGTGGATAGCAGGGATTTGAATGATGGAAGAGCCGATGGCCAGGATAAGGTCCAGCCAATTCTGCCCACGCGCGAAGAAGCCACGATAGCTGGGGAGATATGCAGCAAAGCGAATGAGAATCTCAAGGTCAAAAACGAGCGTCAAGGCAAGTTCGCCCTTGTCCAGGATCTCCTTGTGCGTTGGACCCGCATCTACGTTACGTGTTGCCTGGAGGACCAGCGACGCCAGCGCGAGCGCTACCCAGCACCAACGAATGCTCTCGTATATTTCCTTCAATCGACTACGTTTAGCCACGCGCCGGCCGTCAACAATCGACCATCCTTGATCATCGCGAAGTGCAGGTGCGAGACTGTTAATATGATGAGTACAAGTACTCAGTCAGGCTAAAAGTCTGAAGGACTTACGGAGCGGCGCCGAATGCGCTCTTATGCGTGTCTTTCCGGATCGCAGAGAAAGTGTTCGTAATGACGGCGACAAACAGGTTGATGAGCCAGAAATTCAGCACGATAATACACACAATGAAGAAGAAGCAGGAGATGAAGAACTCGGAGTCCATCATGGCGTACATCAATGGCGACCACTAATTCATGTTCAGATAATGAATAACCCATAAAGTTATTTCGAGACTTACGCCATTAGAGGAAGATACAATGAACACTTGTAATGCTGAGTAATAGATTGTGTCGAAGCTCTCCACACCGGTCTCCGGATTTCCAGGGTTTTCCTGACGAGTTCGTGAGACATAGCTGAACGGCTAGTATGACGAACATACCATGCAGACTTGTCCAAGGGGACACACAAAACCCTTGACATTAGTGTGAGTTGTGTTCTCGAGGGAAATATAGGGCACAACGTCCAACGTGTTGGGGTCGATATATGCGCCGCATTGTTGGCCGAGGTCAATGTTGTCTTCACCGCCAGTCGGTAGAAGATGACACGACCGCCGAAAGGACCCCTCGAACGATTGAATACCGATGATACTACATATATGTCAAAATACGTACTAGCCTGAAGGGATGTTGAGCTTGGGACTTACGAGAACATGACCATGGCAAAAAGTACAAAGTAAGCTACACTGGCGAGTAACGGACGTGCCGTCTTCAAGGAACGCATAATGGTCTGGATGATGCCGTTAGGAACCAATACATTGCTACATATTGAAGGTACGCACAGTTGTACCAGAGGTAATGGCGAGCAGTCGAGTCGTCCGAAGCACGCTTAAAGCCCGAAAGATACCAATATGATACGAGCCATGTTCGACACCAGCGGCGGCCAGACCGAAGCATATCCAGAAGCTGAGCACAGCAACGAAATCTATCCTCGTCCAACTATGGCGTAGGTAAGGTAGATTCCGTTGCGTACTGTCATGCGACTTCTGGACACTGAGACGAAAGGGCAACGAGAGAGCGCCGCTGCTGTTGTCTGACTTGAGAGCCCTGGAGAGGAACGTCGGCTGCGAAGGATTGCGCATATGCGAGTGTATATGCTCCGCTTTCTCTATCATCGGAGTCTTGGACTGGACAGTGTCTGAGCGGACGCGTGAGCCCGACGGCCGCTTTGGAGTTGCTTCCGTCAACGATGGCTCTATAGAGACAGCCATGGAATGATGGGCGAGGACGAAGGGGCGCGTCAAGTTATAACGAAAGCGACGAAAGCGCTCTGTCACGGAAGCATTACGGGACAGCATGTGAGGCTGCGAATGCGAATGAACGAGGGAAGGGTGGCGAGACAAGGAAACAGGATCCGAGGCAGATGGAGGAAGAACCGAGTCAGGTGGTGGTGTAAAGACTGAAGTGAAAAGAGCGGATACGGGAACTTCGGGGTCCAGAAGGAATCCTGAGACAGCTATTCGGGCGAACATTTCCAGACTACATGGCTGCTCTTCAGCGACTGACCACAGTCGAGGGATATTACACTCACGTAAATACCAAAAATAACACAAATAATGCGTAGTCTTCCCATTGGTGAAAGTAACCTTCGACTTCGGGGGGACGGATGACGCCATCTGCATCTGTAGGATAGTTTTGAGGAAGGGCAGCATTAGGCGCGGCCTGTATTGTAAGCACGATGGCATTGACGATAATGAGTAAGAGTATCGTCGGCTCTGTCCATCTACAAAGAGAGATGAACGGTGCTCAGCGGTCCAGAGCATGTTACTCACGGATGAATCAGAAAACGATACATCGCTAGCCGTACCCTATTCGTAGGGCCCATAAAACCAAGGGCTCTACCACGGATAGGCAGCGTCCTTGACAAGTCGAGGACAACCTGTTCGTAGTCCTTCTCGTCTACGTCCTCGTCTTTGTCCACCCGCTCTTTCTCTACAATCTTTTCGTCCACGTCCGCAAGTCTGACGTGTTCGTCTATGCCCATTCCGGCCATGTTGACCACACGCAACGATGCACGCCGCAGAGTCCGAGAGATGGTCGTCAGCTTGTCTCCTGCTTTCCGTAGGGGCGATGAAGACGTGCTGTAGCGCGTAGTACGCTTGCTGCGCGTAGTCGAGGCCGAGCGTTCGGGGTCTGCGTCCATGCCTGGTCCCCATCCGTCGCTGGTTCCGGGTCTCGACAAGTTAGCCGTGAGAGCAACTTCGTCGTCGTCCGGGCTAAGCTCATGATCCGAGGTGCGGTAGACAGACGAGATGAGAGAAGCGGAAGAAGGTCCCGGTTGAGCCGTTGTATACGTGCCGCCCCCGGCACTGTGGTACGCGAGGCTATGGTGATCGAATGTAGGACTATCCTGTTCAGTCGACGAGAAAAATGGGTCGTCGTGAGCTGCCCAGCCAGCTGAGGCAGTAGCGGGTCCCGTACGCTGGGGCATGCTCGTACGTGGTTCAGCATTAGTCAAGTCAAAACGAAGCGGGTCTTGAGTTGTCTCCATCCGCCCCCAGCTAAGTCTCCGACGCGCAAAACTTCCCCTGGTGTCCGTGGGCACGAGTGCCGGTGATGTTGGTACGATCCCAGTAGGCGTTCCACCCAGGTCTATAGCAGAAGTTGTCGAAGTCGTCGATTCTCCAGAAAGTGAGTGATGGTGCCTCTCCATGGGCCAGACCAAAGAGAAGCAAATTAAGGTCAGCCAAAGGAGAGTAGGAGAGGAGTGGCTGGGACGAAGATAGAGGTAAAGGAGGAAAGCAGTTGCATCAGCCGGTACGGTACACCGCCAAGATATCGAGTCGCGAGGGAACGCAAAGCTGTGACCATTACACAAAGCAAGGTAAGTATATTTACTTACTAGGTAACAAGTCGTTTACAGTGTGAATGGTATGCTTACATTTTGTTATTTCTGTTACTTACCCTTACTGCAAACTGAAATCGCAGCGGGTGATACGATAGTGTTCATGCCCCTTCCCATTATCCTTTAGTCCGTTCGCCTCTCGATTGTTGTACTGCGTATATCATGCAAGCAAGATCACCGTCACAAATACTGCTTGCGTTGGGAACACCTATCTCTCAAGGTGCTGAAGCAGCAAGTCAGCTTGCATCTCATTTTCCGGATACGCTTTAACATGTTCATATTCTCTCGCTCTAATAGAAAATATATAGGGCTTGTCTTCACCCCAAGCCCCTTAGTCAAATAGAAGAGTCTTCTGGCAAGGCAGAATATGTCCTATTGAAGTATCGTTTCCACAAACAATACCGCCACCCGACGCTAGATACATCGTTGACCAAAGCACGTGTAGCGGGCGAGGCCCGTGCACTCACGAAATGCCTGCGACACGGTGTCAGCGTTCCAGGGATCCGGATGGTCGATACTGTCCAGGGTATCCTTGGAATTGAGTGGATTGATGGCAAGAGTGTACGGTTTTTACTCGGTGGCGTGGAAGAGGACGAAACCGTTGAAGAAGGCGACGATGGAGACGACGCGGTGCCCCTGCTGGAAGAAGACTCGCTCGCGGAGTACAACGTCTCTCGAGGTATATTTTGAAATTTCATACGATATCACCACTAATTCCCTGAAAGGCGAACTTATGCAGATGATCGGCACCGAGATCGCCAAGATGCACCTCGCGGACATCATCCATGGCGATCTGACAACCTCAAATATGATGCTCCGCCATCCGACGTCTTCTTCGCCATCCCACCTGGTGCTCATTGACTTTGGGCTCGCCTACACGTCCAGCCTTGTCGAGGACAAGGCTGTCGATCTGTACGTGCTCGAACGCGCCTTTGCGTCAACACACCCCGACTCCGAACCGTTCTTCACATCCGTTCTGCGCGCATACGAGAAGAAAATGGGAAAAGAATGGCCAGCAGTAAGCAAGCGGCTCGATGAGGTCCGTCTCCGTGGACGCAAGCGCAGCATGGTTGGCTAGCTACTGGCTAACGGGCAGCAAAATTCACTAAGATGTATAGCGTGTAGATATAGCAACAGGCTGGTCACTGGTGAGAGCGGTGCCTGTGCAATTAGGAAGTCAAAAGGAAGAAGGGCGGCTTAGTTCGCCTGCGAATCTGTATATTGCGTTGTCGCAAAGCCGATGCGCGAGTTGGTCGCGTCCAGGACGGTGTAGAAGCGCTGCATGAACATGTAACCGCTGATGAAGTCGAAGCCTTGGCCACTTTCGCTTCCAAGCTGCAGCCGTGTCAGCAGGCGCACCCTGGGAGTCGCAGACACCACTTACATCGCCGATGACAAGGTATACGTGGTCGTTGTCGCCACTGAATGCAGTGTTCATTGTGCGCGGCCAGATCTGCCCGTTCGCGCTGAGGGTCCATGTCTGGCCACCGATATTGAACTGGAGCGGCTGCAAGTTCTTAAACTGGTCATTTGTGAGGCTGAGCATTCCTGTCTTGCTATCTTTGACTGCGCCAGTCGCGTTCATGTAGGCTTGATAGTGGTCGGTCGCAAGCAGGATCATCGTCGTTCCGCTATCTACGATCCCGCTCGTGGTGGTCGAGATCACCTTGCCGGCGTACGATATGCTTTGGTCGATGCCCCAATAGTCGTTTGCCGGGCTCGCCTTCGTAATCGGCACGTAGCTCACCGAGCTCGTGCATTTGCTCGTGTCTGCGCCACCGAACGTGATCGACCCCGACGCTTTCTCTGCGTACGGTGGGTAGAATATCCCCAGGGCCTCGGCGCCGATCTTACCCTGCGACTTCAGGTTATTTGCGGTAGTCGGGACCAGCTCGGACGAGCCCTGAATGGTGCCTACTCCACGTGAGTAGACCGCTCCAGCGGGAAATCTAAACATAGCGCACCTTCCGTCAGGTTGATGGGCCCAATGCCAAGTATGCCGTCGAACGAGCCGTCAAAGCCTGACGACGCGTTAGCGGCACCAAGGGACTGGTTCGCAATAATGAGACCGTTGCCGAGGTCGAGCGTGTCAAGGTCTACAGCGCAGATGAACAACAACAGCAAGCTGAGAACTTATGAAATGACAAACACTCTGTTCCAGAGAAGCGTCCGCTGCCGTATGTGACACCCTACACGGCATCGTCAGCTCAATTAAGGCGAATACGCGAAGGTCAGTCGCGGATACGCACGACGGACTTGCCAGTGTTGTGGCTGCTGCTCGTTGGAGTGTAGCTTTTGTTTGCGCCTACCCACGTATTCGAGCTTCCGCTGTCAATCAGCAGGGTATCTGTATTTCCAGATCCGGTCAGAATAGTGCTTTTACGACACTAGCATGGGACTTGCACTGGATTGCTGGCTCGCCGACCTTCACTTGAATGGTGAAATCAACCTGTACCAGAGCTCAGAATACGTAGAAACAATATATATATCGACGCCACTGGCCGCTGTATTTGCTACGTCCACGGACGCCGACTGTCGCCGCTGGAAGCCACTCGCTTGCATTCGGTACTTCATGACCATTGCACGCGATTGATCGATGTGTACAACGTTTGTTAATCTCTCGAGGTTCAGCGCGCCAAGTACAGGAACGGTCACAGAGGTATCGATATCCAGACCCAGGAGTGCGTGAGCACCGTAGACAGTCGCTAAGAGAACGAAAGAGAGCAGTTTCATGGCGGAAAAGTAAGGACAGTGTTAGTAACGAGAGGGCGAGGAAAAGAACGACTGGGGAATGAGAGTCCGGAATGATTAGACCAGGGTATATATGCGAAAGGGTTGACGCGCTCGCCCCGATGGGGAACCCTTTACGTCGGATGTAGGTATTTCCTCACCGAGCCGGACAGCTTCTTGTTGCTTGGTTGGACCGGGGATCATACTTCACGCTTACCCGCATCGCGACCACGCTCCGAGTAGCGATCACAGCACGGGCGGTCCCGCAAATGTGCAGGGGTGCTCGTGTTCGTGGAGTGTCACAGGCCAAAGCCAAGCTAGAAGCATCGTTAGCGAAAGGTTCGACTGATAGCCTTCCGATCATGCCTTCGGTATTGTATGAGATATGCACTCGGCGCTGCGTTGGTACGCGCATTCTATCCTGATAAGAGCTGCATTTCATCGAGGTCACCAGTTTCATCCAATTCACGCGTACATGCCCTCCGAGTGTTACGTGTGTGTTCGGCGTATAGGACGTCGGGCTAAAGGCTAAGTGTGTTAACAATCTTTGCGGCAAGGCGCGAGCTAGATAAAGGCCTACTTCATGGCTGAAGACATGGTCTAGTCGACCGGAGTGACTGCTCCTGACTGCATGTACGCACCGTTGGCGCTATTGTATCGTAATCCAGTTAGCCTCGGTGTTTTGGTGCCAGCGGTGCCCAGGCTAATGAATCAGAAGATAGAGAGCCCAGTTTCCCTCACAAAACTCGTAACCGAGGCATGATATTGGGAGTCACGTAGTCCTGTGTACTGTGTACTGGTCACAACGCGTAGTCTAACAAAGCAAGAAGGATACGGTGGTGCCATGGTAATGGTTCACTTTTGAAGCTAAGATTCGCAGGTCGTTTACAGCCGGATCGTCTTCTTCGGCCGCGCTGGGGTCCTTGTTGATGGCGTATCGCCATCAGGAGGACCCTGAGAACCTGTGTCCGCCGCGCGGCTTGTCTTACTTACCCTCTCTGAAGACTCCAGTTACATAGTAAACACGGCATATAGCTTGATGCAAGAGTAAATGTCCTTAAGCTTTTTTTTAACGCAAATTACGCGCAAACCAACTAGGTACGAGCCAATGGCTACCAAGCTAATGATGTAGTGCCTCCATTCAGCGACAGCTTCATCTGAGTCTGCTCAGCATGACATCAGTTGCTTGAATTGGCAGCCAAACTCTGAAAAGAATGGCCCCGATCAAATTATGCAGCACAGCATGTCACCAGCTAGTCACTGCAGCTTCCCAGCCTCTAGTGGAGCGTTGCATCTAAAAGCCAGGTCTGAGGATGGTAAGCAGTGCCTGATCATGAAGGAGCTTAGTAACCATTAACTTGTGTCGTTCATACACACAGAAGACAAGGCACATATTTTCTTGCTGCGCACTAGTCAGTTAAGCTAGCGCCAAGAACCTCTCTGCTCAAGTTCTCTTTGCACTGAACACCGTAGCCGGCGAGAGATGTATGTAGAAACAGCGCGCAATGCACTCGTTCGTACTCGAAAACTTGGCACCGTCTGGTGGCGAGCGCAGGGGTTGAGTCAAAACTTCTCAGACTCTCGAGAACGCCCGTATCTAAGCCGAGGCTCATAAATTGCTCAAGCAGCACCATTAATAGCTTCATTCAGGCCTCAGGCATCGCGGAACCAAGGAGAGACTTATCCAGCCTTGCCCCTCAGGGCTTAGAGACCACCAAGAGCAAACAGTTTTCCTTGTACGCTTAGTCACCCAAAGCATTTCGAGACTGCATCAGCCCACTCATACTGCGTTTATCTACCGCTCGCCCGTGCTTCGATATCACCTCCTTGCGCCACTATGAAGAGGAACGTGACTTGCAGACTCAGCCTGCGTCAGCATTGACGATTATAGTCCGCTCTTTCCCAGCGGCGAACAAGTAATAACGCTGAACCAACGCTGCGCACACGCTGCGCCATTCAGCGCATCGCGCTGGCTGAAATTGTCTCCGCGCAGGTCGGGAGCGACATTGTTCTGGATCGCACAAGAAGACTAATGATAACTGTGAATTTTGAATGTTGAGAATTTTCTATTCAGGCATCACATAGAGCAGGTCGCGCCGGGGATTGCGAAGGCGGTTAGATAGTGCATTGATTCGAGAAAGAGAAATGAGCTGGGGGCCTGGGGCCGACATCAAGCGCAGAAGCAGGTAAGCACGCACGTGACCAATGATTTCCCGTAATGAGGCTGAGGCGACGACAAACATGCGCAAAGAACGCGAGTTTTTGCAGATAAAAGAGCGCGCCTCACAAGCTCAGGCATCCCCAGACTTTTGCCTGCCACATCACTTATACCTTTACCTCCACAGAGTCGTGACACGCCACCAAAATGGTCGCTCAGGTCCAGAAGCCCGCACCTACTTTCAAGGCTCAGGCCGTTGTTGACGGTGTCTTCCAGGACGTCTCCCTTTCTGACTACCTTGGCCAATGGTGGGTCTAACGGATTTCATGCATCGTGCATGGAGCTAACTTGCAGATAACGCAGGGTTGTTCTGTTCTTCTACCCTATGTGAGTCACACAAGTCGCGTATTCACGAGTCGCCACTCAGGCGTGCCATCAGGGACTTTACCTTTGTGTGCCCCACAGAGATTCTCGCCTTCAATGACTCTCTCGACGCTTTCAAGGAGCTGAACACCGTTGTTCTCGGTGAGTGCTTTCCTGTTTTCACGTGAATAATCACCTGATCTGGTATAGGTGTTTCTACCGACTCGACCTACTCCCACTTCGCCTGGGCCTCTCAGCCTCGCAACCAGGGCGGCCTCGGCCCTAGCCTCAAGCTCCCCCTGATCGCTGATCGCAATATGAAGATTTCCCGCGACTATGGTGTCCTCCTCGAAGATGAGGGTATCGCTCTCCGTGGCCTCTTCATCGTCGACCCCCAGGGTGTCCTCCGCCAGATTACCGTCAACGACCTTCCCGTCGGCCGCTCCGTCGATGAGACCGTCCGCCTCATCCAGGCATTCCAGTTCGTCGTGCGTATCTTTGTGCTTGTAATATATTAAACCATACTCATGAGCTCCTGCAGGAGAAGCACGGTGAAGTCTGTCCCGCCAACTGGAAGGAAGGTGGCAAAACCATGAAAGCCGACCCGAAGGGCTCCCTTGAGTACTTCTCTACAGTTAATCCAAACGGTACGGATGATGGTGCGAGGAAGCGCCCTCGCGTCGAATGAGCCTCCCGAGCTGAGATGCTGACCTTCTCTGTCTGTCTCGCTTCCTTTTGCCCTGGACTACACAGCTCAGTAAATCGTCCCCTCGCTTTCGTCTAACCTCCAAGGTGTCTACGATTTGTTCACGATGCGCGCATGGTTTTCGTTTCGAGTAGACGTGTTTCCGGTAGAGTGACGATAGAGCATAGAGCGAAGGCCGGTTAGACTAGAAGGCTTGAAGCACTGAAACCCCACTTGATACCTGCTACATCCATACCTCAAAATACACACACCGCTCTGTCTATTGCTCTTACATTTATATAGCATATATTCCACGTACATTGTCCGGGAGATCTTTGTGGCGAAACGCGCATGAATGCTGTAAGCCCTTTCGAACGATTTGGCTGCCTTCCGTCGGCACTGTCGTTGGGCGTGCACTTCTATTCCTGTGGAGAAGGCACACCGGGGATTTTCATCGGTGGATTGCTGTAGCTAGCCGGATTATGGCCTGTCATCATTGGCTCGCAATCTCGAAGACGAAATGTGCTTTCAGCTCCGTTGCTGTTCGTCTACGCAATTTCGTGCTCAGCAAGCAGCTAAATCATAGAGAAGTCTAGTGAGTCGTACATAATTGAGTAAGAATAGGAAAGGCCCTGGGCCCATACCATGTTCGGGATTCCGTTCGAGACAGGATAGACGTGCCCGCAGTTTGGGCAGACCATGGCACCTTCGTCAACATGAATCTAGAGTACCATTCTTATGAGTCAAGAAAAGATTAACGCATAATCCATGACTTACCTCGAGCAGTACATGATGTAAGTTCTTCAAAAACTCGTCGTCCACCATCTCAGGCATCCCTTCAGGCAAGGATGCATCACCCAACTGCACACACGCCGTCAGCATCCTGGCGTCCCTAGCAGCATACAAAAAGACGCACCTCACGTGCAGCGCTTACTAACGCTTTCCATTCGATACGTGGCAGGAAGCCCCGCACAAAGTCTGGGTTGAACTCAGCCTCGCGCACCTCGATCGTGACGTCCTGCAGCTTGAGCGGGAAATTATTCGTTGTGCAGCCCTTCGCGTGGCACGCGAGCAGATTGTGTGTGATGAGGCGGACCATATTCTGTGACCGCTTGACGGAAAGCGAGAGACTCAAGAGGGTAGGGAAACTAGGATGCGGCACTTGCGAAGTGGCGCACACAAATTATCGAGTGTCCGCCAAAGGAAAGCGTCGGGGCGGGGTTGCAAACAGGGCCAAATATTACACCCGGCGGCGCGCGCGCGCTTTCTGAAGCCGCTCCGTCCTTCAGAAAGCGATCTTGCTCGAGAAACTCAAAAACATGCCGCGCCCGCCATCGCCCTCGATACCAGAGAAAGAGTTCACGTACGGCGCACTCAAACAAGGGCTGCGCCTCGATGGGCGGCTCCCACTCGAACTACGCACGCCAACGCTTAGCTTTGGGCCCGACCTCGGCTGGGTTGAGTGTGCGATGGGCAAGACACGGTGCGTCCTCATTGTACTAGATTTCAGCCAGTGGCTCTGAGAACCATTTTTTGACAGGGTGCTCGCGCAGGTAGATGGTAAAATGGTAAAGCCCACACCAGAACGACCGCTTGAGGGTATCATCACCATAAACTCTGAAATATCGCCCATGGCATCGAGTGAATACGAGCCAGGTAGGTAGGTCTGTATTCTCTGTGCTTGCAGAGGGATAGTGACTTACGGTACGACTTGATGGCAGGCCATCAGACGAAGAAGTGACTATGACGAGGATGCTGGATAAGGTCCTTAGGAGAAGTGACGCGGTGGACAAGGAGAGTTTGTGTGTGCAGGCGGGTCAGCGGGTGCGTGCATAGGGCTCCGTCTTCAAGGATTTGAAACCTATTTTAACATAGGTTTGGCACCTCCGACTAACAATCCATTGCCTCGCGGACGCAGGAAACCTTCTCGATTGTGCTTGTCTCGCCGGCATCGTCGCGCTGAAGCACTACCGGAGACCAGAAGTGGAAGTAGTCGGTGACGAAGTGACAATAGTACGTCTAGCAGCATATCACTCACTTTCTCGGTCTTATAGTTGACATTCAGCACCACCCCTCCGAGCGCGCGCCCGTCTCACTATCGCTACACCATACACCATACTGTTTCACTTTTGCATACTTCCCTGACACCTCCACCCAGGCTGTGCTCGACCCGTCGCTCCTCGAACAGCGCCTGTCCGCGGGGGTACTCAGCATTGCGCTCAACGCGCAGCGCGAGCTCTGTGTCGTCCAAAAGGCGGGTGGCGTGCCGCTCGCGCCAGACGAAGTGCTTCGCATCGTCGACATCGCTGTGCAAAAAGCAAAGGAGCTCAATACACTTGTAGAGAGGAGACTGCAGGAGGACTGGGCAACGAGACATGTTGAGGTTAGGTAGTGGCACGGTAAGGATGGCTGTATGCGCATAAAATCCGAGCTGAGCGGTGAATTTTGAATACGTGCGTTATGCTGCGCGGTTAATTCATGTCAGTTCGACACTGAACCTGACCAAAATGTCCCTTGCTCTGACCAACGCCTGACTGCCTCTCAGTTGGTAGAAAACTTTGCGGGAGACATCGCGACGTTTATTGTAGAACCAAATGCAAGAGAATGACAAGGTCGAAGCTACCGTCTGTTACAATCAGCTGCTTCATTCCTGTCAGGAGGCCACACGGTGTCAAAATGGTCTTCATCTACGTTTTTATTCTTTCTGGAATGTGACAGCCTCGGCACTAGTGACACTTGCTGTCCGGAACCGCGAGAAAATGTGAGACTTCCGGGTGGCGCACCTCCTCAGGGCCTTCGGGATTCTCGGTCTTTAGGGACGGCAAGTCGCAAATATGCCATGGATGAAGGAAAACGAAGAGTTAATTAAGATTAAAAACGAGGTCGTACAAGAAGAAACGGGTGGGAGGATGGGAAAGGAAGAGGGGTAAGAAAAGGCATAGACGTTGAGAAGTGAAGAAACGAGCTGGCTCGCGGATATGAAGAGCGGTTGGCGTTTAAGCAGCGAAGGTGGGGTAGAGGCACCAGAGAAATTTGGAGCTTTTTTGTTCCAAAAAAATGCAAAAACAGCTTGTAAAAATAAGTAAGAATATGTCATTTTTTTCTCGGTATCCGGCAGCCCGGTAACTCGGCAATCCGGCAGCCGAGCCGACTGTCCGCCAGGCCGTCTATCAAAGTGCCCTGGGGACGGCGGCACCCGGCAGATAATCGAATGCCGGATTGCCGAGTTGCCGGGCTGCCGAATACCGAGCGAAAAAATATGGCCTTTTCTTACTTATTTTTTCAAGCTTTTTTGCATATTTTTTGTGATAAAAAAGTCACAAATTTCTCTTGTGAGGTTGGCTTTGAAACCAAATGCCACCAAGCCCTTGAGGATGGCGTCAATAGAAGTAAGGTAGGTGCAATCTAAGACTTTGGTGGTTCCGGCGCCGCAAGCGAGTAATCCTATGAGCTTGCTGTTGCCAGTGATAGTGTTCCCTGCAAAACTACCCTTGGAGTTTCTTCCCAGTTAGTAATGTAGGGAAGATTCTCACAGTTAGTTACTGCCTGTTAGTTCCATGTCAGTAATATTTCTGCTTTATTTAAGCACCCCTATTTTAATGACATGAGGAATGCATGAATTTCCAGCAATAATCTACATTTTTCAATCCAAACCCTTCAGCAAATGCAGTGCAAATGTGTTAGTATGCTGCAGAACTTTAGCAATGAGATAAAGCAGTGCTGCAGAAGAAGTGGTGGTTGACAATATGTCATGAGAGTGATGGTCATGTAAGACCTTTAGGGTCGTAGACTTAAATATCACCCCGCAAGAGCCAGATCGCATTGTATTTGCATAGTGTAGCTACAACAGAGAGGTGAAAAGTAAAGTCTGAGTCTGAAACCAAGGCATCCTAACCTTATACTGTACTTTTATGATCGTACCAGATGTCACACGTCACAACACTTTTCCGCAGACACCGCCAATAATATTCTCTCGATTTATGGCAATTTTGGCAAGTTGTCAGAAAAACTCATTTTGGGCACTTTCATCTGATATGGTCATAAAAGTACAGTATCAGGCTGGAATGCTATCCAATAACAAATACAGGAGTGAGCATATGGAGGATATGTTTCCAATTGACGAAAGCACCAAGTTACAGAAAAGGAAGGTGTCTACGGTAAATAGGTGCTAAGTCATGCACCTTACATCTGCCCCCATAAGTCGAAGTTTCTGGGCTGACAAAGACAAAACTAAGACTAGAGCGCACTTGTGTGAGGACGAGAAATGCTCAGTGACTCTGTGGCTTCGTCTCCAGCCCTCCAGGTGTAATCGAGTGAGGACAAGGAACACTCAATAAATCTGCAGCATCATCCTCGTACTCAATGAGCTCTAGATTACCATCCGATACTTGACCAGCAATTGATGAAGAGAATATGGAAGGACCCAGAGACAATAGAGTCTTCAGGTCTATCCCTGTCACCCAGGCGTAGATGTTGTCCACAGCCTGCACTTGGCCCAAGGGAAATGCAGTGGTTAGAACACCAAAGAATTCTTCTACAGTGGATGGCGTCATCTCGGAGCCTACTGGAAACGCAGTAGTCTTTGAGATAGCTTTGATTCTCAACATGACATGAGTGCTGTGCTGGGCAGAGATGACCAAGTTAAGCCATTGCATGGCCAGCTTGGCGGAGTCACTCATTGGACCCAGTTCAGCCACTTATAACAGCCTCCGAAAGTGAATGAGTGATGGCTCACTTTCTTCACCGTAGGGTACCCCTGAAAGGTAGTATTCTGGGTGCTTGCGAAGGAACAGTTTCCACTGTTCAACTTCGTGAATGCTGAATAGAGGAGGCTCCAAAAAGGGAGCATATGAGCCATTGGTTGAGGGGTGCATCAGCTCTTGAGGCATATTTTCTCCAGTCATAGGCACGTCTTTTTCTGGGACATGGTTGCTTGGATTGTGCTCCTGGAGATGGTTCTGAATATTCTCAGAATCATCCATCTTCGTGTTCTTGTCGATAATGGCATTAGTGGTACCTGTCAGAGTGTTCTTGCCTGACCCTTCAGCAGCTGCAGCCTGAGCTTGGTTTTGCTCACGCTTCTGCCTTAGCAGGGCCTCATGCTTTTTGCGCTTTGCCTCTTTGTACAAGGTGTTAGCCCAGGTTTCAAGTTTGATATGCCTGCAGTTACTACCCAGTGTGATACATCACTTACTAGCAACTTTTGTAGTAACTGCTTTAGGCCATCTCAGGCCTATAAAGCCTGTCCGGCAGCCCTCAGCATGTCTGGAACCTCTATATAACATAGAATAGACTATTAAACATATGCTATATATAAGAGGTACTATATGATATAACAGGTTTGGGCGCTTATTTTCGTATTTTGTCAAAAGATGCAGAACATATGTAGAAACATATCTGCTATATCAAACATATGCCAGAAATCAATATTTAGCCTGCTATTTGCAAAATACTTAATGTGGACTGACGTCAACACACCACGAGAGATGTTGCGTGGATTTAACAAAAGGCGGCGCCGACTGAGGTCTGGCAACAATTGCGTTAACTTGTTCAGCTAGTCCAAATAACCAAGTAGTATTTAGTAATTATACTAAGATACAAACAAAGGCTTATTTAGCCCAAATAACCAAGAGGTTGAGATGGGGCTAGGTAGCAACAAAGAGGCTCCTTATATACTGTTCAGGTCGTGCACGGACCAAACATTACCTAAGCAACTGTAGCCACAGTGTCTGCTAGTATCTAGGGGACTCAGCAGAGAAATGGGGGCCAATGTGTCATATCATATGATGTTGTCAGGCTGACGGAGATTAGATGTCCATTGCCGATTGGACTTGGAGATAGAAGGTCCAGTGGAGATCAGAGCGTGGCTGTTACGAAGGAAGCGTGATGTGGCAACGAGGCAGCGGCAATACGGGCGCGTCTGATGTGCTGATGTGTGCCTGTTGGTGATGCAATCCTGAGGTGTAAGTGCGCGGCTAGGACTTGTAAACTGGTGCCTAGTGTGCCAACAATGTTTGGAAGGTTGTACAAACGTGGAATAGATTGTAGAAAATCAGGAAAAATGGAAAAATAATAGGAAGCCAGAGCTACACCCATGACAATACTTGCCAAAAGTTGGTTCTTTTTTGGATATATATGGTAGCGCTTTCAGATTTGAAATAAGCGCCCATTGTGAGAATCTAGCTTTGCAGGTCATTCCACATGCTCCCCTGGCTTCTCCTCTTGCAAAACCTTCAGGGCAAGTAGTAGCATAGATAGTAATACATCATGAGAGTATGCATATAGATCTGTAGGGCCTTTGATGGCCTCCACAGCATACTGTGCATCAAATGGTGTTCAAACGTACAATAAGCATCAAAAACATGTACACTGTCCTGTACCTTCTACACACCTTATAAATTTCTATAAATATTATATATACTGCGTTTACATTAGAAAATGGCATTTAGAAGTTTAAAAAGCTCATGCACAGTGGGAAGGAACTGAAATACACCTTCAAATGTCAAAAACATCGAAACTTGGCCTCAGAACAGTACAAATGCAAGCACACCATGGCTCACAGTGCAATACACATCAATTACAGCTGGGAACATGCTATTTAGACATACCATAACTTTCCCAGGTGGTGTTCCACCCCATACCTGTGTTGTGGAAGCCGGGCACACACCTATGCAAGTTTGATGCTTTCAAAGTGCTCAGAACCTCATCAACAGGCCACTCCAAGGTTAACTGGTGCACCACACCCCCAATACTTGTCCTATGCACCCCAGAATTTACATCCTACTGTTTTACTATGCTAGAAATCGATTGGGAATGATTTGCTCATCTGATTCGAAGTGGTTCAACCTGTAGAAGGCAAATTGTGGCCAAAACAGCGAAAAAGCGCCTGTTTCCCATGGTCAAATCTGCTAGATCAGATGGGTTCTGAGGCATGGGATTGAAATATATATATATATATATATGTGTTTAATAAAATGCGCAAAATGAACCCTCTCAGCATAAGAAAACCTGTGGTTGAGCACCTTTTTTTTTGCTAAACTTTGCAGGCTCTGGGAGGAGTTACAGCATGTTCTAGGCCTCTCAAAGTATCTTATACACTTCTTTTCATGTCTATTATGACTATAGAATTATAGAGACAGTAGCATCTCTTCAAGGGTAGGACAAAGAAAATCAAATTGTAATAGAAACAATAGAATAATATATTATACAGCAGTTCAATTTGTCCTAAGCTGTAGATAGGCACTCTACATAGGTATGTATATCAAACCTACAATGTTTGGAGGTCAGGAAAAATATGGGGGGGGAAAGGAATTGAGCCAGGAAAGGCCCCAAAAAGCGAAATTGATGTCAAGAGCTAAATAGCCAGGTAGCAGCTTGGTGATACTTGATGGAGCTGATGAGGCTTAAGTCTGCACTAAATCTGCAAAAACTCGACTCTCAGCGAGTATTTTGCAAATAGTGGGCCCAATATTGAGTTCTGACATATGTTTGATATAACAAATATGTTTCTACATATGTTCTCCACCTTCCCATGATATAAAACAAAAATAAGTGTCCAAGCGCATTATGTTATATAGTGTCTCCCATATATAGCATATGTTTAATAGTCTATTCTATGTTATATAGAGGTTCCAGACATGCCGAAAGGTGCCAGACAGCCTTTATAGGCTTAAAGCTGCCTTTTATAATTACTACAAGACTTACTACTATGTAATGTATCTTCATTGACACAAACTGCTGCTATATCAAGTTTGATACTAGGGCCAAGGGGTGCTGAACCCATGCTCTCTGAAGTTGCTGCTCTCACTATGAACTTGTTCAATCTCTGTATACTGGACACACTCAAGCTAGTTCTCGAAGAAGGTTTAGTAAAGAAGAGTGTCTGTGGGGAGCTTGTCGCTCATCTTCTCTTAACTCTTGCTCACGACAAGGCACTCTGCGATGCTGCCATGACCAAGTGGCAGGATGAATTTGCCATCAGTTACGTGAACTGGAGTGAACTGGTACCAGTTATGGACTTTCTGACGGCACTTTTTGCAGATGGACTGCTGGGTAAGAACTTTCATCAGGTTGTGCTTGAGTGCGTTCCTGACAATGACAAAGGCAACGCCATAACATTTGAGAAAGCTTTTGCCAACGCATATGTTTATTTCACCCATTTTGCCATTTTTGGGCACAAGAATATCCTTGATACTTGTATAGGTCTTGCATCAATCATTTGTAATATGGCAATTCAATGTTGGAAGAACCAGAAGGCTGTCAATCTCACACTTCCCGTAGCTATGCCTGACGGTCCTCTGGAGGAGTCTGTCATGTCTTATATCCTTGTCCAGATCAAGGGTAGAAGCATGCTGGGACCTCTGCTGTTTGAAATTAACGTTGAAGAGCTACGAACGTTTCCTCCAACTAACAATCATCCGTTCATCGCTATCACTATGCATCTCAGTGTCAAACCCAATGCTGACAAGGGTCTCACTCAGAGCACTAATTCCATGGCCGTGAGGTCCAAGGTTACCAATGAAGACAGCATTGTTAGCTGTCTTCTCCTTTACACCGGCATAAGAACCGTGAAGCACAATGTAAACCCACATTACAGTATTCATGTGCATGGATGTTCAGAGCACGTTTATGGCGTAATTCAGCCTGGTGAGAAGGATGCCTATGCCAGCATCTTTGCCAAGTGAGACATTTTTCGAGAGCATAAGTGCCAGAAGAATTTACAGCTGGTGAAGCAGCTGAAGCCTGAGTGGAATCACGGGACCAAATGCTACCACTGGATTGAGAAAGATGATTTGAACTCTGGTTCTGATCCTGTGCTGCAAGATGAACACATCTTGGCAGGAGACATTCAATCAGAGAGTGATTATGGCGAAGGTGAAGTTTAGACGAGGATCCCAATATAGAAGGCATATAGTCTTGTCGCAAGTTGTTAGCAGCCTCACTATTATATATGTACTATCTGGATGATATTGTCCTCATGGACGTGGGGCTAATCAGGTTTAAAGCTCGGTATACATTGCTCATCAATATGCATCAACGTTAAGTACACTAAGTCCTCGCGTGCTCTTGTCTCTCCTCACCAATGTTGTGCAGTCACTGATCGAGTATGACTAGTCATGAAGTCATGGTCAGTGACTGGATGAAAATCAGTGACCGAGCAGTTTTCTGAGTTCCATGGTCGAAGGTAACATCTATGAGAAGCGCAGACAAGTGTACCGCCATTGAAAAACAGTGCGAACGCAATGCAGCCTGAGCTAAGAGGGTTTGTAGTCCTGTATTAAATTCTATTCTTGATACCTACCTGCTTGTCCCCTTTGTTGCAGGCTTTATCAGTAGAAAGTTCAAATTTATTTATTTATTTTGTTATATCATGGCTCATGACATGTAATATACCATGTGCTCTGACCAGTGGCAGGCCTACTTCACAGTGCATTTATTCAGGGTGAATAAAAATGAATTTTACCAAAGCAAAGCCAGATGCACAAACTAGCGAATTGGAGACATGGTGCCCTGTATGTTACAACTGAGAGTTTTGTGCCCAAATGCAGCAAAGATCATACAGAGATTGACAATAGGCAGCGGCATGAGCATTGCACCCAGACAATGCATGGTTGGAGGGCTAGGTAGCAGAAGCAAGCATGTACCACACAGTTTATTGTGCTTCTGAGTTAATGCAATGCTTATGATGGCATTGTGGACCAGAACAGCTGCCAGGACACCCTCAAACCACTTCAGGTCACTCTGCATTAATGTTTTGAGCTCAGTTACCTACTGTATCTACATCCAGTGTTATACTTATTAGTTTGGACAGTGCTTCCGGTGCAATTCTGCCACAGACTAACTAAGGAATGAGATCTCTGGCCCACTGTGAGACACATCCGCAGTGCCAGTGGCCAAGAAGAAGTAGAGTATATGCAAAATTCTAATACTACATCCTACAGACTCACTCTACTTGCTACAGATGACCCCACAAGAGGGCATCACCAGTGTGATAGAGTTCTGAATGCTGATTGGCCAAAATCCCTTCTTGTAATGAGGACCTGGTGACCGCTCAGTCTCAGTCACAGTCAGACTGACTTGTGATTAGTCAATGACTAAAATGACTAGTCACTGACTCAGTCACTAACTGGCACAACACTGCTCTTCACTTTTGCATGCAATACTATTAGATGCCTATTGCTGCAGATACCATACAAGGTTGATGCTCACGCTTACCTGAGTCATGTAAATGCAGTGCAAACTTATCCTGTATCTTACCCTCTAACATTCATTTTGAACAGATCGTCTGTATCTCAGAATGGCCGATACCTTTCTCAAGTGTGATTCATTATCACTAAGACAACAACATGAGCTGTGGCATTGCCAGAGCCTCCTTGCAAATGCTCATCCAATTGCTCTTAGCAGATTTAGGTGGGCCCTATTAACAATGATCAAGAGAGTCTAATTAAATAATCAATGTGGTTCGAGTAGTGACTGTGGCTTTTTGGAGGGCACTGTACGTGGAGAATTTTCACCACATCTTTGTCAATGTGATCCAAGCGGCGAAGAAACAAGCAGAAAGAGCACCGTGCAAGAGCGTTATGCCCATCATTTAGAGTTCTGGTACCGGCAAGTTTAGGCTGATACACAAAGTTGCAGGGCTTATAATCACCTTGCTGTTGAACATCTGACCACCCTCGCACCAACATGGCGAGCAGCTCATCATTTATCTTTGTCCATCATGCACTGATTTGCTGGCAGCATATCCTCCGATAGATAAATAAGCATACTACTTTCTTATAAACCACAGCATCAGGTGGCAAAACGCCAAGGTCAAATGCCTGGCGTTTTTCAAGGCCCTGTTCATTGTAGCATTAGAATATCTTACCACGCTGTCACCTGGAACAGTGTATAAAGACGAGATGCATTTAACCAAGGACTGGAAGGACTATCTTGACTCAGATGATTCGCGAGTGCGAGGTCAGTTCTATACACATGTGGGCAATGTAAGCTTCTACTTTCATTTTGCAACTCACCACGCTTGCTGATGCGTTTCAGCATAGGAGGCAAGAAGATTGGTTGGTGAGGTAGACGGCTATTCTCTCAGCCTGAGCAAAGAAATAGCCACCCTGAGTGCAATAAAGGCTTATCCTTTCGGCCCGCACACACTCGTCCAAGCCATCTTGTCGCGTCTTCCTGGCAGTCTCAAAAACTCCAATATTGCAGTATTTGTATGTATTGACGAGGTTCACGAGATCTCTACGATTAAAATCAAAGACACACTCTCCAAGAGTTTGTACGACATGCTACTCAATGCTTGGAGCAATTTAGGCCACTCTCATGCAACTTTCCTTACCACTATTACGACCAGTCCGTCTATAATACAATCTTTGAACTGTGAGCTGTGTTGTCAAGCACCTTACACAGAATTAGTTTTTGACTGCTTCTTAGATGGTCCAATATTCAAGTCTGGCATGGTGACGCTAAAAGAAGTAGCAGAGCTAGTGTTCATGGTAAAATTCGGGAGACCCCTGTAAGTAATGACATACTTTTTCATGCTTCCATTTGTGAACCCGCCTTCAGATTTTGGACTTGCTGGAAAGCTGCAGAAGACCTCAATCTCAGGCTGGTGTTCTGCAACATGAGGGACTTCACTTTCTTGAAGCTCATGCTTTGTAGCTGAAACACTTTCATCTGGAAAAACCCAGTTTGTTAATTTAACAGTAATTAGCAGTAATAGGTGCTCTTTCAACATTCATAAGATATTATTTTATTCTTGCTTTGTTAGATGAGAGGTAATTAGTTAAATGAGTTCAGCCAACACTTTCTATATGTTAGATACAGTAACTGCATCTTATATCAGCCAATTTGTTCTCTCTTCATTAGTGCAAAACTTTTAGTTTGTTAAATATGTTAATTAGTTCACTGTTTGTTATAAAAATGTTAAAACTGTTATTTCATTCTGTGAATACTAATCTGAAGTTCTTATTATTCTATCTTTGTTAGCTGTACACTATATCTGCTGAACAGTTCACTATTTGTTCAAGTTACATTATATTTGCTAATTTGTTCTCTGAGTGTTAATCATATGTTCTTTGCATACTATTTGTGTTAAAGTTACATTATATTTGCTAATCTGTTCTCTCAATACTAATCACAAGTTCTTTGTATGTTATTTTTGTGAAAGATACATTCAATCTGTTAAACAGTTCACTATTTCTTAATGTTACATTATAAATGCTAATCTGTTCTTAAAATGCTATTTGTACACTCTTTGTATACTTTTCTTGTTAGCTATATACTTATTCTGCTAAGCAGTTCACTATTTATTAATGATATACTATAAATGCTAATCTGCTCTCAATATGGTAGCTGCAAGTTCTTTGTATACTATTCATGTTAGCTATACATTATATATGCTCCATAGATCATTGTAATTAATATAATCTAATATTGATCTGTTTTTTCAATATTAATTATAAGTCCCTTGCGTATTATATATGTTAGCTACATATTACTTACACTCATTAGTTCACTGTTTGCTATTAGTATACTATTAGTACTAATTTGCTCTGCAAATATTAGTTTAAAGTTTTCATGTTAAATGTACAAAATATCTTCTATTGAAAGATACATTTAATATTATATTATACATGCTTCAGCTACTATCAGTGCTGTTTAAAGATAAGTGTATATGCATGTTTTTATTATTTAACAGATATAAATATCCTTATAGCTTAGCTATTTCAATAATATGTTATATCTTTAATATATTATAGCAGTGTCACATAGTATAAAATATTGCTAAAGCACAGTTATATTTAATCTTGTAAATTATAGTATTTTATAGTTCTTATAATATATACCTATTTTCCAGCCATTTCGCTACAATTTTTGTGCATTCAGTATTTGTATCAAAATAATACCTCAAAAAGATGCTATTAGTATTCTAGTGTAAGATTTATATATATACTATTTAGTTTGCCATAGTAATTGTAAAAAAAAAAAAAAATGTAGCAAAAACTTTGATCTTTCTTTGCAGTGTTACACATTATTTTAAATAGTCATTGTATATTTTGTAATATGTATAAAGTCATTTACAGCTTTAAATGAGGAGTTTTTATTTTACTTTTTTTAAATTTTGACAACTGTTAATAAGTTTAGTTTTGACTTGTGCTGATCTTTATTATTTGCTCTTATAGTTATCTATTTTAGTTTCCAATCTAATTATTGGATTTGTAGTTCAAAAAGATGTAATTACTAGTAACATTAGCTAGATGCTATTAGTATTTAAAGTAAGCCATAAAAGTAAGTATAATTTGTAACATTTTATTAAACTATATTTGATAATGAAGCTGTTTTAAAAATGTATTAAAATGTCATTTAAGCGCCATTTAAGCGCCATTTAAGCGCCCAAATATATCTAACGTCTTTAAATACAAATACATCACATAAAAGAAGTTTTTATGTTTATATCTCGTATTTCAAACTGCTAATTGTCAAAGATTGCAGTAATACATTTTATCAACACAAGTAGTAGAATAAAATGCTAGTTTTAGAGCAAAAGGTAATATATACAGCTTTTAACATCACTAACATATTTTATATACATAGACTAGCTTCCATGTTCTATTGCAATAACAGCAAATAGTTTCTTTTTGCTAAGTTCTAGCTAATAAGCTATATACAACTGTATTTGTGTTATAGAATGTTATATTTATTCTGCACGTTATTTATTACTATATGCATACTAACAACATGTTATTTTAACTGGCAGATTCAGTAGCTAAAGCAATAGTTGATAATCTATTGCAAAAAGCCACTGTATGTATTAAAGGTTGTTATATTAGCAAATGACAGTTGTATCAAACATTATACATCTAGCATTATATACAAGGGCAACAGTTATATTTAGACCTAGAAGTGTGAATATGTGTTAAACTTCTAGATTGCACTTAGAAATTATTTGTAAGTTGTTAGCTGAGTGTATATAGGAACATTGAAGTGTAAAGTTTATGTGAGCTCTATGGTTCAGTGGTTAAAGTGTGCATGTTCCAGCAGATAGTTTGAAAGTAGTGAGACTGGGGTTTAATTTTCATTGGGGCCATTCTTTTTTTTCTTTTTTTTTCTGAATATTATGCTTGTATAGAGCTATCAATATGTTGTATAGCATAAGAAATATGTATAGAATTAAATTTGAGTTTGGTACATTGATTTTGAAGCTAAAAATACTGAAATAACAGCCAATTAACAGCTCATTAACACCAAATAACAGTTGATGAATATTAAAGAGATAGCTAATGAATAGTTCATGAACAGTTCATGAATGAATTACTACATTAGTGTTAATTTACTATTAGAAATGTAAGCATAATAGGAGAGGTCAGTTAATTAATGTTACTATATTAATTAGTGTTAATTAGTACTATTTAGTAGTAATTAACATTCACTGCGTGTCAGGTGTGGCTGACAAGTGTACGCCTAGCCGCAGTTTGAGCGGCTATGGGGAGCTGCCGGAAGGGTAATATTAAACCGTCTGCTTAAACTCCATGTGCATTACGTTCAGATCTCATTGAACACTCTATGGACGGCCAGACATAGTTAGCTAGACAAGAGAGAGATCAAGTAGGAGGATTCGTGACAGGGTGCCAATGTAGACCTATCGGGACGCCTGCATATTTGATATAATGATCTCTGGCACAAACGGCCCATACGGAACTAAAAAAAAGTAACAAGTGGCTGTTTACTTGGCTTGAATGAAAGTAAAAGAGAGACTATAGGCGGTATAATAATGACTGAATCAAAGTAATAAATACCGGCTTGTATTGTCTGAATAGGTATAAGAAGCATGCTTATGTGCAGTCTATTCGGATCCACACTGATATGGCGGGAGCCCAAATAGGCAACTTTAATTTATGTCAGAAATGTCAGAAATACCAATAAATAATCATACACCGTCCTCCATCCCCTTTTCCTACCCCTTTCTCATGTTCCAGACAGCCACCAGCAACCTCTGAGCCGTAAGAAGTAAAAATCCCACTCAGCTATACCCTCCTGCACCACGCAGAGCACACCGCCACCATCGCTACCTAGTGCCTGCACCTGTGATCATGCAACTGCTCGTACCTGCCGTCCCGTGGGCCGGAATGCCCAGCATTGCAAAGCAATGGTTGTTGATCCTGCCCTCCTTGAGACAGAGGAGACAGGTGGTGGTTTAAGCCGCAACAGCCAAAAGTGCAAGGATAAGCATTCCAAGCACGGAGGGCGCCGCCGCCGTCGCCAGAGCACAGAAAGCAGCGCCGAGTCTAGCAGCAATACCGAGTCCAGCAGCGACGCTGACAGCAATTCTGAGCCTTACTAGACGATGGAAGCAGAGGAGACGGGTGTGGTATGGAGCTCTCGTACGGCTTCTTTGATGGCAAAGACGGCAACAGAGGGAGGGAGTGAACGACAGGGAGAGTTGCCATGGCTGACACTCTAGCTGTTCCAAACAAGGTCGTCGCAGAAGGCCACGGACTTGCCGGTGCAGAGTCAATTTGAATCGCTGCATGTGTTCACTTGGAAGTGTACCGCAAGCGCGCTTCATCCCAGTAGTTGGAGTAAAGCCAGGTTGTATTCTCGCTACGAGATGTGTGGTCAGCCGCGCAGTACAAGGACGGGCAGCTGGAGTGGTGACTGACCTCTTCTTGCTCGGCCTCATCTTCATACTTGTCGCTTTCATGTTCATTGCCTTTTTGATACATCTCCAATAAATGGCCAACCTTGTTCGCACCATAGCCGGTAAAGCATTCATGGCACTGATGACGATGTACGTGGACGTACGGCTCGTATGCACTCTGGTACATGGTCACTTCATATTCATAGAGTGAGTGCGAATTTGACGGTGTGGAGAGGTGCTGGGCGCAGTGGCTATTGTTGTGTTCCGGCGCCCACAAGGCATGGGATATTGCCAGCCTGGTGAACCTGTCGTAAGATGCAACAAGCTCTGAGCGACAGTAAGCATCGCAATTTGCACGGTCTGATTGAGCTTACATACCCTATCTCCAAAGAATCCTGTCTGGCCTCTGCCTTCGCGTACTCGAATGCTGCTTGACAGATGTGGCCCCAGGCTTGGTCGGTGTGTTACGCCATTTGTCGAGCTCGGCCTCCATCGTTGGCGTGCTATTGATGAGCTCTGCAAGGATCTCTGACAGAAGTTGCATGGGTTCCTGTAGCGCAGGCCTTGCAGCCCTCTTGGCAGAGATCTGTAAGTGCCATTGGTCCCAGTGATCAACAATATGGGTGCCGAGTGTGATGGAAGCGTTGCTGTAGGCTGCCGGGCTTATGTTCTTGAATAGAGTTGTCAGAGTCCAGAAGCTCAGGTAGAGGATGCTCACCAGAGTTGTCAATGTCGGTGGGCTTGCCGTGCTGCGTCTCTAGGTCAGCAAAGGCCTCTGCGGGGGGCAGAGGGACCGAGGTCAAGGAGCTATCGGCGCCCGAAAGGGATTCCGACACAGCAGACTGTACCGCCGATCCAGGGCATGGTGCGGCGGGTGCAGGTGACAGAGGTGCGGAGGCTGAAAGATATTCCGAGGTAGATAAAGCCACATCATCTGGGGGTGAGCAGGGCGGAAGGGTGGCTTCAGACGCAGTGAATTCCATAGAATCAGTGCATATATGCGCTACAGATGTACTTTCCTGGTTATACAGTGTGTTTCCAACAATCACCATCAGTTGTGGACTGTCGGTGGGGGACTGCACTTCTGCCGTAGTTCTAGCCTTCTTCTTAGCGAGATGCTGGGCAGGCACCTCATCGGCCGTTAGTTTCTGCTTAGGGCTTACTTTGTCTTCAGAATCTTCTTCTTCAGGACCCTTCATGTGGCGCTTTGCATGGTTGCACCCAGTCTGCGCTGGCACCCATCTGACATTGCACTTCAGGCACCAGCACTCGACGAGCCACTTTTTTGTAGCCTTGACCTTTCAAAGGTGTGTCAGAGTGGTGTAGCTTCTCATTTCAGAAGTGATGCTTACTTACCTTACAGTTCACAAAGCGTGCCATGGTCAGAATGTTTATGACTGGCACAGCAGGTGGTGGTTATGAGAGAGAAAAAGGTATATTACCGGACTTAGCAAGCTGCAAAATTCACAGAGTTCCCACAAACATTTTAGACAGCCTATACCCAGTGCTTGTACAACAGTATAGGTCAGCTAAACAAACCTCCGTATAGACCGGCCAGACATACCATGCACAGTTGGACGTAGACACTCTGGCGCCAACTAGAGTCATGTCCGCTCAACCGGTCTGCACGCCACCCTTGTACTCGACATATCGCTGGCCACACCAGGGGTTGTATATCCTATCTAAACACATACTCTTTCTAGCTATTTTTACATTGTCTCCTGCCACCGTCCTTAGAAAGGCTCGACACGCAGTGATCGTGAGCTTTTCCAGATGTTCAGTGATATTGAAGCATTAGTGTTGCCACGGCTTGGCTTAAAAGCCACTCAGCCATTAAGCCAAGCCACGTGGGAGCTGAGCCAAGCCGTTAATCGGCTCATGGCTTACTAGTGGCTTGGCTCAGCGTGGCGCAGCTTGGCTCTGGCTCATAGCCAGTCAAGCTGTCCCGATAAGGAAAGGGCCGCGTCGCCTTGCTTGCCACCATGCCCAAAGCTCGCACCCAAGCCTTAGAAGGGGTAAAACAATCTGCGGCTACCTCTATCAGGACATCTAAGAGGTGCAGGACCACTACAAAGCACGTTGAGTTTGAGAATGGGGCTAGTATGACTCAGTGGAGGGTTACAGGTGCGCATTTTTGAGATTCACCTGATCTCATCTCATTCTCTGTGGTACTTCAGATCTTGTCTTTGAAGAGCCTGTGCAGGAGTCTCCAATGAAAAAGAGAGGAGGCAAGAAGGGGCCTGGAACACAAGATCTGGCTGAGGGAGAGACATTGATGAAGTGGGCAACGCCAAAAAGAGGCCATCATGCACAGCAGGCTGCACCAGAGCTCTACACTGAGAACAAGAAAGAGGCACAAACTCTAGAGAAACTAGACAGATGTGTAGCTGATTATATATATGATAGCTGTCTAATAACTGAATTTTAGACCATATGTAAATTGTGACACTGTAGCGCAGTCTCCGCACTCTGAAGATCATGAGTCATTCAACTTGTCTGCTGTTGCTGGCAGTGACAGCTTGCCTACCAGTCCTACACCCCATGCCGGTCTTTCGCAAGGACAAGCTCCATTTCTCATCTCTACAACTCCACGTCGGCCAGCAAGTCCTCTGACTTTGCCTGTTGCTGGTCAACGTTGGAAGTTGCCAGCACGTGGACCTGCTGACAACAGATATGGAAAGCAGGCAAATGACATCTGGCCCTTTCTCCACATAGAAGAAAGTGGGCAAAAGCTGTGCAAGTTCTGCCTGTGCGATTTTGTTTATTTATTGAATTTCGCACAATTTGCTAAATATATTAATTAGACTTGCAAAGCAACAAGATCCAAAGCACCAGATGGCAGGCTAGACCACAGCAGGTACAGACAATCCCCAGCGACATTTTCGTGACAACTACATCGATGTCTGGGTTACTGTGTGTGACAAAGCAGGCATCAGAATCACAGCAAAGAGCGCTACTACTTATGTTGAGGCGTGGCGCCGTCACCAACATAGAGAGGCAGGTTCAGATGCACAGCACGAGGGTGGCTGACCTCAGTTTAGCAAGGAGCTTTTTGTTGACTACATTGTAGAGTGGATTGTTGCTGATGATCAAGTAAGAATTTGATTGCAGTTTTTTTCACACTTTAGATCTGATTAAATATTTGCAGTTGCTAAGTGTTGTTGACAACCCGAGACTATGCAACATCTTTTTGTTGTTGTGTTCTGAGCTATGCGACAAAGATATTCCTCACTGCACAACTATTTGGGCTCTAGTTGGGGAGGTTTTTGAAGAATATCTGGATGAGCTCAGTCAGGATATGCAGGTAAGTGGCAAAATTTTTCCAAAAAAATAGTTTATATTCAGTTTTTTTATTCAGAATGCAGCTGGGAAAATCTCCTTCACCATGGTCATGTGGACAGATCCTCATCTGTTTCCATACATGGCGGTCACAGCACATTGGCTGCATCTGGTTATCGAGAACACTGGCAATGGTCCTCATCTACAGCTGAAGCTTTGCACAGATCTTATTGGCTTTCATCGTGTTCCTACCAGACACACAGGTGAACATCTTGCAGCTGCATTTCTTCATATTCTGGATCGTATCAAGATCACTTATAAGGTACATTCACTTATTTGCATAAATGTTTTATTTTAACAAAAAATAACCAGATTGGCTGGATCACCATGGACAATGCTAGCAACAATGACACCTGTGTGGAAGCTCTTGAGAAGGAGCTAAAGAGGCATCAGATTGTATTTGACAAACTTCAGCGACGCATTCGGCAAGTAATTGTTTGAAAGATTCATTATTATTTCTCAATTGTTTTCAGATGCTTCCCACACATTGTCAACTTGGCATGTCAAAAAGTTCTCAGTGCCATGACCAAGCTTGAATTTGCGAAGGAGTCATCGCAAAACTCTGAGCCTGAGGCTTTTTCTCCAGACAATTTTCTTGACACCATTCGTCGTGATCCAATTGCAATGCTGCATACTCTTATACGAGCGGTAGGTCTTATATAATTTTACAGCATCATTGTCTAACTTAGAACTCTTAGATACGTGCATCTTCTTTGCGCAGACAACACTTTGCAGATATTTTGGAATTAATGAAAAGAAGTGCTCTTCAGCTTCTCCGAGATGTTGAAACTCGCTGGTCTTTAATGTGTCTCATGATTGACAGAGCCATTCTTCTTCGCAAGGTATTTTTTTCACACCAACCATGAAAAATCTACGCGCTAAGTTATTTACAGGCAATTGAGAAATTTCTCCATGGGGCTGAGTTTGCAGATCCGTGCAAGTACAGCTTTAACAGTGAAGAGTGGAAGCCGTTGCAGATTTCATAAAATCCTTCAGGTAAGTCACATTTTTTCAAATAAAGAAATGCATTAACTAATGTTAAAACAGATTCCACATGCATTCCAGCAAATTTTATCATCTCAGTCAACTCTAACGCTTATTAACGTCTTGGCTGCATTTGAGGCAATGAAGCAATGCTGGGAAGACAGGCAGACTCAGCTACCACATGCTGCAGATATAATTCAGCAAGGTTTGGACAAACTTGCTGATTATCGTAATCGCAACCGGGCAAGCGACACATATATTCTGGCTATAAGTAAGGGCAATTTTATTACTGTCACCTATAATACTTACACCAGTTAGTTATCAATCCAGCTCACAAGCTGGAATGGTTTGAGCAGAATAGTTCACAAGAGAAGGTGCACGATGCAGAGAAGTTATTCTTAGCAGAGGTATTGCACTTTTTTGTTTAATTTTTTGTTGGAATATTCTGCTTACTGTATAAATATTCCAGATGCAAAAATACAAGCCACAGATGGCCTCCGCCACCACACTGTCATCTGTTTCAGAGCCTAAGACTCAACAGCAAAAAGCCCACAACCTTTTGTTCAAAACCAAAGCAAAGGCCCCAGCAGCACGAACAGTGGAACAAGAGTGGTTTTCATACATTGCAGAACCCACAGATCCAAGCGTTGATGTCCTTTTATATTGGCAGGTGAGTACAGCTCTATTAAACCTTGCATTCCGAATTGTTTCTCTATTTTACACTGAATTTTAACGCTTTTTAAAAAAAAAATTAGGCCTTAAAAGCCAGATTTCCCACTATTTATAGCATGGTAATTGACATATTGCCCATCCAAGGCTCTGCTGTCCCTTGCAAACGCGTTTTTTCATCTGGGAAGATGACAGCCACAGACCGGCACAACAGAATAGGCAAAGATCTAATGGAAGAGCTGCAAATGCTGAAGTTTCAGTTCAAACAAGGCCACTCTCTATCTTTCACACAGGGATTGGGCATGGATGAAGAGATCCTTGACTTGGAAAGCCTTGGAAAGAAGGAGATATATGATGTGGACTTGCGTTAACACACCACGAGGGATACGGCGTGGATCTAATCAGAAGGTGGCGCTGACAAGGTCTGGCGACTGTGCGTTAGCTTGTTCAGCTAGCCCAATAAACCAAGTGTATTAGTGACTATTCTAACATATGAACAAAGGCTTACCTAGCCCAATAAACCAAAAGGTTGAGATGGGGCTAGGTAGCGACGAAGGAACTCCTTATATACTAGTCAGGCTGCGCACGGACCAGGCGTTACATAAGCAACTGTGCTACGGCAGCTGCTAGTATCTGGGGGACTTTGGCAGAGAAGCGAGGGCCAGTGTGTCATAGCGTATGACGTTGTCAGGCCGACGGGGATAGGATGTCCGTTGCCAATCGGACTCGGAGATAGGCAGGGCTGGCATGTCATGGCGTATGACGTTTGTCGGGCCGACGGAGATCGGATGTCCGGTGGAGATTGGAGTGCGGCTTTTACCAAGGAAGTGTAATGCGGCGACGAGGCGGTGGCGATACAGGCGCTGTCATGCACCATAATTATAAGTATAGGAAAACTAAAGGAATAATAGGTATTCAAATCAAAAAGAAACCGCTTACTCAGAGCTGCAAAGTAAGCATAAACACTTAAGCTTACTAAAAGTGAATCAATGACTAATAATATGACTCAGCTTCTTAGTAATCTAGAAACTATGCTTAGTAAAGGTCTATGCTCAACAGTTATGAATTACCAAAATATAGTAATACTCTAACAAACATTAGTAATAGCTTACCAATACATTAGTAAAACAGACAGAAGGCTGACTAATACAGACAAAATGCTTATTAATAAAAGTAGAAGTAGCTTAGTAATTACAGTAGAATAGAAGAGCCAGTTTTGCTATTGGCTAAGGAACAACAGGCTGAAAGGTATAAATAGGAGAGG